CATCATGTTCATTACCCTCTCCAATAATTGCTCTGGTACTGTGTTTGTGCAGTTATACTGAAAGACAACGTGGTTATCGTATATATGCTTTACAACATTGACTGCGTATTCCGTTTCTGCTTCAGTTAGCTCCACAGGTGAAGAAGACTGAGAATAAGACACGGTTAACAAATCAGGATGAGTGAATAAGAGTAAATTAAGAGAAGCTGTGTGCAGAAAATTTGTATACAAACCTTGAAAAGTTTGCCAAAGGAAGCAAACTCTGGAATAGATGAAAGAAGTCTTTCGTATGCATCAAAACCAGAAACAGGTGCAGGTGGTGGAGCACCGAGACCAGTGGGCTTTTTACCCTTGGCTTTCTTCTCTGCAAGTGGTTGCGATTTGACTTCCTTAGGCACAGAGTCAACATCAAAAGCTTCTTCAGAGGGCTCCTGCGATATCAAAGATATAAGATAACTGACGTCCCAAAGAGTATGTAAGTAGAAAACAGAGTACACGGAAAGCTTACATAGTTTTTCAGACTTGTCTCCATGTTGACAAGAGGGGCCTCCAGGGAGCCAAATAAAAACTCTCTGCTATCTTTGTCAGTGTCAAGGCCGTCACTGCCAAGTATACTCAAATAGAGTGTTGCTCTATCACGAACCTGAAGATAAAAAGAGATCGAAACTCAAATATGCATAGATTTACTACTGCAACCAATGACTAGAAGGCAACTTGTTGATACTTGATAGGACTAGGAACTAACCTCGTCATCACTGTCATAGATGCAGCGCTTCAGCAAGACAGTAATCCGGGGCTGCAAGACATTTATTGATATTCAATATCTTTGTCATCAATAGAGGATGATAAACAAATAAAAATAAAACTTAAAGATGCTTAATAAGATATCTATACCTTTAAAGCTTCAACCATAAACCCAAACTTTGCAAGAGTGCAAACAGCAGCAGCTCGAACAGTTGCATTCTCCAAATGCACACGGTTGTATATATACCGGATATACTTACTAGGATCTGAGGTGTTCGGCCCTTCAATTCCCAGGAAATGAAGGATCTATGCAAACAAAACTAATATTTAGAGAACAAAGAAAACATAGCAACCACAAATACAATCCCATGTAAAAGATGGCGAAAAGCAGTTACCTGTGTTGAAAGGTATGTGAATTCACAATCTTCAATGAACTCGCAAAGATGGAGCAATCCATTTTCCTTTGCATCTGGAATATCTCTGATAATGGTTACAATAGAATCTACAATTGCCCTTTTATACTCGAATCCACCTTCTTCCCTAAGAATGTTGCTTAAGAAGTTCATCCTACAAATGAAAAGGATGAGGCAGATTTAATCATATCCCACAGTAATGCAAATAAGAATCTTGACATCTTGAAGTCGTCAGAAAGAATAGCAATTCAACGGAGCAAAACTACTACAGCCTACAACTTCACTTACAATGATCTATACTTCAGTGGAAATTTCAAACACAATGATCTTATGGCTTCCACGACCACAATTTTGAACTCATCGGCGATATCAGACATGAAATTAGTTATCTGCTTCATCAATCGTTCCACACTAGATTCATTCCCTGTTTTCAGGAGTGTGGTGATAGCAAGTGTAGCAATACTTCTATTCTGATCAGAAATTAAACTCTCCATATCAATGTTGCAGTTGGTGACAGCCATGGGATGAGTCATTGCAACCTGTATTTCAGACCTCCATTCAGTATACAGTGTAAAAAGAGAAAGTTTTCAATGTCTGTCACTTGTGCAGTATCTCGTTATACTCAATAAAAGAAGATGATGAAGTTATTTAGGAAAACTCAGGAACAGACTTTCAGTGTTGGTCAGGAAATAAAGTGAATACTTTTTTAAGAGATGTTTCCAAGAGAATAAAGAAAAGTATTGCAGACCTTGTTCAGAGTCCGGACAGCTGCAAATCTCAGCACTGGTTTAGGGGAACTCAAGAAGAGCTGGAGCACAGTAATTGCTGGAGTCAATTCTCGGCTTGTCACACCATCAAGTTCAGTAATAGCCCTGGCAGCCTCCAGGATCACCATTTCTGCCTTATGGCGAAGACAACTCTCCAGAAAATCATAGAATGGACGTTCCCCAGACTGGCCTTGGTTGCCCATGTCCCGGATTATCTGAATAGTAAAAACTAGAGTTGGATCAAAATAAAGACTTTCACCCACATATCATATTATCATCAAATATAGAGGACCAACCTGACTGGTGTATCGTATCAAGAGACATTGCGCCAATGGAGAGCGGACAGCTCCCCTGGTCAAGGTACCAACCAACTTGCTGACAGCCAAGCGGTCATTTTGGCGTATCTGGATATATAATTGTAAGCATTCATTAGATCACATCTCATTACCATCTAGTAAAGAAGGGCAGGGCAGACATCTAGTTTGAAAAACATCTACATCGATGTAACAGCAGAGTTACATGATATGTAGTCACTTGAACCTAATACAGACTGAACCATACAGGTAGATAAAGCAGCTCAGGATTTCGATTCTACATCTGTGGCATGGCCCATTAAAGAATAGCAAAAAAATGAAGCATATGTCCACATAAACAAGTGAAAGGTTTGCAGCAATGATCATACTATATAAAAGTATATAAACTACAAAGCAACTACAGAAGGTTATTTATGTTTCTAATGAATACATGTAGTATGCTCCAAAACCTTTCGCATAAGAGATGCTACTTGTCAATGAACGTTTAACTCTCATGAACAGAAACGAGGAAACAATTTACATTCTGGTAATACAAGATCGAGCAGTGTACCTGATGAAGCAAAGCCAAGGCATGAAACTGAACAAGGGCTGCTCTGGACTGGACAGCTTCTTGAACCTCATTGCTCCATCTTTTTACAATTTCTGGGTTTGTCTGGAAACAAAAATGCAACTGTATCAGTCTAAAGCTCACGTCACTAAGAAAGCGCATAATATAATTTGGTGTATTAAGGATACCTTTAGCATGTGAAGTCCACTGACTAATGCTGCACTTGAAATTACAGGGTTCTTATCAACAATAGCTTGTTTCAAGTACCGCTCAATTTGTGTGAGAAGGGTTCCATCTATGATTCGGCATAGAACACGGATAGCATTTGCACGATACATATCAATCTTGCTGTTCATGTCCTTCATCAGGGAGCTTGTTACAATAATAACCTATTCAGAAAGACAAAGAACTTATCAGAAACTATACCTACAGAAAACCGAGGATTCCGCTTCTAAGCCAAATAGAGACCACAAACCTCGTCCGATGATGGAGATAACTCCTTAATAATCAAGTAGACCATTCTCCTCAAACCAGTGTCTTTTGATTGGAAAAGCTTTGTAACGGAAAAGAAAACTTCTGTTGCTTCAACCTGCACATGAAGCAAGGAGGAAATGACACGGAAGATGATAACTTCAGTAACTACACTAATTTCCGAGGAATAAATGGCTTTCAAATGAACAAAACTGGAATCCATGAAACCATAATAAAAAACTGACCTTGGTGAATGACTCTCCTTGGTTAAGCAGATAAAGAAGTTTCGTGATGACCTACCAAATTTCATTCGCAAACATTTGGTAAGATGCCAGAGAAAGAACAAAAAAAGACGCAATACAAAATCTTTAGAGATCTACCTGCGAGCACCTTCTAGGATCAAGGTGAGGGTCATTGAAGACTCTAGCTTCCTGAAGCACAGCTCCCTTCTCAATTCCCAGGAACGGAGAATCCTCCACTGAGCCACAAACATTAGCAATCGAAATAAGCTACCATATAGAACGAATAACGTATGAAATGATCACAACATCACATTCTCCATCACGAATCTAAGTCACAAAACGCACTAGTCAATTCGTGAAAGCTGTGTAATTTCCAGAAACCTAACAATCCATCAGAACTGAAGATTGTATGTAGATATTCGATTCAATTACACTAAAGGACAATGCATAAACCGCACAGATCTAGGAAGCTAGCAACTGATCTGAGATTTTCAAAAACCAGATGTGGTGGAAACAAATTGAAAAGGGATAATGAAAGACATACGCTCATCGTCATGATCGTCGTCTTTCTTCACGAGTGGTTGCGCCATAGCTGATCTACTGAGATCTCGATTCAAGAGGTTAGCTCAGATCTCCTTCGTTTCGATTTCCAAATGCGCGAAGAGGAAGAGAATATTGAGACTCAGAGTTGGGATCGAGAGTTGGAGAAACTTTGGAAATTTTAGACGATGAGAGAGAGCTGTGATCTGCTGCATCCGCACCATGTTTTGTGCTGGGTGCAAAATACACGATCTTCCGCCACGTCATATCTCTGGTATGTTTGACGGTGTTGGTAAGTGTTAAATGATCTTTTGGATTTTCGGTATATAATTAAGGAAAATGAATGCAAAAAGTAATTTTGTTTTACGATTTAAAAACTTATACCTCAAAATAAGAAAAAAAATAGACTATTGTGGTATATGCTTTCTTTGATGAAACAAAGATATGCTTAGAACTATGTATATAGTTTTGGATAGAAATTAAAAAAACACAATATTATGCTTCGGTGTGACTTGTAAGACGTACGGTTCGTTGCTTTTTTATTACTCCATTATTTTTGTAACAGTACGGTTTGTTGATAATAAGAGAATTACACGAAGTATAACTTAAAATATTACAGCCGTACACTAATTCTCCCTCGAGAAACTGAAGTGTATATATGTTACTGATATACATTCTACATATATTAGTATATATCCTCTTTTTCTGTTGTTAAAAGGCTTATTTTATCTTTGAAAAAGTAATAAATATTTATTTACATTAATATTTCGTTTTTTTTCAATGTTGATAATGCCAAAACTAACCTACGCTGACTTTTATGCATGTTGATTAAAAAAATAAAAAACTGTCCTATATATACAAGTTGTGTTGCATTGTTAATCAACAAAGTCATTTTTATCATGTTTTCTTTCTTCTCCATAAAACACTAACAACATCAAGATAGATTTCTCTCTATCTATACCATGAATCTAAACAAAGATCCCAATAATGGTATCAGCCTTGATCTCTCCTTGGGAATCAATGATCCTCAAGAACAAGATCCGGATGAACAAGACGAGGAACCAGATCCCATGGAAGGACAAAGCAAGCTCATGCAACTTTTGAGCTCATCAAACGTTCAACCTTCTCTTCCTCCTCCTCAATACTACAACAACATCTCCGGGACGGCTTTTCCTCCGTCTCCACCGCTTGCAGTGCCTCTTCCGCCAATTCCATCGCCTTTTGGATATCCACCGTCAGGACAACTTCTTCAGCCTCCTCAAGCGATCCAAGGTGGACCTGTGGCCGTGGAGACTCCTCGACAAGGAACAAGGTTAGGTCGGCCACCAGCTGGTCATCAAGCACGTCGTAACTCATCGAGAGCCGTGGTTGGGGTGGAAAGAAACGCCGGTGAAAAGGAGATCGTACCACCGTATCCATGGGCCACGACTAGGCCAGCAGTAATTCATAACCTAAGATACTTGTTCTCCAAGAATATTAACGTGATCTCTGGACAAGTCCATTGCAGGCCTTGCGAGAATACTCAAACCTTGGAGTATAATCTGAGGGAGAAGTTTGATGAATTGTTTCGATACATCAACTTGAACAAGGAAGGGCTGCGTCAACGAGCCCCGAACGTTTGGATGTATCCGAAACTGATTCCGTGCCGGTCATGCGAGAGCGAGATGAAGCCGGTGATTGGTGAGAAGGAAGAAATCAATTGGTTGTTTCTTTTGCTAGGGCAAATGTTGGGATGTTGTACTTTGGATCAGCTCAGGTACTTTTGTGATAAGAATAGTCAACATCGTACCGGTTCGAAGGATCGTGTACTCTACTCGACTTATCTTTGTCTATGCAAGCAGCTCGAGCATTGCGAAACGTTCAATCCCTGATTTAGTGGCTTTTTTAGGGTTTGCTTTGGTGTTCATCGTGTGTCCACTTAGGGGTTTTTTGGGATCACGATTCTTTTTCTTTTTAAGAATTTCTTAATGCATAAGTTGTCGACCGTTTGTATTCTTGAACTTGCATTGATTATTCTAGTAATCAATGAGTAAAAGTTGTGAGTTGTGACACTAAATTTTATAAACAGAACTCTTTGGAATTTGGAAACCATGAAACGAAAACAAAATGAAGAATGAAGTCATAGTTGAACACTTTGAAGACGACCCTGAATTTGTCGGTTTTTTTTAATGTTAGAGAATGCGTTTTAGCTTCGCAAGTCGTACGGAGTATGTCGACAAAAAATCATACTGATTAAGCTTTAGTTAAAAAAAAATCGTACGGAGTATGTTGACAAAAAAAAATCGTACGGAATATTGAGAAGGATGTCTTTTGTTGTGATCTACAAAACTATGAAAATGAAATTAATAAAAAACCATGAACAAAAATATCGAAAATATCTGAAAAAGATACTGAATATCATTGTTAAGTATGTCAACATTTGCAACGTATATATCAACTTCTTAAATAATTTATTATTATTTTATTTAAGCTTGTATCTCTTTTACATCTTTTCTTATTTCAGTATTAAACAATTAATTAGATTTACCTCTTATACAAATATTTTAATGTGCTTGATTATTCTGGCTAGTTTTTCGATTAATAGTGGTTATAACTTACAAGTATACTAGGAGAGAACCCGCGCAATGCGCGGGTTTATTAAACCAAATATTTTTAATTTAATTATTCAGAACATTAGATTCGAATATATCATTTGTTTTTTACTCGAATATATTAGATTCTGTAAGTTTTGCATTTTGTTTTTTTTCATATAGTTTTAAAATTTAGTTGTTATTTACGTAAAATCTTATATAGACTCATAGTGAATAGTTTCATATGTTTTTTGTTCTTTTATACAATAATTTATCGACTGGAGTTGAGTTCTTCTAATTTTCCTTATACTAACAATCATTATAGATTGATTATTATCCTACAGACTCATAGATAATAATAATTGCAACCCTTTTTAAAAGGAAATGAAATGAGCTAATTAGCCAGTAAGCCCATTTAAAGCTACCATGGAAACGAAGAGGTCCGATAAATAATCAAGCCTATCAAAACGAACAACATTACACATAATTTTGATTTAGATTTTTTTTTTTTTTTTTAATACGAAAACGACGTCGTTTTGGTGTAAGACGAAAAAAAAAAGATAACGCTCGTTTTGGTGTTAAGACGAAAAAAAAAAAAAAAGAGGCCACGTGTCAAAGACTTGAGAGTGTCCAAACCTTATTAGTTATGTAGATTTCTTGTAGGTATTTGATTTTGATAACAATGAAATGATGTCTTGTATTTAATGCCACACCCACATATTTTACACCGAATGAAGAATTAGTTCGGAAATATCTTGACATCAGCATTCCACCACTAACCAAAACAATAATTTTCTATAAAAAAAATAAAAATCATTGTTCTTCAACAACTTCGTTGCCTTTGCTCTTAACATTCTTCTTCTTGTTTGCGGTGTAGCTCCCGAAAAGAGTCTCCATCTCTTCCAAAGGTACACCTTGTGTCTCCGGAAGGAAAGTAAAGAAAAAGACCCATGCAGCGGCTGCAACTCCGGCAAAGAGAAGGAACGCACCACCAATGGTGAGACCTTTAGAAAGAGACAAGAATGTCATTCCAATAATACCACTCATCAATCTATTCAACATCACTCCCAAACTTGCCCCTTGAGCTCTTAGCCTCACAGGGAATATCTCCGAGCAATAGACCCACGTCACCGGTCCAGCACCTATTGAGAACGTTGCTACAAAAGTCATCATTGTGGTAACGCTAAGCCCAATAGCCCACTTGAGCGTTTGTCCCGGGTTTCTGTCGATCACTGTGAGACTAGTCCCGAGCGCGGTCAAAGAAAGAAACATTCCTCCCATACTCGTGAGTAACAAGGCACGTCGTCCAAACCTATCGACCACACAAGTCCCTACCACGATAAAGAGCGTTTTGACAATTCCCACAGCGACCGTAGCCAAGAGCTGATCATTCTTGGATTTCAGACCAGCCTTTAAGAAGATGGTCGGAGAGTAAAGCACGACCGCATCGATTCCAGAAGCTTGCTGAGCAAAATGGATTCCAAGGCATGCTATAAGAATGTGTCGGACGGAAGGAGTTGGCCGGACGATAAGATCCTTCCACACACCTTTTCCGGCACTTTTCTGGTTCGGAACAACTATCACATCGTCTGTCATGTCATCTGGGATTCCAGCCGCACGTTTGATGTCATCGAGCCTTGAGATGGCTTCTTCTTTTGTGTTTGAGATTTTGTCAAGGACTTTAAAAGCATCTCCTAGACGACCTTGGAGAACGAGCCACCTTGGAGACTCTGGCATTGCCAAGACTCCGAGGGCTAGGAACACTGAAGGAACCGCTCCGATACCTAACATAAACCTCCATCCAAGATGCTCGGGAAGCTTGGAGAAAAAGTAATTGGATACGTAACCTAAAAGTATACCAATGTTGATAAATATCTGCATTAAAAAAAAAGCACATACTAACATCAGCTTCCATTTAATATTTATTGATTCATATATGTAACAAGAAAAATCTTGAATATGTGTTACCTCAGGGAAAGAGCTGAGGAAGCCACGAGAAGAGGCAGGAGCAACTTCAGCAGTGTAAACCGGAGCAATCATCATAGCGTAACCAACACCAATACCGGCTACAAAACGTCCGACCATAATGAAAGGATAGTTTGTGGCAAACCCCATGAGAAGTGCACCGCAGAAGAAGAAGGCTCCTGCCAACACAATGGTGTATCGTCTTCCGATCCAATCAGAAGTCCTACCGGCCGCGCCTGAGCCGACCAGAGAATAGATATTTAAAATTCCCATAAGAATCTCAAGCTGTACGTCCGAAAGTTTCAAATCATCCTTAATGAAAATTGCAGCTCCACTCATCACCCCAATATCTGCAACATCCCCCAAAAATGTATGGTTATCGAAACCGTATAACAAGAACAAATCTGAAATGTGTGAGTGATAATAATTTAGAAAGAAAATGTACCGTAACCAAGGATGATAGAAGTCATGGAGGCTAAGATTGCACAAGCAAAAGCAAATCGGCTTCTATTCCCTCTCGGTGGCTCGGATGCCGTAACCATAACACCTTGTTCTAATCCAGAGGAAGTCATTGTTGTCTTCGCTCTGTTTATAAAACTTAAGGTGAAAAAGAAATTGGTAAAGAGAAGAGATAGTGAGCTACGAAATGTTTTGAAAGATGAGAAGGTTTATATAGATGTGAAGCCAACTAATATCATCGGTTTAAAAAACAAACATTTAGTTAACTGATGACTTGTTATGGTTAAATATCAAGGATAAAAATTGGATTAGAAGATATTTAAAAACACATCTTTTTTCTTTTCGGTATTGTCCTAAATTTGGTAGATTACAAATTACGATAAGAACCAGATCATTCAAGATTCATTCTTTACTAAAGTTAGAAACAAAAGTACAATAGAGTAATCTAAATCTTAGATGAATCTAATCTCAATCTAAAGAACCAACAAAATTTGTTTACGCGAACAAATTATCATACATCAAAGTCTTTTACGGGTTTATGGTACATTCCCCATAAACATGAATTACTAGCTCACAAGTCTACGAGAAATACATTCACTCACAAAATTACATCTTGGAAGCATAAGACAGCCCGGATAGCTTTAAATAGAAGACTTCAGTGAGTTTATAACCACAATATGTTCTTGTTGAAGTATCTCACCAAATTATTCTCATCTTAACGATCAGAAGGATATTTCAAAAAACATTAGTGCAATTTATACATGACCGTGTTTAGTTTTTGAAAACAGAAACATGTCATAATAGGAAATAATTTGAATTTAGTATAGTAAAATGTGAAATAATTTGTATTTTATTAACAAGCTTCTTAATCATTTTCGAAACAAAACGGTGCCGTTTGGCTCTATAATAACGACTTTGCTTCAGTGTGGTCGTTGCGTACCGTGAGGTCTTTGTCCATTTAAGGCTCTTCCGGTGATAAAGTCCAGTCACCGGCGAAACTCTAACCCTAACTTCTTTTAATCTCGCCGGAAAGTTTTGCTTCGCTTCCTTCCTGTTTCTCTCTCTCTGTCATCGTTCTCTTCCTCTGTTGATCATTTCGCACTTGGTCGCCTCCGTCGTTCCCTTCCGGCATCAGATAATTGTCGGCAATCTCATTCTGATTTCAAAGCTAAATTGTCATTTCTTCCAATAAAAAAAAAACATTGCCGATGGATGATTATTTGAGCGGCGAGGAGGACGATTACTACTACTCTTCCGATCAAGAGTCTCTCGACGGGCTCGATAACGAAGAATCCAATTTGCAGCTTGTTTCTTCCAGAATAAATACTGCCAAGGTATGCACTTAGTTTCTCCCAATTGTAGCATATCGTCTTCTTCTCTGTCTGGGTCAGTTAATTTCCAGCTTCCATTTGGGAAATTCTTGAGCTATTTCGTGGATTTTGGAAATCTCTATTGAAAACATCAGTTATAGTATCTCTCTGTTCATCAGAAATTTCTCAGTTTCTCGACTCCATCCTTCTCGTTAAGCTTATGAAACCTGGAATCTATTGAGCTAATCTAGCTAGATTGTGGCGGCATTACTTTCAATCAGCATAAGCTTTTGATTTTCACAAAGCCTGTGTTTGTTTCTCCTAACTGTTCATCAGCATTTCTGTAGGTGATTACGAAGGAATCGCTTTTGGCGGCACAGGTGAAACGAGCAATGATTCTTCTTGTGTCATATGATGTGGAAATGTATGTTTGTGGTTTCACTCTGAAGGCTTTAACTTGGTGAAACTTTTTTTCTTTATTATCAAATGCAGAGGGAGGATTTGCGAAGAGTGATGGAATTGTTATCGCTAAAGGAGCACCATGCTCGGACTCTACTTATACATTACCGATGGGACGTTGAGAAGCTGTTTGCTGTTCTTGTTGAGAAAGGGAGAGATAGCTTGTTTTCCGGTGCTGGTCTTACAGTTCTTGAACATCACCGTCGTCGTGACTCTTCTTCTGTTTCTCATTCTTCGATGATGAGTTGTGATATCTGTATAGAGGAGGTACCTGGTTATCAGATGACAAGAATGGACTGTGGCCATTGCTTTTGCAATAACTGTGAGTCCGAAATCCCAATGCTTTGCTTATTTTTTCATGATAACTTATTGAGTTGTTGAATAACATAGTGTGGTGTTACTTGCTTTAGGTTGGGCAGGGCATTTCACTGTAAAGATAAATGAAGGTCAGAGCAAAAGTATTAGGTGCATGGCTCATAAGTGCAACGCTATATGCGACGAAGATGTTGTGAGGACTCTAGTTAGTAAAAGCCAACCAGATTTAGCTGAGAAGTTTGATCGTTTTCTCATCGAGTCGTACATCGAAGATAACAAAATGGTGAAGTGGTGTCCAAGCGCTCCGCATTGTGGGAACGCAATACGTGTTGAGGATGACGAGCTGTGTGAGGTTGAGTGCTCCTGTGGGTTTCAGTTCTGTTTCAGTTGTTCGTATCAAGCTCACTCCCCTTGCTCTTGTTTGATGTTGGAGCTCTGGAGGAAGAAGTGCCACGATGAGTCCGAGACTGTTAATTGGATAACTGTTCACACAAAGGCGTGTCCCAAATGTTACAAACCCGTCGAAAAGAATGGTGGATGCAATCTCGTGACTTGTATCTGTGGACAATCTTTCTGGTGAGACCTCGTTTCTTCATTGTTTAGTACTACAATTGGTGTTGAATCTCTTGTGTGTCTGTTACTTACTTACTTTGGTACAGTTGGTTGTGTGGTGAAGCTACTGGAAAAGATCACAATTGGTCTAGCATCTCGGGTCATAGTTGCGGTCGGTACCAAGAAGACAAGAAGAAACAGATGGAGAGAGCGAAGAGAGATCTTTACCGGTATATGCACTACCATAACCGTTACAAAGCACATATGGATTCCTCAAAGCTAGAGGATAAACTTAGAGATACTATCCTCGAGAAGGTGACGATTTCGGAGAAGAGGCAGTTACAGCTGAAAGACTTCAGCTGGGTTACAAACGGACTCCACCGGTTGTTTAGATCAAGACGAGTCCTCTCATATTCATACCCTTTCGCGTTTTACATGTTCGGAGACGAGCTGTTCAAAGACGAGATGAGCTCTGAGGAGAGAGAGATAAAGCAAAACCTTTTCGAGGATCAGCAGCAGCAGCTTGAAGCTAATGTTGAGAAACTCTCAAAGTTCTTGGAAGAGCCCTTTGAGCAGTTTGATGATGATAAAGTCATGCAGATAAGGATTCAAGTCATCAATCTCTCAGTTGCGGTCGATACACTCTGCAAGAAAATGTTAGCCTTGTTGCTTAACTATTTGAAAGATTGCTAAGAGAGTGTTTTTAGAAACTGACATGTCAATTTGCAGGTTTGAATGCATTGAAAATGACTTGCTGGGTTCTCTGCAGCTCGGCATTCACAACATTTCTCCATACAGATCGAAAGGGATAGAGCGAGCTTCCGACTTTTACACCTCCCGGAGTTCCAAGGAAGCTGTTGGTGAGATATGTCAACCTTCGAATTGCGGTACAAGCGGTAAAATCTTGAAACTTCACATCGTAACGTCTCTCTTTACTCTCTCTAATACGCACCAAGTACCAACCAAAATCTCTTCTAGTACAGGACGGAACTCTGAAGAAACAAGTTGCTCTTCCAGGAAACGTCCCCGAAAAGACGGTAGTCACAGAAATAGCCAAACGACGTTACTTGATTTAAACTTGCCAGCTGCAGCCATGGAGCGGAAATGAAACTCATCCTTCCTTCGTCTCCTCCTCTCAACAACACCCTTTTTTTGTCACAGATCAAGCGTATTACCGGGAAATGTACAGTTCTTAACCCGAATCTTCCTGCTGCTTATCTATCTTAAATCGGTTTTGGAATTTACATAGAATTCTGGCTATGGTGGAACGTAATTTTTTGGGAGTGTTATTGTAAAATGGCTTTGAAGCTGCCTTTGAACGTAGGCTTCTCTCAATGCCTCATAATGTAAAGTTTTAACTCTTTATGTAGTGATGGATCGTTCCTAGTTCTGTATATGATATGAAATCTCTTATATAAGTCTATATATTGTTTTCACTCTAAGACAGTTGTTGTCAAAACAATGAGATCATAAGTTTAAAGCTACAAAGTCTACATTTAAAACAGTTCATAGGATCTTTTGAGATTTATGTAGGTAGAATGATAGATTTTGTCATCTTTGTGTTAAATCCAAAAATTGGCATCTATCAATTTTTGCTTTTTGTTATTTTCTTTCTCTAAATGTTGGAAAAAAACAAATTGTTGAATATTTGTGGCCGTTGATTAAACAACCGGGAAAGCAGCAGAAAGAAATCTGAAAAATCCTGAAATCTGATGTAATAGCCAACCACAGATCAACTCGACGATTCCAAATGAACTTGTCTCTTCCCTCTCACTAACTTACAAAAACCCTAACCCTAATCTTCGTAGCCTCAAATTTTTCATTTCACTCTTTTTCAATCGCTGGAAATGGAAGACGAAGAAGGGATCGGGTTGATTCTAGCCAGAGCCACCGAGCTGAGACTCAAGATCAGCGATTGTATCGATAACTCCAGCACCACCGTCAGCGAAAACGGCGGAGGAAACGAGGATCTTTCTCCGGGAGAAGGAAAGAAAGATGAGATTAGTGGGAATCTAGACAAGGATTTCGACTCAATTAGCTCTGGAGATGTAGAGGAGGAAGAAGCTGAACGGCTTTTGCGTATTCGTGATGCTCTTGAATCTCTCGAGTCTCAGCTTGCTGCTTTACAGGTTTGAAACCATACAATTCCTCTGCTTCTATGGCTTTTCTTCATTTTCCTCCTTACTCTGTTGGTGAATTTCTCTTGAAAAATGTTTTCTTAGATTTCAGCTGAAAAGTTTAAATCAATTCTCTGTATTCACTATGAAACTGATAATTGAAAGTATGGAAATCAAGTTTTTGGCTTTTAGTGTAGCATTGAACATTGAAAGTGTTTGTTCTGTTTTCTAGATTGAAATTGAGTTTGAATTGCTTCAATTTTAGTCGAGAATGTCTGAATTGCGTCAAGTCTTTTGTTGGTTTCACTGTGTTATTTAATTTGGAAATCAAGTTTCTGGCTTTTAGTGTAGCATTGAACATTGAAAGTATTCTGCTTTTTCAATCAACGTTGAGAATTTCAGAATATCTTTGATTGTCCTGTTGGTTTCACTGTGTTAATGTGGAAATGGTTTTGTGGTAATAAGATCTCTCATGGTATTGGTTTTGTTGTTGATAAACCAGAATCTACGGCAAAGACAGCAATATGAGAAGCAAGTGGCTCTCTCTGAGATTGATTACAGCAGGAAGATGTTGCTTGAGAAGCTCAAGGACTACAAAGGCAAAGAATTTGAAGTACTTCGTGAGGCTTCGACATTTGCAGGCGAGAGAGTCGACTACGAAAACGATCTTCTCCTTCCTCCTTACCCTGTTCACTCTCCTCTCCCTCTCGGTTTAGATAACAATGGACACTTACCTCACTTACTACCATTGAAGCAGAAACCGAACGCAAATGGGTTTGGTGCAGGACATGTGAGAAACGAGACAGAGGCGAAAAGTCCTAACGGAGGAGGAGCTGGAGGCTCAAACCATGGTGTGATCCGGTTCTTAGGCTCTGTTGCAAAGATTGTGATTCCAATCATCGGTGTGATTTCTATATTGTCTGCGTCTGGATATGGTCCAGAGATGAGGAAACGAGGCGCGTCCTTGAAACTACTCGAGTTTCTCCCGCAAGGAGTAGTCAGAGGGAAGAGGACACCGAACCAGTGTCCGCCGGGGAAAGTTCTTGTCCTTGAAGACGGTGAAGCACGGTGTCTTGTGAAGGAAAGAGTCGAAATACCGTTTGACTCGGTGGTTGCGAAACGCGATGTAACTTATGGATATGGTTGAGTTGTAATAAAACGCCCTTCTCTGTAATCATCGTTGAGTGAATTCTGTGTGTAAAGTTTCAACCTTTTTATCTCTTAGATGTGAAAGCTACATAACTCTCCCCCAAGTTTTGTTCTTGCTTTGTGCTTCCTTCCTCAGCAAATAATCTTTGAAGAGAGAGAAAGAGGGATCCATTTGTAGTTGTATCTATGTTGGATTGGATTCAATGTATCACAACTTGCACCACTTGTGTGGTAGGCAAATATATTAATGAGTAAAGTAATGAGATAAACATAAACCTTTTTAATTGTGTTTTGACCAAAAGATTGGTCAAAGAAATGTAACAGTAGAAACCATGTTCCATTACAGTATACTACAATAGCACATAGTTTCATTTCTTAAAGCAGACAACTTTATCTAGAACTTGTGTAACAAGAACTGTCTCTTGGATAACACAAAAGGGTCATTATCAAAACCTATATATACATAGGACATCTTTTCTAATTGGAGTAAGATCACAGTTTCTTTTAATTTTATATTAATCATAACAGGTTCTGAAATATATGGAGAGTGAGGGAAAATTTGTGTTTACAGAAGAACAAGAAGCTCTTGTGGTGAAGTCATGGAGTGTCATGAAGAAAAATTCTGCTGAGTTGGGTCTTAAACTTTTTCTAAAGTAAGCCTTAATGATACAATTTTATTCTTTCTATTTCGTTTGTATATATGATTTGGGGTATGAACAAGTTTCGAAATGTAGGATCTTTGAGATTGCACCAACAGCGAAAAAGATGTTCTCTTTTCTGAGAGACTCACCAATTCCTGCTGAGCAAAACCCAAAGCTCAAGCCTCATGCCATGTCTGTCTTTGTCATGGTAATTAATAAATCAAATTTTAAAGAAATCTCAAAATCTTGATTTCTGTATTCTTTTAATGAAAATTTGGAGTTTTGGTCCTATATAGTGTTGTGAATCAGCAGCACAACTGAGAAAAACAGGAAAGGTTACAGTCAAAGAGACAACGTTGAAGAGACTTGGAGCCAATCATTCTAAGTATGGCGTCGTTGATGAACACTTTGATGTAAGTAGCTATTGGACAAGTCTTAATGTTCTGTTTTAATATTTTAAATTCGATCTTTTTGATAAACAAAAAAAAATGATATAATTGTAGGTGACCAAGTATGCACTGTTGGAGACGATAAAGGAGGCGGTGCCGGAGATGTGGTCACCGGAGATGAAGTCGGCTTGGGGTCAAGCTTATGATCACCTTGTTGCCGCCATTAAAGCTGAAATGAATCCATCCGCTTAATATATCTCAATATAATTATTAAGCAAAAAATGTTGTCTACTTGTTACATAGTTTTATTCAATAAAGAATCTGTTAAATAGCGATTGGACTTGTAACAATACAAAATTATGCTTATCTTCGTAGGGCCATATTATATAACACAAGACATACAAAGCATAAAAGGTTAAAAACAGAGATCATTCATTACAAGAAGTAAAATACACAATACACCTTAATTTTATTTCATTCTCGTGTTGACTAGGTAGGTGAGGTTTATTTACTCATAATTTTCTTTCTTTCTCGTGCTTACTTATACATCAATCCATTATATATGGTCCTCTTTGACGATTTTAAAGGTAGATATGTTATGTATTTGTACTTCACGTGTCAAACAATTTAAAAACCAGCTGCACCAGTTATAACACATTTGAATAATCAAAGCCTTTGAGAAACTGGTAGTTCTTCTGATTGATTAAACTCTTCTAAATAAAGAATGAAAACAAACGAATAGAATAAAGTAAACTCTCTAACATTAGTCTTTGAGAAACGAAGCTTCTGGGAGAAAGAGTAGTTTCCATTCAGTTTCCTGGAGTCTTCTCTCCACTCTTTTTTCCACCTCTTCTCCTCTTATCTGCCAAAAAAAGAAAAAATGAATTTCAATACCAAACATCATTATGATTTAGAAATACGACAGCATTGTGCAGTTGTTTGTTCAACCACTCTTTTAAATAGTATCTCCAACCACTTAACGTGTAAACTAGTCACTAACTATTACACCAAATTTTAAAATTTACCTGAGTCTCGATGTTCATGGTCGCAGAGAACTCTTGAGGAGAGAAATTGGCTTGGACTGTTTTGAGTTTTGTCCCCATTGTTTTAAGACACTGTAGAACTTCTACCATTGAATCGATCCCAGACAAAGGTTCTTGTAGATTAAACCTAACCTTTGTCCCACTCACTTCATCAACATCATCCGTTGCTGTTTTCCCCTCCAACACATTCATTCTTCTCTCTAGTTCTTTCTTTAATTCTTCTAATTTCCTAATCTCATCCACGGCCTTCTCCACAATTGAATTTTTATCATTCTGAAACAAACAAACAAAAATATCAATGCAGATTATTATGAGAAAATAGCGGTGTTTAAAATTGTTTAATTCCACATTAGTCCCATTTCAAAAACTTTCATTATACCTTATAGCATCAAATAACTAAGTAATATAATGTACCTTAGTGGCAAATGGTAATAGAGAATGGAGAGCTAAGTAACTCTGTTTTTGTTTCTCTCTTCTCGTCCTCTCTTTCATCATATGCCGTCGGGATCTCTCCTTCTCCGGCGCAGCCGCATTCTTCTTCTCCTCCCAATTCTTTCTCAGAAGAATCACCATTCTCCTCTTCACGTTCACCGTCGATGAAGACGACATCATCCTCTGTTCCGTGTCCTTCAAGTATGACCTAAAGGCGCTTCTGCTTAGTACATTTACGGTATTGTTACCGTCACCGTCGCCAGAGACGTTACCGGCGATCAGATCCCAGAATTTGTCTTCTTCTTCTTCTTGGCATACAGAATCTTGAAAGAAATAATCCATCTCTCTATATCTCCTTTATCTCTCTTTCTCTCTCATAGTGTTAGGGATCTTGACTTCTGATATGAGGTTGTGTCTTTTATATAAATGTTACGATTAAACACGTGGGGTATTGCTGATTTAACACATGTGAGAAGCATTTTGAGCAGGTGGTCAATGAATAGTTTCCACTTTCTTGATATGCGTGACGTATGTAAGAGAATTCTAGACAAAAGTTAGTTGACGTAGAAGACATAGAGCTAGAGTCTAGAGAGAAAGTCAAGTGACGTAGATTGGCAACAAAAATTAGCAAATTATATGTGCCGCGTATAGCTTTTTTACCAGTGTTTTTCAATTTTTTTTCAACACATTGATACTTTCTATTATGAGATTTTTTTTGTCGGAGTTGAAAAACAGAAGACCTCAGAGACGAAAAACGTATTTAGTTATCACATAGGAAAGTTTTTATAAATCTATTGCAGCGTTCGTTGCTTCAATTAGTTGTTCATCATCAGTGGGTGTAGTTAAATTAATCTTCCTCTATTATAGTAAGATAGTCTTTGAGAGTTTCTTTTTGACGTGTCCTTACTCTTGAAAAGCATTGGAAATTTCCTTGTGTGAACGACTTGACTGTAAAATTGATCAACTTCGATTCGTTTATTATATACCTATAGGCTATATTTTATCTGTAGCGACCAACTCTGATTCTAGAAAAGTATCTAAGTGTTTTTTTCTTTTTCTTTTCTTGCAAGTATATTAGAATTGTACCAGTAGCACAGTTTCCAAATTTGTTTAATGAGCTTACATATCCACCCATATATTAAGCTGGTCAGGTTTGTTAACATGACATAGATATTCTTATAACTTTGGTATGACACTATTCTCACATACCGATACCGAGTACTGAACTGAATTAAGAACGCTAAATCATGTTTGGTTTTCAAATACACTTGGCACACCTTAAATGATTTAATTTTTATTAATTATAAAAGATACTAGTCTTTGATAATAGAAGATAGTGACACTCACTATATAGTAAGTTCAATTACGTCAAGAAAAAATATCAAAGATATTATTCCTTTTATTGATTGTTTTCCATTATCAAATTAAAACAACTTTCCAAAACCTAAAAGGAAAATGTAGGAAAATATATACACACCTGAATATAAAAAGATCATACGTTATTCTCTGAATTTGTCTCCATTGCTGTTTTGTGCGAGATCACGATGGAGAAAGTAAGGAGCGGTGAAGAAACTATGTGGTGCGGTCACTGCGGCGTTAACACTCCCACCCGCCGTGAAGGATCCGCCGGTACCGTCAGGTAAAATGCTCTCTCACCAATTAATATTTTTTTCTCAGTCTTTCTGATTTTTTAAATTTAATGTTTATCAAATTTGTTATTTGTGTTTGACAGGTCATGCAATTGGTGTGGGAAAGTGCTGGCGGATGAGACTGGAACCGCCGAAGAGTACAATCAACTCTTTCTTCAACGTCAAGCTTTACAAGACGCCGTCGCCGTTTCCGGCAAGAGAACTCGCCGTATCAAACAAACATCAAAATCGTAATTATTTTTTGTTGTTGAGAAGACACATATATACATTTGTCTGATCATTTTGGTGGTTAGATGAATATTTTGAGCTATATATTTTGTCTTTTATTTTTACGGTCATATTTTGTCTTATAAAAACTAGAGAACAAGCTTTTTGTTCAAATATCAATACTTTTAAATTTAAAAATTAATTGAATTTAACCAAGATTTTCTAACTTTATCAATTTCATCAATAACAAAATTAATGCTATATATGATTCATAACTTGTAAAAAAATAATTTCTCAGATTAATATTGACATATTTATATTATATGCTAACTACAGTATATATTCGAGATTAAAACTATATTCCAAAATTGAATTTTGAAGACTCTGACAAAAGATTATAGTTAGATAAGAAACATTGTCATCATTAACGCATATATATATTTTATCACATAAAACAGACTTTAGTAAATTTCCTATATAACTTCGATATTTTTCTTGCAATTGGTATTAGACATCTTTTTTACATGAGAACTTGATCGGATATCAAACTCTGTTATATCCAATCTTTCCTGATGCATCTCCTAATTATAAGTTTATAATCCGATGATTATAACACATACTATAAAATGTACCCATAGGAGAGTTAGAGGATCATCCCCGGGAGATGAGAGAGCCTACAACTCCGGCAATAAGCGCAGTCGGATCGCCTAGCACGGCGGAGATAACGAACTGCACGGCCATTCCGGCGATCTCGCAACATTTCTGGACCTTACCTTTGCTGCTTTTACGGTGGTGATGCTCAAGCGTGTTCTTTAAAGCCAAGCTCTTACGTTCTGTGCTTTTCTCGTTTTGTCCTTTGTACAGCTCTCGCCAATTCTCCACTAACATCTCCCTCACGCACGCTACGTGGAGATTGTACTTTTTGCAAGACGACCTGTTTTTATTTGTAACAACACTCTATTTTTGTCACAAAATAATAATAAGTTCTGACTTAGAGTGCACGTTATGTAACTAGCAAACACTAGGTTCAATTTTTTGATGAAAAAGATAAAGTTTGTGTTTAAGTGTCATTGCTTTAAAGTAATTGTGTTTGAATGCCATTGCTTTAGTTTTTATTTTGCTCAAACATATATTCGGAATAAAGACGAAATTCATGTTCAAGAATCACGTAATCCAAATTTTTAACTAGAATTGCTTTATTAAAAATTATTCTTTAGAGATGTTGATTGGAATATATGCTAATGTTGACTAAAAACACCAATGAACAAAACTTAAGCAATAAGCATGCTCATTTTTCCAATTACCACCCTATATATTTTTGTTCTCATTAATTTGTCTAAACTTCAAAAATGAAAGAGCTAAATCATAATATTGCAGCGATTAATGTAAGTAATAAAAGAAAAATAAATAGAATCAAGAAGACAAACCTATAACTCCAGCTACGACCTTTTCTTCCACACCGATGACAAGACGAACTAACTTTACGATAAAGAAAGAGTTTGGTCTCTCCATCGTCCAAAACCATAGGAAGCATCGCGCAACATGGATGAAGATCAAACCCGCACGATCTACAATGGTACACAAATCCCGACACATCCTTCTCGCACGCATTGCAGTATCTTCTCTCGTTCCCTGGCGGCCGCGCCAAGAACTGAAACGTGCATTTTTTGTAGAACGGATGTGTTATGGAGGCTGAAGGCAACGCGCAGTGAGCATGGAGATCGAAATCACATCTTTCAGGATCATTCGAGCAGCGATAGCGAGAGCCTATGCCTACTTCATTGCAACCATCACACTTGAAGGGCTTCTCGGTGTAGTCGTATTTGAGGTTGTGTTTTGGGTGGCTGAAATGTGATATCGCTGCGTATTTCATTTCTTTTTTCTTACAAATTGAGAGAGTTGGTTTAATCTACAAGACTTTGGTAGGAAGACTAATTTATAGAGGAGATTTAATATGACTTGGAGCATCTAAAAAGAAAGAGAGTTATCAAGTGGAATCTTTAAGTTGCTGCAAATGTACGAAAGTCCTTAGGGAAAAGAGAATAAGAATGTCGAATATCAAGGCATAAAACTTTTTTTTGCCCATAATTGATGTGAGACTGTTGCAAAATGAATCTTGATTTTATTTTTACCAATTTTCTGTTTATAACCTTCATCTTTCGAGTTAAACTCAACTCTTTTGAAACAAAAAAAATATATATTTGGTGACATATAGCTACGTGGAAATAACGGTTTAAAACTACTCTAACGGCTTGCAATAATTTGTTAAAATTACATGAACTAAAAAGATTAGGATGGGATTAGCTACATGAAACAACATAATTCAAGGTTTTTTCACTCTTATTTTAAACCATCTCATCAAGAAAACTCTTCATTCAAATCATCAAACTAGCTTCTGAATCTGAAAAAAAGAGAGAAAAAAAAAATTAGTTCACTTTGATGAGTACAAAAGTTATATAAACACACTTGAAAAGTTGGAACACAACTTCTATCCTTAAAATGTCAAGCTCATTAATAAGACGAATCCTCCACCCGACCCGGAAACCCAAACCCGACTCGACCATTTCAATCTCTCTCTTCACCACCGTCTCTTCTCCACCGTCCGATCACTCAAACCCTCTCATTTCCGACGTCGTCTCCGTCCTAACTCACCACCGCTCCAAATCCCGATGGTCAACTCTCCGATCTCTCCACCCTTCCGGCTTCACTCCTTTCCAATTCTCCGAGATCACTCTCCGCCTCCGCAACAACGCTCACCTCTCTCTCCGCTTCTTCCTCTTCACTCGCCGCTACTCTCTCTGCTCTCACGACGTCGATTCCTGCTCAACGCTCGTCCACATCCTCGCCCGATCTCGTCTCAAAACCCACGCCCGTGAACTAATCCGCCTCTCCCTCCGTCTCGCCGACGACGACGAAGATAAAGAAACCGATCGCGTCTCGAGAGTGTTCCGTTCGCTGATTAAGAGCTACAATCGATGTGGGTCTGCTCCGTTCGTCTTCGACTTGCTGGTAAAATCGTGTCTTGACTCGAAAGAGATCGACGGAGCAGTGATGGTGATGAGGAAACTGAGATCTAAAGGAATCAATTTGCAGATTAGTACTTGTAACGCTTTGATCTCAGAAGCTTCAAAGCGTAGAGATGCTTCCACTGGATATAAGCTTTACAGAGAAGTCTTTGGTTTAGATCATGAGACTAGAGCTGATGAAGCTAAGAAGCTCAAGCCTTATGTAAACACTTTCAATTTGATGATGGTGAGTTTCTACAGAGAAGGTGAAACAGAGATTGTAGAAAAGATTTGGAGAGAAATGGAGGAAGAAGGATGCTCTCCAAATGCTTATAGCTACAATGTTTTGATGGAGACGTATTGTTCGCGAGGTATGATGATGGAAGCAGAGAAGATATGGGAAGAGATGAAGTTGAAAAGATTGGAACTTGATGTTGTTGCTTACAACACTATGATTGGTGGGCTTTGCAGGAACTTAGAGGTTACGAAAGCTATGGAGCTTTGCAAGGAGATGAGATTGAAGAAGGGAATAGAGTGTACTTCACTAACCTATGACCATCTCGTTAAGGGTTATTGTAAAGCTGGGGATGTTGATTCGGCTATGGTTGTCTATAAGGAGATGAAAAGGAAGAGTTTTGAAGCGGAGGGTTTAACCATTGAAGCGTTGGTTGATGGATTGTGCGGTGGCGACGACGACGAAGGCAGAGTCGTTGACGCTGCGGAGATTGTGAAGGAAGCGGTAGAGTTTTATCCGAGCCGGAAGTGTTATGAGTTGTTGGTGAAGAGGTTGTGTGAAGTAGGGAAGATGGAGAGAGCGTTGAAGATTCAGGCTGAGATGGTTGGGAGAGGGTTTAAGCCGAGTGGAGAGACGTATAAAGCTTTTATCAATGGGTATGGAAGTGTAGGTGATGAAGAAACATCCGCATTGTTGGCTATAGAAATGGCTGATGCACTCAAGCTAAGAGGAGAAGATGATGAAGAAGAAGAAGAATTGCAATGAATTCTCAAATGATAAATTTCAATTCAATCTACATTAACAAACACCTCATGACCATTTCTTATTTCTGAAAGTCTTGACTAGTTTTGAATTGGCCATGAGAGAGGGAAGTCACAGAATCATACAAATCACTCTTACATAAAAGCAGGAAAAGAAACTGAATGGGGAAAAGAAACTGAGGAGTTGTGGAGTGATATGATGGTTTAGAAGATTAGAGCCCAGATGGGGAAGACGACGAGAGCAATGATCCCAAGAGTGTTGGAGATGCCGTTGGCTTTAGTGAAGGCGTTTCTGAAGCCACCTGAAGCTCTAATGTGTTCTTGAAGCAAGTAGCATCCAACACCTAAGCAGACAAGTGAACCAACCCAATTGTCTCTGAATGTTCCGGCGATTAGATGCGGAGCCACCACTATGAGTATAACAGCAGCCGCGGGTAGCTCAAACCACTCTAAAACAAGAACAAGAACAGAGAGATGAGCAAATCGGCAAATGGAGAAGAATCAAAGTCTTGTTCTTTTCAAACGTGAAGGAGAAACAAACCTCTGAAGTGTTTAGGGAAGAAGAGTTGTATCACAACAGCTACGAGAGCTATCCATTTACCAACTTCTCCTCTGTGAAAATTTCAAGAAGCAAGTTAGAGAAAAGTCTCTGTTTTTTTTTGGGTGATGAAATGGATTTGTTTTAGTTTGGCTTTACCTGAAGAGGTTAAAGATCAGAGAAGGAAGACTGAAGAAGATGTAAGGAATCAAAAGTGCTGTGAGCATATTCGTCTTCCAATTTGTACGATCCAAGACCAACAAGTATCTGCATTTGTTACATCATAAGATCAACAACACAAGAAAACGAAATAACAGAGACAGAAACAGAGAGAAAGAGAGAGAATTTACATGGCAGCGACGGAAGCAATCCATTCGAGGATAGAGGTACCAAAGCCTAGGCCAGTGAGCATGAAGGTGTGATTAAGGAGATTCTTAGCAGCGATTCCGAGCTCGTTGAAATCAGATCCAACCATAGCTTGAAGGGTTCCATGGTCCCTCCTCATCGACGTGAAAGTCATCTCTTTTCGGAGATTACAGAGGAAGCAAAAGGAAGAGATGAATAATAATTGAAGAGAGCAGAGAGAGAGAGATTGGTGATGAATGTGATCTGTGTGGAGTCTTGTGATTTGGTTTCAAAGATATAGAAGTGACTCGATGGATGCTTTGCTGCCACGTGGAAATTTATATCCTTTTATGAAAATATTTTATTTGTATAATCGAAATCAGATATTTTTTACATTTATTGTTTATAGTATTCAGTATTGTTTCACAAAGCCAATCGATTTTTTGACGAAGACGTTGGACACATGTCGGCACCATGTTTTTACACATAACGGTGGGACTTCTATAAGTGTATTTATTTTTTTTTTAAAATAATGTAATTGGTGGACGTAAGCAGAAATGGGACAAGCCAGCTGTGTTTCATATAAGAATTTATATTTATTTGACTGATATTTTTTAGTTTTATATTAATGGTGAACCAAATAATTATATGATCCATAGCATGGATAAGATTAGGATTTTGGGAAATCGAACTTTTCAACATCTAAACATACGGTTATGAAATATCTGTGTTATGTAGCCAATAATGAGATAGAAACATAAGTTGTATGAATTCGTTGAAGTTATAACAACTTTAGCGTATTAAATTAGTACGGCTTATAATTTTGTCTATTGTATATTGCATTCATAAAAAAATGTTATAAGAAATTGTAATAAAATAATTAGAAAGGAATACTAGTTCGTTAGGAGAAAAATGTGTAGTAGACAGACTTTCAGGATCAAATCAATATATCTTCTTTTATTTTTATTATTTGATGTCGGCAGAACATTTTTATTTCTTTTGGGGTATTATTGTCTTGAGTAGCACCAACCAAAACCTTGCAATAGGGCCTTATTTTACCGTTATATAATTATGGCATGCACCGAATATAGGACGTTTCTATTAATGATTGATTGGGCTTTAGTTTCGTGAGTTCAATATGAGCAAACTGGTTTTCGGTTGATTTGAGCTAAACCTGTTCCACAAAGAAATGACCAAAGATGGTGATGAAATCATTAAGAACCAGCATGATATTCGTATTTTGTGTTAAAGGAACTCTTTGTTGGTCATGTGGATGGTAACTAATACTACTGCATGTAGATGGGTAATACTCAAATAGTCAAATCATTTTTTGCACGCTGATAATTCATGTATGTTTTTTTTTTTTTTTTTTTTCAAAATGGTGTCCTATGAATGTTCATAATTACAAACGACCTAATAATTAAACGCTTGGCCTATAAAAATTCCCCCTTAGAATGAAAAGAGAGGGGATCAGCATATAGTCATTTCATTTCCATGCTCAAATATTTGAAACATACAAGTTGGTTGACAAAGAAATTCTAATGATCTCAAAAATCTATAAATATTTGATAATCTTTTTTGGAGATATCAAAACACAACCATAATCGATCTACAGGTACATCTTTTTATTTTGTACCTTTTAAACCGAGTCCAAACATGGATACAATTTTGACTAGTACTAATTGAAAAAAACAATATACATTTCAGTTATCAGTGTCTCACAATTATAAATCGAGATTTCTTCATTATAGCTAAACATAAACATAAAAGAAGAAAAGATAAACGAGAAGAATGGGAAAAGTATTATGCATAGTGTGGTTAATGATGATACTATCGGTAATTGTCATAGAAGGTGCCGAAATCCAATGCAGAGTGTACTGTCGACAATTTTGCAAATTCTCAGTACCGGTGCGGCAATGTGAAGATTGCCTTAGAACGTGCCCATATGCTGCAGTGAGAGCCAGGAATACATGGAGATCTTGAAGAACAAAAACAAAAAGTTGTTCTGATTAAATATAAATTATGTGGTCATTGTATGGTCGTATGGACGCTCTTAAACTGAAAATGGTGGAATAGTTTTTAAAATTTATGTAGAAGGTTCGAACATCCTCTTCTTATTACGATATCAACATTATATTTTAACATATCATCTACGGACACTAACCTCTGTTAAATTATGTGATTATCTTTTCTTTCTTTTTTTTCTTTTTCTTTTTGAAAAAGGGCCTTATGTGATTATCTTTACATGCTCTTATATGCGAAGAATAAAAAAAGACAGTCCGTATTGGAGTCGTTAAGAATTTGAGTGTGATTTTCTTCTGGCGTTTCTAGCAATAAGAGACAACAAAATTGGATCTCGTATCGTCTAACCGAGCGTTGGTAACTATTCCAATTTGAATTTCCAAAATTTTCAAGTGGAATGAATTAACAATTGTGAGGCAATTAATTATCTCGGATTTTTTAGTAGGTCATTAGTCTCTTCATTTGGCAAAGAATCTTTGAAAGTTGAAACATTAATAAAAAAAAGAAGAGAGAGTTGGTTGACAAAGAAATTCCCAATATCTCAAAATCTAAAAGTATTGGAAAATTTATTTTGAGATATCAAACACACAATAAGGTAATAAACTATAAAACCATAATCTATAGGTCAAAACATATTTAATATATTGTAGCTTTTAAATTGAGTCCAAACATGGAAACAAATTTGACTAGTACTAATTGAAAAGCAAGATACTTTCATCAGTCACAATTTCTCAAATTATAAATAGATAATTTTTCGTCATAACATAAGTCAACACAATACACAAGCATAAAAGAAGAAGAAAATTAAACGAGAAGAATGGGAAAAGTATTATGCATGGTGTGGTTAATGATGATACTATCGGTAATTGTCATAGAAGGCGCCGAACAAGACGAAAAAATACCATGCAGAGTGTATTGTCGACAATTTTGTAATCCCTCAGTGCCTGTGCAGCAATGTGACAATTGCCTTAAAAGGTGCCCATTTGCCGCAGCGAGTGCCAGGAACCATGACATGGAGATCTTAAAGAACAAGAACAAAAAGTTGTTCTGATTAAATATGACATATATAGATGGCCAACGTTTAACAAAATGAGTAATTCTATGATACTAGTATTTATAAAAATAATATTAATAATATTTTCATTTTAAAATTGGGATATTTGCTCCATTTGCACATGCAAAATGGCGGTGTTGCTTTGATGTAATCCTTGAAAATCTTGTTATACCAAACATTTTGTACCGAACTATGTAGTGGTAAAGATTTTGTTCTTGATCGTTAAAGTCAAGATTTCACCATCCAACCCTTGCGCTTGTCCATACTTTTCTTCTTCCATTTCATACCAAAAAAAGGTTCAGCTTTCCCTTTTCTTTCTCACGTGTCTACAAATAGTGCTAATACATTTTTGTTGAAAATTTGGTTCCGTTTTTTTCTTTTATTTTGGGAGGACAGATATTAACAAAATCAGAGGATGGTGTGGATGCAAAATTCCCTTTGATGGATTGGACAGTTTGATATTCGACTAGGGCTACAACTTTCTTAGATTTACAAGGAAAGTTTCTGTAGACAACATATATAGACATCCATGCATAATTCTAGATATGTATACACATGACCAAAAGGGGAGATCTGAAAAATAGCGAATATAGCATCACCATGGAACAAAACGGTCCATGAGAAGACATACAGTGAGCTCAGACATAGTTGAACCTTCATCTTTCTCTCTTGTGTTTTGTTTAACTCCTCTTTCTTCTTCTCCTTGCTGCTGTTTGGACACAACGGAAGATGTACTCTTCTTCCTTTGCATCAATGGGTTCCTAGGATTTATCTTGTCACTCATCTTTTTCATCTCTCCCACCCAAACCTCCATAGCTTTTGCCATTCTCGTTGATCCTAATATAAAATTATGAATGTGAGTGAGAGAGAGAGAGAAAGACGCATGTGAGCTTTATGTAGACAATGAAACGAAGGGGCTTTTTGGTCCTTTTGACTTGCAAAACCATGGTTAGCTTGATGGGGAATTCATATAATAATTGTGTTCTTGAACAAGAAAAGGAGAAAAAGTGGCATGTGGAGTTTTACACTTGGGGACCATCCAATAATACAAGTCAAGAAGAGTTGTCCATATGAGATATGTACAAAGTATCCATCTAATGACCGGCCAAATCAACAAAAAATATCTCTTGCGCTGAATTTTCCAAGTTATGCAAATTAAAGATACGTTTCACGTTTCACCGACCCCAAAACAAAATGAAACGAAACGTTTCAAATTAAAAGTTGAATACATATAAACTATTTTCTAGCTTTTACCATCGTCCGACCTTAGCTCAGTTGGTAGAGCGGAAGACTGTAGTCTGTGACAGATAATCTTTAGGTCGCTGGTTCGATTCCGGCAGGTCGGATTTTTTATCCTATTTTTTTATTGTCAAAACTGAAAAACGCATCTTTGTGTAGCTCTTCCGCTGGATAATGTTTCTTTGTAGACATGACGTGTCAATCCAAATGTTGGTTGCAATAGGGTCATCATGGTCTCTGGTCCAATCCTAATGTTCTTCTTATCTTATTCCACTTGGCACTAGTTTGGTCAGTCCATAAGAGAGATACGAATTTTCAACTGTTATCATGCATTATTGTCGTGATTCTTTTGATTCCTAGTTGTTAAATAAAATGATTGTTTTACAATTTTAGCCTGAACATGTTGAATAACTTTGGGATTGGGGACCAAAATGTAATTCAGTAAGTTTGAGATCGTTTACTAATTATCCTTAAACAAAAGGGACTTAAATTGAAATACTACAAAATATATAACTCTCTGTCTTCATTCTTCAGCTTCCAATAGAGATACATTGCGGCGGAGCTCCCATTCATTGTGCCCTAATTTCTGCCGGAGAGGAAACAAAAAAGAGGGTCTTTGAAATTCCGGCGAGGGTTAACGATGTCGTACGACGATGTGGAGATAGAAGACATGGAGTGGAACGAAGAGATTCAAGCGTACACGTACCCATGCCCTTGTGGTGATTTGTTCCAGATCACGAAGGAGGATCTCCGGCTCGGCGAGGAGATCGCGAACTGCCCAAGTTGCTCGCTTTATATCACCGTCATCTACAATATGGAGGATTTTCAAACCGATACGAAGAAGAAGAACAACGAACCGAAAAGTCGCCAGCCGATCGCCGTCGCGTGAGGTAAATCTCGAAAATTGAATTCGCAATTTGGGTTTATCGTATAGTTTTAGTGCTTAAAAAAAGCTATCTCATTTCTCAATACTTTCTGCTTAAACGAAATTGGGTTTCTGAAATTCTGTATCAAAATATGTTTTGTGTTTTGTTGATCCTGAATTAGCTCATAAAGGATCTATCTTTAAGATCAAAGGTCTTAAGAAATTCACTTCCTTTTTCTGGAAAGATTTGTTGTTCTTCTCTCACAATGCGCTACTTGTTGGGTGTTAGCGATTGCAGAGTCTTTTAAAACGTGAAGTGTAAGCTTTTCCTTTTGTTAGAGAATGAAGTAATTGCAAGTGATGAGAATATTGTTGCTTCTTTGCAGATTGTCGTGGAGTCGATTAGAAGATTGTTGGAGATCAGCAGAAGAGATAATTCTGTTGTGCCGAGTTTTGCACAAGTATACGAAACTGTGTCACCACCTATAACATATAGAGAGTCAAACAAGGAAACAGAAATGTTGTGTTCCTGGTCAATTTATGATTATTAAACCTGATTCTTGGTGTTTTCTTGCACATTTTGATCCGATTAGTAGTTGGTTTTTTTAGAATTATAATTCTGATTTTGGTTTGAAGCTTTTTATTGTTTTGTTTTTGATTTTCTCGTTGATTGTCTTTTACGTGCTACGTTTCTCATAAGTCATAAGCATAATATATTCCGTTGTTGATAGTTTTTATCTATGATACGAAGTCATTAAAAAGAAGAAAAAAAATTCAAATCAATGAAAACAAATACAAGGGCATCTTAAGCTCTTAAAAATTGAAACAACATACATAAATATTAAATCAGTTATGCTTTATTACAATATTTTGCTAGATATTCTAGCACGTTATTAGTAGATCTTATAGATTAGTTTATAAGACTTAAAATATACAACTAACTTATATAAATAGTAATACTGGTAAACTTTAGAGAGAAAAAAAAGAGGCCTATATTTTTTTCCAATGAAGTACCCACCCTACAGGTTTATACCAGTGTCTTCTAAAATAAATTCCATCAGGTTTAGCAATCTATTGACGTAACTCATTATACATTATTCTGCTTTGTGAATGATATGTTTGAAGGTTATCAAAACTATAAGAATGGCCTTCTTTTCCCACGAATCTTAAATCGCATTTAATTTTTTTTTTACCGAATTTACCGAAGCGTGGTGCCGAATCCGAGAACGGTAGAAGATTAGTATAAGTAGAATTGAATTCTTTTAGAGATTGCATTCCTAAACCTTTGCCCCCCTCACGGCAATTCACGTCGAGAGGAATACCGGAGCCGAGTTGGTTATTAATCACTACATGATTTAACATACATCAAGAACCTCTATTCGATCCGCTGCTCCCACTATAAACTCTAGATCCCCTAGATCTGCCGCCTCTGCCCCCATAACGTTTAGATTCATTCAATCCAAAACATGCAACAATAACTAACACAAAAACTATTATGGAAAGATTCATTTCGCAGGGATATATTTTGGAATAATAAGGTTATCCACTAATCAATATAATGTATAGTATTTATAAGTTTATGTTTGAAAATCATTGTCTTTACTTTTTAAACAGTCTATTAATGGTGTTAGCTAAATTTAAAAACAAACATGAACCAAATAATATAATTGGTCTATTAATGGTGTTAGCTAAATTTAAAATCAAACATGAACCAAATAATATAATTGGTCAAAATGACTTTTCATTTAGACATAGAAAAGTATGGTTAGCCGATAAAATAAAATCAAATAAATTGAAATTATAAATCACCATTAAAACTAAAATAAGCCAAAACTCTAACATGTTTGGAAATTTTTTATTTTTAACAATGCTATTTAAATATTTGTAGTGTTATGTTGCAGGCTTTCTTTTGTACACCATTTTTTTATTTATTGATCAAGAGATATATTTTGCTTTATCTCTTGTGTCTTAAACGAACAAATTTATCAGAAGTATTCCCTCTTCTGTCTTAAACCCATACGCTAACTTAAATTCTTAATCGTGGGACAAACCTATTATAAACTGTTGGAAATTGCTTCGACATATCCAACCATTGATAGGAAGAAATGACCATTTGCGGAAAAAAGTACCTCTTAAATCAGTGGCAGTGGACCATTCCTGTCTTTGCAGTTTCATGTTTTAAGCTCCCAAAACTGACAGATGGTAATCTTGTGAGTGCAATGACTAGATGGAGAATTCTTCTTCATTGCAGAACACTTTTGGAAAAAGGACTTAAGAGATCTGCTGAGTCATTTAATGTATATGGCTGGATTTTTTATGATATCCATGTGTCATGTGTTATATGTTAGCTTAAAATAGACACAAATTTGCTAAATATGTAGAACCCCAAATAAAGAAATTGTGTTATTATTTTTCTAAAATATAAACAACATACGTAAATGTTAGATAAATTTACGTTTTATTACAATATTTTGCTATATATCATAACACATTATTAGTAGATCTTATGGATTAGTTCATAACGCTTAAAATATAGAAATAACTTATATAAATATTGGTAAGATTAAGGGAAAAGAAGCTTATATTCTTTTCCAGTCAAGTACCCGCCCGTCCGACAGGTTTATCCCAATGTCTTCTAAAGTATATTCCATCAGGTCTAGCAATCCATTGACGTATCTGGTTACACATTCTCTGACCTTTTGATCTTAATAAAACCAATAGGAATGCGACCTTTTCCATGAACGTTAGATTGCAACTTAATTCTCTTCTAGAGTGTCTACTGGAATCATCGTTGAAAGGCTAAAGCTTTGTATATGTAGAATTAAATCCTCTTAGGATTTGCTTTCCATAATTTGGATATGGCCACTTTTCGCAAGTAACGTTGAGAGCAGCACCATTACCGAGTTGGTTATTGATAAATACATAATTTAACAAGCATTTTTTATCTCCACCCCACGCTGCATTCACTCCCAAAGACACATAAATAACTAACACAAAAAATACGAAAAAATTCATTTATATATATATATATATATATCATATATATATATTTTTTTTTGGAGTAATAAAGTTATCAATGTGTAGTATTTATAAGGTTTTTTTGTGTGGGAATCGTTTTATCTTTACCTTTTTGATAGTCTATTAATACGTTGCTAAATTTAAAAAGAAACATGAACCAAGTAATATAATTGGTCCAAGAAGAATGTTTCATTTGAATCTAGAAAAATACGGTTAGCCAAAAATTAAAAATGTTTGGAAACGTATTATTTTTAACAATACTAGGTAAATATATGTGTTATGTTTCATTGCTGGCTTTCTTTTTGTACACCATTTTTTGATTGGTCCATATGTATATTTTACTTATTATTATAATTTATATACAAATAAAACATATAGATGAAGACATGTCTGTTGCACACAAAAAAATTAGTATATAATAAATATAAAATGTTATTATTTAGAAATGTATTCTTTAAAAAAGTACTGTTTGTATTAATTCTTAGACTACTAGGTGCTAGGGGATTTTTTTTTTATTTTTTAAACTGTATATTAAAAAGCCTAAAAAAACTAAGCTAAATGTTTCAAAAGTAAGGGAATACACTATGTTTAAAAGGTGTTTTTCATTATTAACAATGACATCTTTTTAAACTTTAAACATAAACTAGTAAACGGTGACTAAACGAGAGTTAAAATTAAACTTAACTAGGTGAATGCCCACATTATGAGTGGGTTTTGATCTCCGTAATTTTTGTCCCTCGTTGTTAGTTTTTAAAATTAGGAAAAAAATGTATTTTTGAAAATTTTCACACCTATAGTGTAGTTTTGAAAATTTGCAAAACTAAAATAAGCCAAAACTCTAACATGTTTGGAAATATTTTATTTCTAACAATGCTATTTAAATATTTGTAGTGTTATGTTGCAGGCTTTCTTTTGTACACCATTTTTTTATTTATTGATCAAGAGATATATTTTGCTTATCTCTTGTGTCTTAAACGAACAAATTTATCATAAGCATACCCTCTTCTGTCTTAAACCCATACGCTAACTTAAATTCTTAATTGTGGGACAAACCTATTATAAACTGTTGGAAACTGCTTCGACATATCCAACCATTGATAGGAAGAAATGACCACTTGCGAAAAATAAGTACTTCTTAAATCATTGGCAATGGGCCATTCTTGTCTTTGCAGTTTCATGTTTTAAGATCCCAAAACTGACATGAGGTAATCTTGTGAGTGCAATGACTAGCTTTTGGATGGAGAATTATTCTTCATGGTAGAACACTTTTGGAAAAAGGACTTGAGAGATCTGCTGAGTCATTTAATGTATATGGCTAGATTTTTGATGATATCCCACGAGCTCCCTTTCAGAAGCAATATATGTTTGATCTCAATATAAACCCTCAAACGTTGGATCGAGGGAATTTGAACGAGTTTTTCTTTCCTAAAGACATGGAGATCATTTTGAGAAACAAACCAGCCGTTACATTAATAAACGGGTATGAGAGGGTACACACAAAGTATGCTGTTAAATGAGACTATTGATTTGGATATATATAAGATGAAGAATTCAAAGGTTTTAAGACCATCCTTGAAATATTCAGTTATCTCCTCAAATGCTCAATAAATTCATATTGAGAATAGACAAAACTTCTCGTGGATCCACCAAAATAACCTCGGGCGGCTTGGATTATAAGAGATCATAGTGGTGTAGGAAAGCTTATAGCGCCATAGAGAGCCTGGACGAATCAGAACTGCAAGACCATTTATGGGCTATTGAGTATATGTGTTTGTTTTTTGTTTTTTGTTTTTTTGTTTTTATATCCTAGTTGGTTGTCTTTTATGTGCTATGTTTCTCATGAGTATAATAGATTCCCTTGGTAGTGATTTTATCTATAATACAAAATCAATCAGCTAAAGTAAAGTAAAATAAAAAAATTAAATGATAAAAGAAAAATTAAGCCAAAGAAAACAATATAAATGTGTTAATTACTTAATTACAAGAGTATCTCAAGGTTTTATGGTGAGTTTCTCAAACCATAACAGTTTATGCAGACCTTCTTTTATTTTTTATTCTTAAATCATGTGATACTCTCTAAAACCCACAATAGGGCTACATTTAAGTATTTAAAATCGCAGGTACGATTGCCATGTGTTATATGTTAGCTTAAAATAGACACAAATTTGCTAAATAGAACCCCAAATAAAGAAATTGTGTTATTATTTTTTCTAAAATATAAACAACATACGTAAATCTTAGATAAAATTTACATTTTATTACAATATTTTGCTATATATTATACATATTATTAATAGATCTTATGGATTAGTTCATAACGCTTAAAATATAGAAATAACTTATATAAATTAAATATTGGTAAGTTTAAAGGAAAAGAAGCTTATATTCTTTTCCAATTAAGTACATGCCCGACAGGTTTATTTCAGTCTCTTCTAAAATATATTCCATCAAGTCTAGCAATCCATTGACGTATCTGGTTACACATTCTCTGACCTTTTGATCGGTATACTTCAAGCTTAGTAAAACCAAGACGAATGCGATCTTTTCCGAGGAATGCTAGATTGCATCTTAATTCTCTTCTCGCGCCATCACTGGACCAATCCTCGAATGGCTTAAGGTTTTTATAAGTAGAATTGAATTCTCTTAGGATCTCATTTCCGTAAAATGGATGTGGCCACCGGTCGCAACTAACGTTGAGAGGAACACCATTACCGAGTTGGTTATTGACAAATACATGATTTAATGGGCATTTATCTCCACTAAACGCTCCATTCACTCCAAAAGAAACAGAACTAACTAACACAAAAACTATGAAAAGATTCATTTTTTTTTTTGAGTAATAAAGTTATCAATGTGTAGTATTTATAAGTTTTTTTTTTGTGGAAAGCGTTTTATCTTTCCCTTTTCGATAGTCTATTAACACGTTAGCTAAATTTAAAAAAAAACATGGAGACTTGGGAATTATGCTTCATCGGTCATGGGTACATAGCTTAGTCAAAGTAGCGGGACTGTATGTAGTTTTTAACCAAGTCTTTGATGATGTTGTGAGCACATAATCACATAGCAAGGAGTACGTACGAACTAACAAACTCTAACGATTCTTTCATGCATACTCACTAATATATCGATACGCACAATCAAGATTCATATAAAATTGATTCAATTGTGCATATAAAATACGCACAATTGATATTCAATTGAATCGATTCTTTCATGCATACTCACATAGTAAGGAGTCCGAACTGACAAACTCTAACGAGTCATTCATGTTTACTCACTAATATATTGGTAGGCACAATCAAGATTCATATAAAATTCTAAGAGACTAAGACAACCCTCGTTAAAGAAAATTAAAGATGGGTCTCTTGTATTCTCGTCAAGAGATGGAAAGAAAAAAAGTATTCTCGTCAACCAAAATCTTAGGAGCATTTTCATCACCTTTACAACTAATCAGATTCCTATGATTCGATCCCACTAACACCTCCTTATTTTCAGTTTTAGCCAAACAGATTTTTCTCTTCCATGTCTCTCATCTTTGATTTTTGAGATACAAAGTTCAGAATGTGTCTGGAAAAAAAAAAAACATGGTTGTTTAGGTTTCTGTGAGGTTGAGTTGTTCAATCAAGCACTTTTGGAAAATTAGTCTTGGAGGTTGTTACACTTCCCGGAGAGAGTATAGGTGCAAAGGTTATTAAAAGTCAATACTATCCTGCTGGAGAATTTATGAATGTCAAGACCATTTTTTGGATGGAGAATTATTCTTCATGGCAGAACACTTTTGGAGAAAGGACTTGAGAGATCTGCTCGCTCTGGTGAGTCACTTAATTAATGCATATGGTTGGATCGAGGGAAACTGAACGAGCTCTTCTTTCCTAAAAACACGGAGATCATTCTGAGAAACAAACCAGCCGTTACATTAATAAACGGGTATGAGAGAGTACACACAAAGTATGTGGTTAAATGAGGATATTGGTTTGGATATAAAATGAAGATTTCAAAGGTTTTTAAGACCATCCTTGAAATATTCAGTTATCTCCTAAATGAAAACAAATGAAATTTGTTAATTCTGAAGCTTTTATGGTGGGTTTCTCAAACAATAACTGTTTATGCAGACCTTCTTTTCTTTTTTATTCTTAAATCATGTAATACTCTCTAAGACCCACCAATAGGGCTACTTTTAAATATTTAAAAATTGCAGGTACGATTGCCATATGTTAGATTAAAATAGACACAAAATTGCTAAATATCTTTAGGAATCCCAAATAAAGAAATTGTGTTATTATTTTCATAAAATGTAGACGACATAAGTAAATATTAAATAAATTTACGTTTTATTACAATATTTTGCTATATATCATAGCACATTATTAGTAGATCTTATGGATTAGTTCATAAGATTTAAAATATAGAAATAACTTATATGAATATTGGTAATTTTAAGGGAAAAGAAGGTTATATTCTTTTCCACTTAAGTACATGCCCGACAGGTTTATTCCAGTCTCTTCTAAAATATATTCCATCAGGTCTAGCAATCCATTGACGTATCTGGTCACACATTGTAGTACCTTGTGATCGAAATACTTCCAGCCTAGGAAAACCAAGAGCAACACGATCTTTTCCCAGGAATGCTAGATCGCATCTATATGTTCTTCTATTGCGTCTATCGGAATCATCGTTGAACGGCTCAAGTTTAGTATAAGTAGAATTGAATCCTCTTAGAATTTCCTTTCCTAAATTGTATGGCCACCGTGTGCAAGTAACGTTGAGAGGAGTACCACCACCGAGTTGGTTATTAATAACTACAACATTTAACCTGCATGCTTCATTCACTCCAAAACACACGGAAATAACTAAAACAAAAACTATAAAATGATTCATTTTTATATTTTTTTTTGGAGTAATAAAGTTATCAATGTGTAGTATTTATAAGTTTTTGTGTGGAAATCGTTTTTACCTTTACTTTTTAGATAGTCTATTAATACCTTAGCTAAATTTAAAAAACAAACATGAACCAAGTAATATAATTGGTCTAAGAAGACTTTTTCATTTGAATCTAGAAAAATATGGTTAGCCAATCAAATAAACTGAAATTATAAATCACCACACAAGAACTAAACAAGCAAAAAAATTAAGATGTTTGGAAACGTATTATTTTCGGTAAATATACATGTTACGTTACAGGCTTTCTTTTGTACACCATTTTTTTATTGATCAGTAGATATATTTTGCTTATTATTATATATAAATAAAGACATGTCTTTTGCACTAACAAAATTAGTATAGAACACTGAAAGAATTATAAACTTATATGTTGTAGAAATGTATTCTTTTTTTTAAAAACAATTTATATGTATTAAAAGCCTAAAAAACTAAGCTAATTTGTTTCCAAAGTAAGGAATACACTAGGTTTTAAAGGTGTTTTTCGTTATTATTAATAATGGCATCTTCATATTGAAACTTTAAACATCAACTAGTAAACGGTGACTAGACAAGAGTTAATCCTTATTCATTTTGAGATTAGTTAAAAATATATTACTTGTCAAAGAATGATATTTCGTTTTTCTTTTTTCTTTTTTGGTTTTGGTATTTGATGTTATTCTAATATTTGGATACGATACCTGCAGGGAAGTATATATACATGGAGACTTGGGAATTATATATACATGATCACATAGTAAGGAGTACGAACTAACAAACTCTAACGATTCTTTCATGTTTACTCACTAATATATTGATAGGCACAATCAAGATTCATATAAAATTCTAAGACGACCCTCTCGTCAAAGAAACCAAAGATGGCTCTCTTGCATGTATTCTCGTCAAGCAAACACTTGAGCGCCTTTTCCACGTGTTACAGGTTCTTATGCTTCGATCCTCACCTTTACATTGGTTTACATTTTCAACACCTTACTTTTTATCTTTTACACTTGATCTCCGGTTCAACCGGGTGTAACTTGGTAAATCAAATGTAAACAGAAGAAAATGTTTAGTAGGACAATAAAACGGCATATTATAGATTTTTTGTTAACCAAATACCTTTTCTTTTTCGGTAGTAAGAAATGGCTAATTATGGGAGACAAAGATCCATTTTCGAAGCCGCAATAACCGTTTTGGCGCGTTAGAATTTCATTTCCTTTTGAAAGATCCTAAACCCAGAAAAGGGAAACAAAAATTCTTGGTAAGATCAAAATTTCATAACCGATACATAGATTCTGGATTTGGAAGGTATGTCGTCGTATATCAAAGCTAATTTAATGTGTAAAACCCTTTATATACCGTTCGTTACTCATTGTTGATTGATCATGTTCATAAAAGGTTTTCTTGAGGAAGAAGAAAGAAACAAAAGGGCAACGAGGGTGGTCTCTCATTAGCTCTTGAGAATGGCGAAATTAACAGTCTTAGGAAAGGCCACGACAACGATCTCGATGGTAATGATCATGTTAATGACGATGAAGATGGATGTTTTGGTGGTTGGAGCATCATCGGACAACAATGCTGTGTACAGTCCTTGTTCAGACACGCACATAAGCAAAGGAGATGGTTTCACATTCGGTGTTGCAATCTCGAGCAAAGAAGCTTTCTTCCTTGACCAAATCCAGCTTTCACCTTGCGATTCCCGTCTCGGCTTAGCAGCGAAGATGGCGCAGCTCGCGCTTTTCCGACCTAAGGTAGACGAGATCTCTCTTCTCTCCATCGACACAAGTAAGTTTAACCCGGTAAGTCTCTAAATGGCTCTATACATACAAAAAATCTTAATGGAACACACAATCACAAAGCTTATTTGGTGATGTTTTCTTGTGACAAGAGTGAAGCAGGAGGATACATGGTTGGATTCGCAGGCTCCAAATACGCAGCAAGATCTTATCCTGTGAAGGTCGCAGATGGAAGCAACATAATCACAGATTTCACACTTGTAATGAAGTAACCCTAAACCCTTTCAAGAACCAATCAAACAACATATGACAGAGCATTGATGGGTTTGAAACTGTCTTTGGCCTGGCAGGTAATGGAGTTTCAGAAAGGAGTGTTGCAGAATCTGTTCTGGAAGAACTTCGGATGCGATTCTTGCAAAGGAGGATCTTCTTCTGTATGTCTCAACGGGACAGATTGCGCGGTTCCAACGTCCAAATGCAAGGCTAATGGTGGTGAAGCTCACTGCAACATTGGGATTCAGGTGGCGTTTTCCGGGACAGACAAGAACCTCGAGTCGCTGAACTCGTGGTACGAGGTAAGCAACCTGAGGCAGTACTCACTTACCGACCTCTATGCAAATGCTGTAAATTCTCTAAGTGGAGGACTCTTGTAAGCGCGCGAGAGAGAGAGAGAGAGAGAGAGAGAGAGAGAGAGAGAGAGAGAGAGAGAGAGACAAAGTGTAATGCATGTTCCTAAATAGGTTTGCTTAATAACAAGTTTACAATGATGAAACAAATAACTTTACAAAACCAAAACTGCATTTCTATAGATCAATGCAAGAGAAAAATATGCTTCCACAAACACAAGAAGGTTTTATATATACAGAACTCTATTGTCATTGTTGTATACAAAACCATCACAAATTGATAGTATCACTTGTTTTTTTTATACACATGGAAGAATATTAAGAAGAACCCTCCAAAAACAGATCCCCAAGATTTAGAAGAAACAAGAAAACAAATCAAAATTTAACATAGAGAAAAGATAAGCAAACTGGTTCAAGTCAAATCATAAGCTACCTCCTCCATTATAAACCTGAGTGTTATTACTCTGAGTCTGGCCGAGATTACGGATTCTCCCTTATGTCTCTCAGAAGATCTTGCAGCTCGGGGAACACCGTTCGGAGTAGCAGCTCCAGTATTGCAAATGTTAGTTGCTTTATGCATACGTTTGACTGCGATCGATGGTTTATGTGTTAAAGTATTGGTCAGGACCAAAATGATGGATGATACCACAACCGAGTTAAACTTTTTAAGTGTGAGACACTTAAGAAGACTAACCTGAGTGAAATAAAAGATGTCTCTCGCGCATCTCCTGTACTGCTTGTGCCCTACCAAGCTCACTAACGCTGTTGGGGCGCCACCTGATCAAAGAACAAACTGTTAAACTTCCAATGAGACAAAAACTAACTTGAGACTATAATTGGAGGGGAAGTTAAGATGCTCACCGAAAAGGAAGTTCTTGATTTCAAAAGCTCTACGTGAAGCCTCGAGTTGCTGCTCATAGGAACTGGGTTTAGTCACCTTCATGCCACCAAGTTGGCCTGCCATTTGGAAAGTGTTTGCACTCGGGTCGGTCTCATCCGTTGCCTCTTGACCGTCACCCACTCTGGTAAAGAATACGCCATCTGGCCAAAGAATCTGGAGAAATAAATGCAAATAAAATTGTAAGCAGCAAAAAGAGAGATCACTCAGCTAGTACTAATATTTCCTCTGCCTACTTGAGTTATATCAGACCCCAACTTTCCTACTTGGGGTCTCTAAGAGGAAAGAAATAGGGGAGAATTCAGTTGACTTTTGAGCAAGATCATCGAAAAACTCAAGTCTTACATCTTGAGCCCAACGAATTCCTTGAGCGACTGTGTCTTCACTCCGCAGCCAACACACCTCCCTCAGAAGCCAGTCATCCACAGCATCTTCCATAACCAACTGTAATATCTGCTTTGATATCCAGAAAACTTGCCTCCTGTAACAACACCATATAAAGGTTATGTGAAAACGCCATGTGATACGTGAACTATTCAAATAGAATTCGATGATCTACAACGAATAAAAATCAGAAAAAAATTAACTACATTGTCTTACCTTAACCATCCTCTTCTATTTAACTGAAACACTTTATCAACTAGGTTCAAAATTGGCACACTGACATTCGGCGGCATCCACTGTAATGAAAAAACAGAGGATAAGTATGGTGTTGTCCAAGATTAGAAGATGCCAAAAGAGTAGACTAACAACTTCAAAAATCTCTCTGGTGATATGTCTCATTAAGCATATCATAAATTCAGGTGCATGAAAGCCATCTCGTGCCATCAAGACAGATTTTAGCCAGGGAACATACAAAAGCTAAATGACACAACCTGATCGATGGATGGCATCCAGTAAAACAGTAGATTATGCAAGGGAGACTAAAAGGCTATTTATGGTGTACCTCGGGTGGCATGCCAGTAGGACTTTGAACCAAACTTGTCGATAGATCGGCATGCTGATGCTGCGAATCGGGGGACCCCCTTACTTCAGATTTTGCCTTAGAATCATTTTCCATATCCGAAGGAAAATTCTCAGGCTCTCCAAGACGTCTAACCACTCTCGGTGGGAAATACTTAGAGTCCAATTCATTATCTGAGTGCCAACCATTAGCTTCTGAATCAAGTCTACCTTCCCCTTGGGTACTCTCTCCAAGTTTATCAATGTCTTCATTATCAGAAATGCTGCTGTTCATTGATTCAGTTGCAATTCCCTTAGTCAGCTGAGTGTTTATATCGTGTACACTCCAGGACATGTGGCGAGCAGGAGCACTATCACTTTCTTCGAGTGGTGATCCTACAACTTTGCGCATAAGGCCATCTGAGACCCCTTTAAACTGACGCACAATATCGTCCATGGCATCATCAACGTTAACTGTTCAATTCCGGAAAAAAAAATATTTAGTAAAATGGAATAGTAAAGCAAACACAAAAGCAAAAATCAGTTCTCTCTTCAGTCTGATCGGTTTCTAAGAATTCGGTTTCTTAGCATAACAAGACAGGTTTTTATAAGAGGTAACAGAAAGCTAGGGCTGAGTTTTATATACAGCTACATGTTACCAAAACAGTAGAGATAACAATACCTGCAAGAGTTTTCATCACCGATGAAGACTTTCCAAAAGAATAATTCTACAGAACGAAAACAACAATCATTAGATCATCCATCTAAATGAAAATAGAAAGCAATGGCATTTTGGGGGTTGCACTTAGTCAGGTCCTCACTTTTGAGGACGCACTTAGAAAATCCCAAACTTCATGCTGTTCAGCAACATTAGCTATAGACAAGAGATCCTGCAGAAAAGGAAATGATCCCTAATAAGAGAATGTTGATGGTAGATATGTTTTCAAAGTTGCTAAGGGAATAAATACTACTTGTAGAAACTTGTCCAGCTGAATACAGCGGCGATGAACAAAGGCATCTTCGGTGCTTGATGAGAATATACGCTTGGGAGGCAACTGTAAATTGTAATTTGGGATTTCTTTGAGTTGACGATGCAATCGCTCGAAATTACTATATCTGGAGGAAAGAAAAATAAATACTTTACGATCAAGTAGCAGCAATATTAATCCTTTTACGAAGAAAATTAGTATCAAAACCTAGTGACATAAGTAACTAAGTTCAATGATGCACTGATATGATTTTCTTGCTAACAGAAATGATGACAAATTGAGAATATAACCTTCTCTTGACAAACCAAGTTTTGTTTTCCATATCTGTCACTGCAATAGAATATACTGCAAATGATTTTGATGCCAGCTTCTCAAAATAAGCTCCAAGAACCTGCAGCCACACAGACGTAAGATACAAACTTCTGAGAATTCTTCAAGACAAAAGAAATAGTGATCTTAAGTGAACAGCATATAATTTGCAAAACACACAAACAAAACAGAAAAGGTTGTTCAAGTGCATGTTGGAGATGTAGAGACCAGAGCTTACCCGAGATTTCAGCTTTGGGCAATGCTGACTCTCTTTGTGAGGAAGCATGTTTGGGGATCTATTATCACTTGTATAATTCTCATTGTGCTTGATAAAATCAGTGGTGTAGAACTCTGTGATAAGAGGCCCCTCACCGACTCCTAATAGTGCCAGCCTTGTGTCAGGATTTAAAGTAAGATCCGATGTACTATTGGATCTCTTAAGCCTATTTTTATTTCCATCAGAAGGAGATTCCTTTCTAACATCAACCTCATAGATGTGGCGCCTTCCTTCATATGAAACTGATTTACTAAAACCCTCAGCCATCTGCGCTTGCGACTCCTTATCAATACTTGCTTTAGGGGGCAAATTTGCCACTGCTTTGTCTTCTGCTGCAGTAGAAGTCCCGGGTATGGAGCTATGACTTTTCTGTTTGGCCTCTAATTGATTACTAGACAAGGAACCCTTCTTCAGAGATTTTTTGTACTCCTTCTTTTTGTAGTTTCTTCCTTTCGTCCACATGTTTTCAAGGTTTTCGGGAGTGAGAACCTCAGTTCTCCTTTGCGTCGCGACCTCTAGCATCCGAGCCCAATCAGCAGAGTGCTGTTGAATGTGCAGTTCCGGCTGTCTTTCATCGTCTTTGGATGGTGTTTTCTGCTCATTAACTTTTGTCAAACTCATGTTTTTTGCTTGATTATCGAAAGCTGACAATGAGGCAGGGTTCACATGCTGTTCTTCCCCAGAAAACTGCTCAAAGTTTCCCTCTTTAACAAGATTGATAACGATCTCAATCACCTCATTGATACGCCTGAGGCAGAATATAAAGTTAATTAGCATATCTGCCTTAGACAAACTAAAGGCAGAGTTTGAAGCAAGTAACTGAGGAGAAGCGAGGAAAAATAAATTCATCGGTAGACATAAATAGGTAGAGAACTAACTCGGGGGATGCCAAATTCAGAAGAGGTTGAACTACCAAGCAAGTAACAATCTCTCTAGCTATCGTTCGAACAAGAGGGCACTGAGCTTCTCGTGGTCTGAGAACCACAGATAAGATGCCAGCAACTATTTTCTGAAGAACCTGTTAGAAAAACAAGAAGGACGTTTGTGTAAAATAACCAAATTAGGAGGGAACCTTAAAACGGCCGCATCAAATCATCTGAACCATCACTCATACCTTGTACTCACTCTCAGGTGATATAAGTGCAGGATAGAGATCTCCATAAGTCATAAGATGGTATTTTAATCTTTCATCTCTCTCCTCAGAAGACAATGTCTTCATAACATCAGTACCTATAGCAGCATGGTTTCTTCTAAAAATTTCCAAATGATCACCTATCAGATCAACTATATCCCTGCAAAATTAGACATTGCTTTCAATCTAAATGATGCCCTTCAAAGACATTGTTATTGAAGCAATGGAAGAGGAATAAAGGACACAGCACCTGGTTACAAGGTCGACGATATTGATCTCTTTAACCCTTACTGAAATTTCACCAAGAGCATCCATGATCACTCCACGGATCAGTTCAGGCGCCTCTCTATCAGGCGTGATCAGAGAGTACCACAGATTTATCACGAAATCGTTAAGGATCTTGTCGATGAAATCGTTTATCGCAGCTTCCACTACAGGTGAGTCGATTTTCTTCTTCCACCTTGGAGGAGGTGGGACAGTAGAGAGACGCGGATCATTCAAAGACAACTGCTTCTTATCGATATAAGACGACTGGCTTTGCCTTGGAGTTGGCCGAACTTTCCATCTGAAGTCAATCTGATTAAAAAGTATCCGCAGACCGCAGAGTATGAGGATTGCCATTGGCAAATTCATCCACATAGACTTGCTTGTATCTGCATGAGGATAAAGAGAACAAGAACAGAGTAAACAACACTTCATCTACGTTTCTTCTAATTGAAGTTGATTTTGATTACAAACTGATCTTAAAATCCATCCTAATGCAGGGAATAAAAGCAAAATTTGCAGCTTCAGGGCATTATCAGAACTGGAAAATGACCATAGAAGGAGACGATTACAGAGTTTCGTATCTAAAACTAGAAAGTGTAAGCAGGAAACGGAAAAAAAAAGAGAAGAGAAGAGGTCGAGAAATTTGACATACGGGTCAAGAAGTATGTGACGGAGAAGATGCATAAGCCCCACCATACGGTTCGTACTTTGGCTTCCTCGATCAGATCCTGTATAGTCTCCATCGCCTTCATCGTCTCCTTCTCTTCTTCTTCTTCTTATCACTAGAGAAAAACGACGGAATTTCAAACTAATTCCAGCAAAAATTACCCAATCGAATCGTTTGGAATTTCGATCCAATTTCTAAGCTTCAGAGAAGGACGACGGAGAGAACAACCCTAGCTAACTGTGATGAAACACCGAATTCGCTAAGAAAAATGGCAGAAAAATTCAACTGAAGCTGGGCATAAGATCGAAATTTGAATCAAACATGGTGGATTCTTCTTCTTCCACTTATCTGGCCTTTAATTTTTTTTTAATTGTTCGTCGTTTTTTGTTAGACTGCGGAGACAATTGCTCTGGACAGAGCGACGACACAATACGGTGTCGTTTCTCCGTCGATGCAGTTGCTAATTGGACACCTTTTTACTTTTTTTTTTTCAAATATTTACCATTTTTACTGAAGGAAATTTGGCAAGAAAAACAATCAGAAATTTGTTCTTTATCGTTTCCATGTTGAGAGGCATAATCTTCATATGGTTTATTCAATGTTTCATTATTGCATTGGTTGTAAATATAATCATTTATGGGTTTATTTTACAAATTATTTTTTCTTATTCGAGTGTTGTGTTCTTACGGTTTCCTCTTAGACCGCGATTTGGGCACTAATACACAAGGCGATGATATAAAGATGAAGATGGAAATGGTTTTGGATATGTTTACTATAGAGCTAAATTAGATGATGCATGTTTAGTGATTAAGAGAAATACCATTAGAGAATCTTCTTCACTAAAACCCAAATGTGTTTAAGATATTTTTGCCTTGTGGACCAATCTAAGATATTTTTATACAATCTTATCTGAAAAATTATGAATATACACAAAATTAAATTCAACGGCTCTTATCTATGGGCCAAAATTAAAATCATACCCCCAGAATTATTCATTTTATTCCATCCAACATCACTATCAAAATCACTTTTTTACTTTCTCTATAAAACTAAATATCTGAATCCTTATCCACTTCAAACTCATCTTCTCTCTTCTCTATAATTTCGAAGTTCTAAAAACTCACTTTCTTGCTACTAATCCTAATAATAATACTTTCAGTGACGATGATGATAAAGTCGGTGACTCTTCGTTCGTTTCCTCTTCCTCTTGACTTCAACGGAAAAGCTAAGCTCGCCGAACCGTCGTCAACTTCTTGTTTTCCGGCAAGATCTTTCCCGGTGGTTCGGTGCTCAAGCACGAGAGACGTGCCTAAGCTTGAGCTCTTCAGCCGCGGAAAATTCGACCGGATTCTTCAAGATCCGCCGTTAATTCAAAAAGCCGAGTCCGAACTCTCAGGTACAGTTGAAACAAAAAGCTCCATAGTTTTGAACTATAATCAAATCATATAGCTTAACGTTTTGTGTGCCGATTTGTGTTTGCTTTCAGATTATTGTTCAACACTCGAAGGTGATGATTCTTACAGCTGTTGGAGAGCTTACTTCGAACTCAAGGATCTTGAAGTAATTTAAAGAACTTTACTTTTCACAGACTTTGGTCACTCTTAATGAGAGTTTTTGGTCTAATCTTGGCTTAATGCAGAGAGAGAAGCCAAAAGTGGAAGTTGAGAATCTAATCTTGCAAACAGGCGGCTTAAAATCTCTGATCGGCTGTTTACATGGAGTTGCTTCAATGGAGAAGGAAAACAAAACCAAGAACGGTTTAAAGGGAGCAGCAGAGCAACCAGATTCAAAGAAAGGGATGAAGATACACAATCATATTCCTGATGGTTTACCAAAATCTCAAGAAGAATTAGAGGAAGAAGAGAGCTCGAAAATGCCGGATTCGGCTTTCACAAGATTGCTTAGAGCAAAAGGAACTATCCCTGCTTGGTTCTCTCACGCTCCTGACCACGAAACAGACTGAAAAAGAAAACTATTCCTTGCAACCTACGGTACCTTTAGAAAAGTTGTTTTCTTTTTCACAGTTTTACTTGATATGTAAATATAGCAACAGGTTGTTTCTTTGGTTTTGCTTAGAACGTTTTGTGATGTGGTTGTTATTGCGTGATGTTCGCGAATGAATCGATATCAAGTTTGTTTCCGAGAGCCGTGTGCTTATTATAGTTCTTGGTTTTGGTTACAAAAACAATTTTTCCTATTCTTGATTATGTTTTTTTTTTTGTCTACGGATGTGAAGCAAAATCCTTCAAAAAACAGAACAAGAATCCTCTAAAGATAGGCAAGGAATGTTTGGTGATGCAAAATTAAAAAAAAAAAAACGTTTTGACATTATTAATAATAACCCTTTTGGTGTCGTCTTCATAGTTCCATGCCCATATCTATAAGCAGCCTTGGGTCTTTTCCAAGGTTTTGTTCAAAAGCCATGAATAAACCTCCATTTTCTCTCTCGCCCTTTGGCTGCTTCCTTTTGTTCTGCTTCTCTTTCTTCTTCTTCTTCTCCTCCTCCGTCGTCTTAGCACTCACCGACGCAGAAGCCTCATTCATTGCACAACGACAGCTCCTGACATTACCCGAAAATGGCGACCTTCCCGAAGATATTGAATATGAAGTTGATCTACAGGTGACATTTGCCAACAACAGGCTTAAGAGAGCGTATATCGCTCTCCAAGCCTGGAAGAAAGCGGTCTTTTCAGATCCGTTTAACACCACCGGGAACTGGCACGGCCCGCACGTTTGTGGCTACACAGGCGTGTTCTGTGCCCCGGCTCTTGATGACCCTAGTGTCGCGGTTGTTGCGGGTGTAGATTTGAATGGTGCGGATATCGCGGGGCATTTGCCGGTTGAGCTTGGTTTGATGACGGATGTGGCCATGTTCCATCTCAATTCAAACCGTTTTTGTGGCATCATTCCAAAAAGTGTGGACAGGTTGAAGCTAATGCACGAGTTCGATGTCAGCAACAACCGGTTCGTCGGACCTTTCCCTTCCGTTGTCCTGTCCTGGCCGGCCGTTAAGTATATCGACCTAAGATACAACGATTTCGAAGGTGAAGTCCCTCCTCATCTTTTCAAGAAGGATCTTGATGCCATTTTCTTGAACAACAACAGATTCACTTCCACCATTCCTGAATCACTCGGAGAATCTTCAGCCTCTGTTGTGACATTCGCTCACAACAAATTCCACGGTTGTATCCCTAAAAGTATTGGAAACATGAAGAATCTCAACGAGATTATCTTTAAGGACAACAGTCTCGGTGGTTGTTTCCCGTCAGAGATCGGAAAGCTAGCAAATGTGAATGTTTTCGATGCAAGCATGAACTCCTTCACCGGTGTTCTACCACCGAGCTTTGTTGGGCTTACCGGTGTCGAAGAGTTTGATGTCTCTGGGAATAAACTCACCGGATTTATGCCGGAGAATATTTGCAAGTTGCCTAAATTGGTTAACTTAACATATGCTTACAATTTCTTCAATGGACAAGGAGATTCATGTGTCCCCGGGAGTCGAAAAGAGATTGCATTGGATGATACACTTAACTGCTTACCGGATAGGCCTAAGCAACGGTCGGCTAAAGAATGTGTGGTCGTGATTAATCGTCCTGTCGATTGTAGTAAAGACAAGTGTGCTGGTGGTTCTAGCCCCTCTACGCCGTCAAAGTCAAAGCCGCCGTCAGTTACACCAACTCGGCCGGTTCATAAACCACAACCACCTAAAGAGTCACCTAAACCACAAATACCGAAAGAGTCACCTAAACCACAAATACCCAAAGAGTCACCAAAACCACAACCACCGAAAGAGTCACCTAAACCAAGTGATCCATCTGATCAGTCTCCAGTGAAGTTCAGGCGTAGTCCACCTCCGCCACAACAACCACATCGCCCGGTGGTTTCTTCTCCTCCTCCTTCGCCACCGGTACATTCACCACCACCACCTGTACATTCTCCTCCACCACCAGTCCATTCACCACCACCACCAGTGCATTCTCCTCCACCGCCTGTCCACTCACCACCACCACCGGTACATTCTCCTCCGCCCCCAGTCCACTCACCACCACCACCAGTACATTCTCCTCCGCCACCAGTCCACTCACCACCACCACCAGTCCACTCACCACCACCACCGGTACATTCTCCCCCACCGCCGGTCTATTCACCTCCCCCACCCGTTTATTCCCCACCACCGCCACCAGTCCATTCACCGCCACCACCAGTTTATTCTCCACCACCGCCAGTATACTCTCCACCGCCTCCACCACCTGTCCAATCTCCTCCACCACCAGTTAACTCCCCACCACCACCGGTATATTCTCCTCCACCCCCACCAGTCCATTCACCACCACCACCGGTACATTCTCCTCCACCGCCTGTCCACTCACCACCACCACCGGTTCATTCTCCCCCACCACCATCGCCAATCTACTCTCCTCCACCGCCCGTACCCTCCACACCACCACAAACACCGGTTAACTCTCCTCCACCACAAGCACCAACACGGACGGTAGAAGCACCACCTCCAAGTGAAGAATTCGTCATACCAAAATTCATCGGCCACCAATATGCGTCGCCACCACCTCCAATGTTTGCCGGATACTAATCTTAGCGAGAGAGAGAGACAAGTTGATATATATGAATCACGTCGAGAGCAAAAACAAAAAAAGAAAACAAGAAAAATGTGAGGAAGACGGAAGAAGAAAAAAAGGAGGAGGAGGAGGACAATGTATCGTAGTGGCATTAAACTCCTAACATAGAATCGTATAAACTTTGTGTAGTAACAGTTAATTAACAACATCTTTTTTTTTTGGCCACATAAATGATTTTTACACTTTGAAAAACGAAAGGAGTTGTTGTTTATGCTTCTTCTCTTGTGCATTAAGGCCGTTTTTTACGATGATGGTACCTTAGAATCTACATATTTGCGATCTCTTATTCTTAAATAAAGATATCTTTTTAGGTAGAATCAAAAATTAGTGTATCGGTATCCGTAAGCAAGATCTTCAAATGAGACCAGGCTACCAATTAACGTATAGCTTAAGTAAGGTCACTTCAAGAAATCTAGTTTAGCAAAGCTATTGGGCCTACAGACACTAAAAGATATATGGGCCTACGAAGAGTGAAGTTGTAACTGAGAACGACGACGTATTATTTGGGATGCTTTTGCTGCACGACGAAGCATAAGCATGATCTTCCGGTCAAGTCACTGAGTTTCATCTAACTGAAATACAGTTTTGATTTCGAATCTTTGATTCAATTTCATTTCGTTCGAAACCCTAATCGCGCATCTCATTTCTGGTAGTTCCCAAATCAAGAGATTTTTCGAAAACCCTAATTTGTGCCATCGACGATGGAGCAAGACAAAGAAATCCACGAGGGGAAAGAGAAATCATCCCCAGTTGAAGAAGAACCTGTTCGGAGAGAGGAAGGCGAAACTGTGAAATCGAATGCGGTAGATTCGGAGGCGCCACCGAAGAGTCCCGGTGGGTGGGGATGGGGTTTTTCTGGCTTCTCTGTGCTCTCGGATCTCCAAAAAGCTGCGGAAGATATGACTCGTAATGTAATGTTCCGACTCCAAATTTGAACCATTTTTTTATGAATTCGTTTTTTATTATAATGCTGGATCCGAGTTTATGGTACCAAATGATAGCGATTTAGTGTAGTGTCATTCACTATAAGTCTGCATTGTGTTGTTCGTCAACCAAATGTTTAGGGGATGGTGAAATCCCTATGGGTTTTGTTTTGGTAACTGGTAATTTTGGTATTTGTATGCTATGAGGAATCTAATCTGATGGGATTACATAAAAGTTGCCTCTTTTAGAAGAAGCATGTGGTATGTTTGATGTTTCTGTCTTGGGAAACTCCCTAATGATGTCTAGTTTACGAATGTAGAGACTTTCACGGTCGAATTGATGATCCATGATTTCTCACTGTAGGCTGCAGCAGTGGCGGAGAAAGCAGCGAAAAGCATTGCGGATATGCAAGAAGCGGATGAAGACTCGGAATCTTCTGCCAAGGAGGAAGAGAAAACAGAAGAAACTGGTACGGAGCAGGATAGTGATGATGAGAGTGAGAAGTTGAAGAAGTTAGCTCTTGGTAAATTGGAGGATGCAAGTGAAGAGTCACTTCTTAGCCAGGCAAGTCTTTCTTGCTTCTTATATGCAAAGCCATATATTGCTCTTTACCACATTCTGTTGGTTCTTCGTTGGGTCAAGTCACTGTTCTTCATTTGCTTATACCGTTATACGTTAGGATCTAAGTAGTGTTTGGATCTTACCTTTTCCAGGGTTTGAAGGTTTTTGATGATTCAGTTGAGAGTTTCACTTCTGGAGCTTGGCTGGCACTAGGAAATGCGTTAAAAGGGGGCACAAATTTGGTCCAAAAGTATGTTACACTTTTCATTTTTCATTTTGTTTTACTGAAAGCTTTTAATCTTGACTGTGTACAAACTTTGTGGATGGAAAGTTTTGAAAAGACACTAAAAAGGAAGTAAATCTCCAGTTAGAATGTTGTAAGTTAAAGGATTTATCAATGCTCCATGAACCTTCATAAGGAAAGTTTGCATCGGGAATGAAATACTTTAATTGTCTGAGGCTCTGAGCATCTTATATTAGATTGACAAAGCAACACCATCAACATGATAAGTTTCTATAATTCAATGGATTGTAGATTCGCATGCTCTTTTGGTTCTCCATGTTGGGTAGGATATATGTGTCATTTGCTGAATATACTGTTTGCTGGTAACTGGTGGGACTGTGGTGGCTTAACGAACCCGGAGGTCTTATGCTTCTTCAGCAGGGACCGGTTTTCCTAAGGTCAAGTTTTGATGATCCACTATTTCTCTTGTAGGCTTGAAAACAGTGTCCAGCAAGGTCCTTCGCCTAGGGCAGCTGGGTCTGGTGCACCGTCTCTATTGGAGGTTTCTGCTGCTTGTGCATTCTTCTGTCTTTCGTTATCTTAACGTTTTATGTAACCCTTGTTTTTGATCTTCAGACGGGAAAAGCATTAACTGCCAAAGGAATGCAAGTTCTTGAGTTTGTGGGTAAAGAGACTATGGATTTATTGATTACAGAGACTGGTCTTGGAGTGGAGAAGAACAGGGAAGACAAGGATCAAGTGGTTGAGGAAGTGACATTTGATCGATGCTTTTACATTTACGGCGGTCCTGAGCAGCTTGAGGTTACCTAATCTCTGAAAAATCATCAGTTAGATAATCAATACTGTTTTCCCTCAAATTACTGGATGTATGGTGATTTCAGGAATTGGAAGCATTGTCAAGCCACTATACTCTGTTGTTCAACAGGAGAAAAGGGAAACTGTCACCAGATGAGAAATTGCTGTATGATGGGAAGCTCAAACAGATCCAGCAACTGTTCAGCTTCGCTGATGAAATGAGCCGAAGTAAAGCAGAGTCTGATAAAGGGAAGAAGATAGATATCAAAACTGAAGGCAATGATGATGACATGAAGAATCTGCACAACTCTAGTGTCAGCAAAGCTGCTGATATGGCTGCTGGGTAATCATCATCTTTTCCCCTTTCCGTCACTTTCCATTGCTCCCTTTGTCTGTCTTTAGCTTGTTCATCTTATGATGTCAGGTTCACAAACGCTTTAGCTGGGCTAAACATGAACGATATGATCCAGCGGACCGGTGGGAGGCTGGAATCTCTTCACTCAGAAGGAGTTCATGTGCGAAGAAGAGTGTTCCTTTCTTTAATATTTCCTCTCTCAAATAATTCATTCTACCACTAACCTAAGATGAAATCTCTCCTTGTGCAGAGACTTTCAGAGATGTGCTGTTTTGCAGTCACTCATCTGCTTATCCTCGGCAAGTCCATGATATCGAATGCCAACAAAGCCGAGAATGAAGAAGAAGACACGGAGGCGCTGAAAATCGAGTGGCCAGAGGATCCCACTGAGAAAGCTAAGCTGATTAGAGGCAAAGCAGAATCAATGGCTGGATATGTCGAAGCAGTTTCCAACAGTTTTATAACAGGTTTGTCCACAGTCACGAATTCAAATGTATGCTAGAAGAAGGGAATGACAAAATTTTGCACTTTTTCTCCTACGTACGTGCAGGTATAGCAGATGTATCTGAAACATACGCAGCTGCAATGAAAGGAGTTGGTGATGATGATACCAAAGATGATCTTCTGAAGAAATCGAGCATGGAGGAGAAGGCGAGCAACTTCAACGATAGTCTTCGCTCAGACCAAGCCACAGCTATCACAAAGATCCAGGAAGGACTTGAGTATCTATCCTATGTCGTGGTCTCTACCTCAATGCCCTCTGCCTGATATGATATATATCAATAATAATAATAGGAGTCTTATTGTTTTTGGTTTTTTTCCTTTTCATTCCCTTCTTAATACATATGACTCAGATTCCATTTTAGTTTTGTTTGTAGATATTATCATCTCTTTCGCTAGTTGCTCTGCTATTATGGTAAAATCAAGTCTCTTTTGACCAATTATATTACTTCATTCATGTTTTTGGCTAACCATATTTTTCTACATTGAACTAGATAAAGTCTTTTACGGCCATTTAAATGGCTTGGTTCATATATGTTTCTAAGTTTAGCTAAAGCTATTTATAGACTACCTAAAAAGTAATTTTTTTTTATAAATACTACTCATTGATAACCTTATGAGTCAAAATATATATATATATATATATATATATATATTCCATAAAAAAAATGAATAATTCTGTAGTTTTCCTGTTAGTTATTGTGATGTGTTTAGGGTGGAATGAAGCATGCAAACAAAATCGCATCGTAATAAGTAACGAACTTGATTATGGTCTTCCTCTTGGAATCCATTGCCGTGATTGGACAGGCAAAGATTATGGAATAGAGATTTTGAAAACACGAGACTCCAATAGAACCTTTGACTTCATCGATGTCGCTGGCAAGAAGAGAGCACGTTATGAATGCGATATGTGGTACAAAACCAAAACTAGTCTTTACAACTTTGATAGTGTGGAGGTATATCGAGCAGCCAAGAACAAAAGATGTGGCGAATTTCGTCAGTGGAGTGGTAGGTTAAATGGAGTTTACACCAGAAGAGATTATAATAAACCGCTGGGACCTGCTCTTAAATGGACCGTTAAATCAGACTAACAAGAAAAAGCTTCTCTCTTTCCTTAAACTTACCAATAGTATAATCAAATATTTATGTATTGTATTGTATCATACATTATTTATTTTTAAATCATATATTCAAACCATTTTGTCAATAATACAAATATCAGCAGCTATACAATCTCTTTTGCAAACCATTGAGAAAACAGATTAGGCAGAGACGAAACGAAATCCAACGGGCTCGCGATGCAACGATGACTGTTCCCGGAGCCTTCGACTTATCTTCATCACTCTCCGTCGCCTCTCCGTTCGCCGCCGTCGTCCCCGTCACGGCCTTCAACATCATTCACTATGTCCCTGTTAGCCACTTCTCCATTTCCAGCTTAAATCTCCTCCGTCCGCTTTCCTTCTCCCTTATCCGCCATCGTCGTCGCCGTCTCTCCTTCCATCGGAACGAAACCCCATTCTTTTCTCAGTCATCCACCCGTCCACTCACGGCTAATTCCGCTGCTCAGCAAAGCGGGACTTTCGTCGAACACGTTGCAGGTATCAAAGGATCAAGCAACGAAGTTTACAATTTCGGCGATGTGGAGACTGCGAGGAACGACTTGAGGAATGTTACGACTCGTCGTAGAATCGAAACGGATGTGGAAGTGAGAGAAATTGAAGACTTGCCGGAGGAGTGGCGACGGTCGAAGCTCGCGTGGCTGTGTAAAGAAGTCCCGACTCACAAGGCCGTGACGCTCGTGAGGCTTTTGAACGCGCAGAAGAAATGGGTTCGTCAAGAAGACGCTACTTACATCGCTGTGCATTGCATCCGAATTCGTGAGAACGAAACAGGATTCAGGGTAAAACCTTTTTATCCAAAACAGTTTCATCAATTTTCTGGCTTAGTTTTGCAATTGAGTTTAGCTGATTTGTGTTGAAAAATTTTTCATCTTTTTAGGTGTATAGATGGATGACACAGCAGAATTGGTACAGGTTTGATTTTGGATTAGCTACAAAGTTAGCTGATTTCTTAGGCAAAGAACGGAAATTTACCAAATCCAGGGAAGTGTTCGATGATATTATGAATCAAGGGCGTGTTCCATGTGAGTCTACGTTTCATATACTTGTAGTTGCGTATCTGAGTAGCTCAGAGAAAGGCTGCTTTGAAGAAGCTTGCAGCGTTTACAACAGGATGATTCAGCTTGGAGGTTACAAGCCGCGTCTTAGTCTGCATAACTCTTTGTTCAGAGCTCTGGTTAGCAAACAGGGAGGGCCTTCGAGTGATGACGTTAAGCAAGCTGAGTTTATCTTCCACAATGTTGTGACGACCGGGCTTGAAGTGCAGAAGGATATCTACAGTGGATTAATCTGGCTGCATAGTTGCCAAGAGGAGGTTGACATTGAGAGGATAAACTCTTTAAGAGAAGAGATGAAGGAGGCAGGGTTTGAAGAGAGTAAAGAGGTTGTGGTCTCGTTACTTAGAGCTTATGCGAAGGAAGGAAGCGTGGAAGAAGTTGAGAGGACATGGCTTGAATTGGTTGGTTTAGGTTGCGGTGTACCGTCTCAGGCGTTTGTGTACAAGATGGAAGCTTATTCGAAAGCCGGCGATTATGAGAAAGCTTTGGAGATATTTAGGAAGATGGAGAAGCATGTAGGTGGTGGTGGTGCAACTGTTTCTGGATACCACAAAATCATTGAGGTCTTATGTAAAGTTCAGCAAGTGGAGTCTGCGGAATCGCTCTTGAAAGAGTTTGTAGAAAGCGGGAAGAAGCCGCTTTTACAGTCATATATAGAGATAGTGAAAATGTACTTTGATTTGGGTTTACATGAGAGATTGGAGATGGCTTTTGTTGAGTGCTTGGAGAAATCTCAGACTCTCTACAACATATACTTGGAGTCTCTGGTTAAGATCGGAAACCTTGAGAAAGCAGGGGATGTTTTCGACGAGATGAAAAACAACGTGACGATCAATGTGAATGCGAGATCCTGCAACACTCTTTTAAAGGGATATCTAGATTCTGAAAACCATGTCAAGGCAAGGAAGATATACGAGCTGATGAGCTTGAAGAGATACGATGTCGAAGCACCGCTTATGGAGAAGCTTGATTACATCCTGAGCTTGGTGAAAAAGGAAGTGAGGAAGAAACCGGTGAGCTTGAAGCTAAGCAAAGAACAGCGTGAGGTATTGGTTGGTTTGCTGTTAGGTGGCTTGCATATCGAATCAGACAAAGAGAGGAAGAGCCACAAGATCAGATTCGAGTTCAGAGAGAAGTCTCAGACTCATATGATTCTAAGAGAACACATACATGACCAGTTCCGCGAGTGGCTACCTCCTTTGAGCAATTCACAAGAAGCTTTAGTACCGTTCGAGTTCTCCTCTGTTTGTCATTCATACTTTGGCTTTTATGCTGATCATTTCTGGCCAAATGCTCGGCCTGAGATTCCGAAACTGATTCATCGGTGGCTCACGCCACATTCTCTGGCTTATTGGTATATGTACGGCGGCTTTAGAACATCTTCAGGAGACATTATCTTGAGATTGAAAGGAAGCCTAGAAGGTGTTGAGAAAGTAGTGAAGGCACTGAGAGCAAAATCTGTGGAATGTCGTGTTAAGAAGAAAGGAAAAGTTTTCTGGATCGGACTTCAGGGAACAAACTCGGTTTGTTTCTGGAAATTAATAGAGCTTTACGTGTTAGAGTACTTGAAAGATCATCTGAAACCTGGCTCTCTATCAATGGAAGCTGATAGTGAAGAAGAAGAACAACAACAAAGCATCAACTTTGACACAAGCTCAGATCACAGCGACGAAAGCTTTGATTAAGAAGTGTGAACAATTGTAACAATTTCAAAATGTAATTAAACTGATTACAGATTGCATAGCAAACTTGTTTTTACAAATGAAATGAAAAAAAAAAACATCTGTTTTTATGAGTAGCTAAGAATGTGTGGATGTTCTTCCCAGAAAGAGTGTTCAATGATGTTGCAATGATCTACGACCACTTCTCCTTTCAGTTTCTTCCCTGAAACTACTCGATTCTCAACTGCAACAGCTTCCTGAAAAGAATATTCAGAGAGCTCTTTTTTTAACAGATAAACTTACAAAGCTATGCAATGGAAGAAGATGTGCCACACCAAAATGTTTATGAAGTTCTTTAGCCAGTCTACTATGTATATTAATCTTCCTTAACGCAGATTAGAGCAAAATACTAACCTTTAAGCGGAAAACTGAGGAACCCATTCGAAAGATTAGAGGTAATGAATTGTACTCAATTCCAAATTGACGGCTAAGCAGCTCGTTCTTTTCTCGTGTTTGAGTTCCCTTACAAAAGATAAGAAGAACCATTTTTTAAGGAATGAACAAAGGAGAAAAGCATTGATGGATCTTCATACATCATGACAAAGTACCTTTAAGTAATCTTGAGACTGAGTTTTGGTTTTTCCAGACTTAACAAGCATCCAGAAACATGTATTGTACTGATTATTGATGTGGCCTGCCAAGCAAAAAAAGAACTCATACTTTAGGATTTAATTTCACAAGATATAAGATGATTCCAAATCATTTGTTTTCCAGAGATTACTATACTCACAGTCAACTTGTCTCCAAGCTAGATAATCCAAGAGAATCTTGTATGTTGGATAGCACACTGCTCGTCCATCGAACGATGGAGAATACTTCAATTCTTTCTGAGGGAAGAAATCTCCCCATTTCATCACATATGTGGATGTAAAGAAGGATGCGATTGCAGATATTATCTTACTGCAATACAATATCAGAAACTTAGAACAACAAACTCAGGGAAGCAAAACTGTAAGGGAAAAGATAGATTTAGTTTGAACCTGGATTGTCTTTTATAGAGTTCTGATTCTTTCTGCAAAACAAAGCTGGAACCAACGATGAAACTTTTAATATTCAAGATACATGTAAAAGCTGATATAAAAGAGGTTTTGAGAGATGGAAGACACCTGTACTCATCACTGACACCATAGGCAAAATGAACATCCTCAAACTCCTTGAGAACTGCCACTGCACATGAATTCATAAGTTTCAGAGCTTGCTCATCATTTGGCTTCTCAAATTCATGAACGTCAGAAAATCTATCACAAGCCAAGCAAACAAGAGTTACATTTGCAACATAGCATAGTAGTTGATTAGTAAAATGCAAGTTAAGATTCAAGAACTAGAACACGCCCTAGACAAAAGCAACCAAACCGAACAAGGCCAGCCAAAAAGAAGTATACCATTCATGATTTAACTGAATCCTAGGGAGCACAAGGTTGTATGAATATAAGACAACAAGCCAAAGAACTATACCTGTGAAAATGACAGCCATCGATCCTCACCACGACCCAAGTCAAAGGTAACAATTTGTTCTCAAACTGAAACGACCTAACATAATCTGGCTCAATTTTCGCAATGTCTTTCGTGAACTTCCCAAGATCTTTACATAGGGAGGGTTGCTCATTCCAAAAGCTTCTTCCGGCAATATTCTCTGAGTGTACAAAAACAGCCTTTCTCCTCAATCTTTTTACAGGATTGCCATTCTCATCATGCTTTACAGTTTCTTCCACCTAATTGAAGTTAAATGAAAGTATCTCATATAAGCTTGAGGTATATGGCATAAGGAAAATCTATGATGAACATCAAGCAAGGTTCAATGACAAGACAAGATTTGACTTTTCACTATACAAAGAAGATATCACATATGTTCAACAAACTGAGATTACTAACTTCCAGAGAGACTCAGCTTACAATTGAAAGGTTTAAATTTATAGATACATACACGGAACACATCAAAAGCAAAGCTTAAAAGTGCTGTCTATATAATTCTAACAGGAAAATATAAACTATCACCTTTGCCTTGAAAAGACACGATCCTTGGCGAAATATTTCAGGAAGCGTTTTGTAATTGATACCAAATTTCTGAAAGAGAAGCTCATTTTTCTGCTGTTTCAGTGTATCCTGCAGGTTAACAACGAAAACAGACAAATAGTGTGATCAAACAGTCAAATAATCATTAGTCATTAGTGCTAAACAAAATCCATGAAAAGAGCAATAAATAACCTTCAGAACTTCTTGTGTTTCACTAATGGTCTTTCCACTTTTGACTAACATCCAGAAACAAGTGTCATACAGATTATTGACGTGGCCTGCGACCGGAAACGGAAGTTGTTAGAAAGTTCCCGAAGGTATCAACAGTATGTGGAACACAAATTATCATGAAAGTCTTACAGTCCTGTTGTCTCCATGCGAGATAAGCTTGAAGAACCTCTGATGATGCACAAGTTACAACTTTTGAGCTGAAGGAGGGAGCATATTCTAATTTCCTTTGAGGAAAATAATCTTTCCATTTTGTTACATAGACTGCAGCAAAGAATGAAGCTACCAAAGACAAAATCTTACTGCAGACAAAAACAAGAAAGTGTAAAAACTCTGGAGTGAAATTCCTTATGAACAAAACATTATGAAATCAAAAGTTACCTAGCTCGTCTCTGGTAGAATCTTGATGTTTTCTTGAATACAAAGCTACACAAGACAATTAAAAAAGCTTGAATGTGATGATATATATACATGTATGTGTAAAAAGTGTTAAAAAAATTTCACCTGTATTCGTCACTGTATCCATAAGCAAAGATAATGTCAGGAAACTCTTCCAAAACCGCAGCTGAACACGAATTCATCAGACTGAGAGCTGCTTCATCATTAGGCTTCTCAAAGTCATGAACTTGAGCAAATCTATTAAGTTATAAAGAAGTTTAAAAGACTGTAAGAAGCAAACAACATTCTAGGGACAATGTGAAAACACTATCAACTGTAAAAAAAATTGCAATCACAGCTCTAAAAATCCATCAAAGACGCCGCCTTTACACAATCTAAATAGTTAAACACCATCACCATTGACATCACAATCTACATTTTACCCAATTTAACGAATAAGAAGAAGAAGGAGAAGTCTACCTGGAGAAATCACGACCGTCGATTCGAACAACCATCAAGTTAGGAAGCATGACTTCGTCTTCCAATTCGAATGACTTGACATACTCGTACTTGCTATTCGCCATATTTCTCGAGGTTTGATCAAACTATCTGCTTATTTTCTTCTTTGAAAAAGAGCAAGCTACACGAAGGAAGAAGAAGATGATTCTGCGTTTCATCATCATGGGCTTTGACTTATAATTGGGCTTTTGCTTACTCTCATGGGCTTTGATAAAACCAGCTCTCACTCAAACGTACCGAAAGACTAAACCGAGAATTAGGTTGAGCCAAGATTGACACAACAACTCGTTACAAAATCCAAATAGAAAAACCAAATGGACAATTTGTTTTTCATTTTCACGATAATTAAAAAGAAGAAGACAAAAACCAAATATTTATTGTCTAGTGGCCTTAGTGGGTAATCCATTAAATATCCATTGTTCTTATAGTAGTATATCCGAAGTGACAAACGATATTTAAAATTTAATAAACAAATCAGAATTTTGAAAATGACAATTCTCTGATGTTAAAATTTACTTCAGTATTTTTTAAATAGTATCACAAAATTATTGTGTGACTTCTTAAAAAAACAAGTATTTTTACGAATTTATCCATTTTAAAAACAAATTAATTAAATTGTTGGAGGAAGAGAGTGGGTCATAGGGTTTTATTCACTCATGCGTCTCTCTCTGTCGTTTTAATTTCTCAACAAAGTCTCCTTCTACAGTTTTCTCTAAAGAGACGGAGCCAGTGAAGCAGAGAAAAGTTGCTCCACGTTCTTTGTCTCTTCCCATTTCTCCCATTTCTCTCCACTCTCTCTCTCCTCTTTTTAGAAACATTTACAGGCACCCGTTTCAATTCATCAGAGAGAAATCGAACGAGAAAAATCGAAGAGGAAGAAGAATGGGGAAGTCAAGGTGTTTCATGGACATTAGCATTGGAGGTGAGCTTGAAGGAAGGTTAGTTATCGAGCTTTACGACGACGTCGTCCCCAAAACCGCCGAGAATTTCCGATCTCTTTGCACCGGCGAGAAAGGCATAGGTCCCAATACCGGCGTCCCTCTCCACTACAAGGTCTCTCTCTCTCCTCTCTGTCTCTATATCTCTCTATATCTCTATGTATCTGCTTCTACGAAGTGTAGAAATGGGTTTTGGTGTTTCTCCGATTTAGGGTTTGTTCAGAATTGCAATTAGTTTATTGTAGTAGTAAAGGAGAGATTTTTAATGGAGGATGCAAAAGGGTTTGTTTAGAAAATGATGAACAAGTATAAAGTTGTTTCCTTTGTTCTGTTTCAGGGGAATTAGTTTCTGGTAGTAGTAAAGGAGAGATTTTTAATGGAGGATGCAAAAGGGTTTGTTTAGAAAATGATGAAGGATTATAAAGTTGTTTCCTTTGTTCTGTTTCAGGGGAATCGGTTCCATCGTGTAATCAAGGGGTTTATGATTCAAGGTGGGGACATTTCAGCTAATGATGGCACTGGTGGTGAATCAATCTACGGATTGAAGTTTGAAGATGAGAACTTTGAGCTGAAGCATGAGAGGAAAGGGATGTTATCTATGGCTAACTCTGGCCCCAACACTAATGGCTCCCAGTTTTTCATCACGACGGCTCGGACTTCTCATCTGGATGGGAAACATGTGGTCTTTGGGAAGGTTACGAAAGGAATGGGAGTGGTTCGGTCGATTGAGAATGTTACCACTGAGGAGCAGGCTTGTCCTTCTCAGGATGTTGTGATTCATGACTGTGGAGAGATTCCTGAGGGTGAAGATGATGGGATTTGTAACTTCTTCAACGACGGCGATTTGTACCCTGACTGGCCTCTTGATCTGAATGAGAGCCCTGCAGAGTTGTCTTGGTGGATGGAGACTGTTGATTTTGTCAAGGCTAGTGGGAATGAGCACTTCAAGGTTTGCCTTTTTTTGTCTAGTGCTTCGAATTGGATTATATGTGTGTATGTTCTTTGAATCTGATCTGTTGTGTGACCTCAACTTGGGTCTCAGAAACAAGACTACAAGATGGCTCTTAAAAAGTACCGCAAGGCTTTGCGCTATCTCGATGTTTGCTGGGAGAAAGAGGGCATTGATCAAGGTGATGATTCTTCACTTTCTCTTTCTCTATGTATATGTTTTCCATTTTCACTGCATCTCAGGGTACTGTGTATACCAATGTCTCTCACTCACTCTCTCTACTTGTGGCCTTGCAGAGACAAGTAGTGCCTTGCGTATGACAAAGTCGCAGATCTTCACTAATAGTGCTGTAAGTTTCATGTTTTAACCTTTTTGTTAAGCTGCATTCCTTGTTAATCTTCTGTTGTGAGTGAAACTTAGATAAACTGTATATGTGTCTGTTTAAGTACTATCCGGAGCATGACAGCCTATGAAAATCTGTTGATTTTTCCAAAACAATCCATTTATTTTCGTACCTCTGTTGGTGTTCCACATTGATATTGAATCAGCTTATGCACGGTTCGAAGATAGTTTTCTATGAGAGTATGCTTATTGGACTGATTTGATCATTTCTCGTATAAACTTGATTGCATTTATTGGACTGATTTAATCAATTCTCATATAGAGTTGATTGCTTTGGCTTCCCTCTATAGCTGATTTATGTAATGGTGTCATCTCTTTGTATCGTAACTGGCTACTGTGGCAGGCCTGCAAGCTGAAATTCGGAGATGCAAAGGGAGCATTGTTGGACACTGAGTTTGCTATGCGTGATGAAGATAACAATGTTAAAGCATTGTTTCGACAAGGCCAGGTACTTCAAACTGTACTACTCAACAGTGTTCTAGAATCTAGGCTTGGATATAACAGATATTATGAAATTCTCTTGAGATGAATATGGTTTCTGTTTCATAACTGCGTTTGTTTGTAATGTTAGGCATACATGGCTCTCAATAATGTCGACGCTGCTGCTGAAAGCCTTGAGAAAGCTCTTAAATTCGAACCTAACGATGGTGAGTCATTCACCAAGCATCTTCTCTTAATGGTGTTACATATTTTGTTCAACGTTATTGATGTGCATGATTCTGGTGTGTTTATTTTCAGCTGGTCTCAAGAAAGAATATGCTGCTGTAATGAAAAAGGTCGGTATGAGTTGTTATAAACAATCTGATAGAAACTTCTTCGCAGTGACTTAACTTTAGAGTTTATAAGTGTCTTTGTGTCGACGTTAAATACTTGAGTTCTATATATGTGCAGATTGCCATAAGAGACAATGAAGAGAAGAAGCAGTACCGCAAAATGTTCGTATAGGATGCTTTGCTACATTTAGGGGTAAGCCTAATACTTAGTCAGTTTAATTGTCTCATTTCTTTGGAAGCTAAACCACAAATGAGCTTTTCTTGAAGGATGAAATGATTTGATGTTTGATAACTTAGCGTTCTGCTGCTGTGTCTTTGTAGGTTTGGTTGGGATAGTGGAGAAGGGACTAACAACAACATAAAAAGTGAAAAAGAGCATATAAACAAGAAAGAACATTTAAAAAGATGACTTTTGGGAATTGTTTATGTTTCCCTCATTTTGGTAAACAATGTTTACTTCTGCATTCCAGCAAAGACTGATGCATAATTTCTTAACCTTTTCTTTTACCCGAAAACAACAGATTCAATGAGACTGTTAATGCAATTTTGAGTTACTGGGGTCTTTATTGTTCTTGCTTGAATGCTATGTTAGGAAATGCAGAAATAATCAGCAAATAGGGTACAAAACAATCTTGCATGAATTAGAGAACTAAAAAACAGATCCCTTACAGGACTTTTGACTGCAATAGAGCGTCACTTGCTTATGATTTCTGTAATGGGAAGATTTAATCTTTGATAATCTTGCCACCCTATAAGCAACCATGATTGTTGTTATGCGGATTTTACTGAAAAGAACTTCAAATGACTCAAGTATGTTTTGCTTCAAACAAGAGCTTAAAACTGAATTTTTGTTACGTATGGTGACGATGAATCATCTTATCGTCACTCAAACGTAACTAGGAAGAAAAATAGTACAAGATTAGATGTAATTTATGTTTAGATTCGTCAACGTTAATTAGTTCAAGTCGCAATTAAAAGCAGTAAAGAGTTTCTTCCACATGAAAAAAGCATTGACCTGCGAGTAAACGCTTTCCACTAACCAAGTCCAATGCAATTTTTCCTTATGTATACTCTCATTTATTTGGTTTCTCACTACCATAGTGTGCCATATAATTATTTATTTTATTTTATTATCGTTATAATTCAAACATTTACGGCCGCATCTCACCTTTTCACTCCTTGTAAGTTGTAAATGAATGTTAGGTCAATGCTCATTCTTTTTATATTGTCAAATGTTTCATAGAAAAGGTGACTAAAAATATCACATTTTTCGGCAGTTTTGCACCATCTCTCCCTCTTATAAATAGCCAATGTCTAAACGACCAAAGAAAATCATCACAATCACTTATCAATTAATAACTAACAATATCTTCATTCACAAGAAAGAAGCGATGGTACACTCTCGTTTTCTAAACCTTGTTTTAGTCCTTGTGACTATTGCCTCCATATTTTCCACATTTGCTGAGGCCAATAGAGGCTTTGGCTGGGGTTGGGGTGGGGGATCCAACTATTCAAGTGGTTCAGGTTCAAGCCCCGGGTCGGGATGGGGTTGGGGTAATAATGGCTCCAACCCTTCACGTGGTTCAGGTTCAAGTCCCGGGTCGGGATGGGGTTGGGGTAATAATGGCTCCACCCCTTCAACTGGTTCAGGCTCAAGCCATGGGTCCAAATGGGGTTGGGGTTGGGGCTGGGGTCCTAACACACAAAACCCGGGATCTGGCAGCTCGGGCTCTGGTTGGGGTCCTAAGAATAGAAACACCTCAGGTTCGGGTTGGGGTTGGGGAGGTCACTCAAAAGGCTATAACGTCACCTACAATGCACCTAGAAAGATCATAGTCGGTGGAGACAAAGAGTGGACTTATGGTGTCAATTACTCCGAATGGGCCTCTAAGACTGCTCCTTTTTTTCTCAATGACATACTTGGTGAGTCTTGCTTCTATTTCTTTTCAACATGATCACACACTGTTTATTGCCAAATACGTAGCTATCAAATATTATTGATATGATCATACAAATGTAGTGTTCAAATACAACCCACCAGCTCCGTTCACGCACAGCGTCTACTTGCTTCCGAACCCTTTGAGCTATGAGAAGTGCGATGTCAAGAAAGGCAAGATGCTTGCGTCACCGAAGCAAGGTGCTGGAAATGGCTTTGAGTTTGTTCTTACAAAAATGAAGCCTTACTACATTTCATGCGGCGAGCACGATGGTGCACACTGCAGCAACGGCACCATGAAGTTCACCGTCATGCCTATCCTCCCTCGTTGGTAGTTTTTGGTATTATAAATCCAAATCCAAAGTATCAAACATTAAGTAGGTTTTCATTTCGTTGTTGTGTCGTGTCGTCAATAAATGAGATTACCATTATTTATGTGTTACCGCCGTATTCACATTTTGTAACGATTGTTTGGGGTTTTGCTTTATGTATCTTTTCCAGCAAGGTGAAGTTTTACTTGGTCGAGAGCATCCTTGTAATACCATACTCATCTATATCTATTCATGTTCAAAACTCGTTTTACCGTCCAAGCTTATACCACACAATATGACCAATATTTATCTTTAATTTCTTGGGACAGAAATTTGTATGAAGGCGGGAATAAAAATGAGAAACACAAACATAAAACGTGTTTACTATACGAATGAAACAAAAGTCCACATAACATGAGTTTACACTTGGAGGCAAGCAGGGATAAGCTTTGCCATTGATGTTTTATTTGGAAGCAAAAGAAACTTGAACATAAAGATACACACATGTCATGTGCTCACACCACAAAACGAAAACAAAAGTGATCACAGCAGTACGTAATTATATGATATGAGGTTATTTGAAACCTCATTTCTTCTTGTAGCAATGGCAGTGGGTGTCGCTTCCCTCAACAACAGCCCAACAGACTGGAGGACTCCCGAATTTGGCTACGCAACAGGTACAGCATTCAGCATTTGTACCTGTGAACGGCGCCGGACCACACTCACCCCAGAAAACACGGTCGACAAGGTTAGGGCATCCACCAACACCGCAGGTTTGAGCCTCGCTCTTGAGGATTCCTATATGTTGACATATTCATTAATATCATAAGCACAAGATAATTAAAAGACATCTTAACTACAAACTATGATAATGGTTAACTTGGTTGAAGTAATACCAGTTGAAGCCATCACGAGGACAAGCAAGAGAACAGTGAAGCTGATGGAGTTGATGTTCTTAGCCATTTCTTTTCTTTGTTTCTTTGCTTTTGCTGAATCCTGTTTTATTTTTGTTTTCCTTTTAGTAAACTTAAACTTTGATGATACAAATCCATAGGTGTGGATATCTATTTATAGTCAAAATTTTGTAACTCTGTTGTACTTGTTTTATCCCTTCTCGTTTCTTTCAAGTGTTGCCAAGTTCATAATGTCGCCACAATTGTGCATTGCCATATTTTTTCATTACATTTTGTTTTGAAAGTCTAACCTTTTTCTAATCATGCACTTGCCATAGATATTAATAAATGGAAAGTTGTTGCTGTCTTTCTCTTTGGTTTAGTTTTTTTAAGAAAAATATTGTTGTTGGCATTGATAGAGTAAGCAAGTTAATTTTTAGTTTTCTAATCCAATAATAAAAACGATTTGGTCTCGTTACTTCGTTAATAATGTTTAGTTTTTTTCTGTATTTATAAATATTGTAGCAATCATGGCGACACTATATCGTTTGTTTTGAGCATCTCGATTTCATACGGTATATTGCTATTTTAATTTGTCACAAAACTAGCCAAGATGAGTTAACAAGTAAGCATTTGCCCTCGATCACACCCAATACAGTATTACTACTTCGGAAAGACTCTCATTCTCTCAAAAGTTCAATTCGAGACTTTATAGTTGGGTTCGAGGGTTATCAGTCTCTGCATCTGTAGACACAAATGCAATGAATTTTCCATTGGGAGCAACGTTATGGGAGTACAAACAACAGAAGACATGAACTTTATTAACCCTGGCGTACATATGGTTACTTGTTATCTCATTTTGGCTAGTTTGGTGAAAAATTAAAATACTATACTACTGTGTGAATGGAGATGCTGAAAACAGTCGATGATATAGTGTCGCCATGATTCCTGCAATATTTTATTATACAAAAAAAAAAAAAAAAAAAAAAAAAAAACTAAAAACTAAACTTTATTAATGAAGTAATGAGTCTAATAACACAAAATCATTTTTGTTATAGGCATGCCATCTATATAATATAAAATAAACATAAGGGCATGGTTACGAAAAGAATAGACTTGGAAAACAAAATGTAATGAAAAAGACGGCAATGCACAATTGTGGCGACATTATGAACTTGGCAACACAACAAAGAAACGAGAAGAATGAAACAAGTATGACAAACTTACAAACCTTCGACTATAAATAGATATCCACACCTATGGATTTGAATCATCAAAGTCTAAGTTTATTATAAAGGAAAAGAAAAAGAAAAACAGGTTTCAGCATAAGCAAAGAAACAAAGAAAAGAAATGGCTAAGAACCTCAACTCCATCAGCTTCACTGTTCTCTTGCTTGCCCTCGTGATGGCTTCAACTGGTATTACTTCAACCAAGTTAATCTTTATTACAGTTTTCAGTTAAGGTGTCTTTTAATATCTTGTCCTTATCATGCTTTTGATGAATATGTCAACCTTTAGGAATCCTCAAGAGCGAGGCTCAAACCTGCGGTGTGGGTGGATGCCCTAACCTTGTTGACCGTGTTTTCTGGGGTGAGTGCGGGCCGGCGCCGTTCACAGGTACAAATGCAGACTGCTGTACATGTTGTGTAGCCAAATTTGGGAGTCCTCCAGTCTGTTGGGCTGTTGTTGAGGGTAGCGACACCCACTGCCATTGCTACAAAAAGAAATGAGGTTTCTAATAACCTCATATCATATAAGTACGTACTGCTGTGACTTTTGTTTTCGTTCCATGGTGTGAGGACATGACATGTGTGTATGTTTATGTCCAAGTTTCTTATGCTTCCAAATAAAACATCAAGGCAAAGCTTCTCCCTGCTTGCCTAAGTGTAATCTCATGTTGTGTGTACTTTTGTTTCATTTCGTATACTAAACACGTTTTGTGTTTGTGTTTCTCATTTTCATTCCCGCCTTCATTCAAATTTATGTCCCATGAAGTTCTCTATAAATACTGGTCATAACTGGTCGTATAAGCTTGGACGGTAAAATCAGTTTTAAACATGCATGGAGATACATGTTATGGTTATCTCAATTAATTTTTCAAATGATGTGTTATCTAAATGTCATTTGAGGAAAAAAAAAAGTTTCGTTCTTTGATCCATTAAAGAAATTAAGCTATTTGAGAGAAAGGAATAGCTTTTGCATGTTGTAAAACCCATCCCTTTGTTATTCATCACACTTGAACTTAATTCCAAACCAGCATGTCTTCCAAATTTTGTATGACAAATGAACAATACCTGGATATATTTAGTGTCTTCAAGAAAAAAAAAAAAAAAAAAAAAAAGCACGTCTTTTCTTTTTGCTTAACCTGATTTTCCGAAGACCGTAACAATTTTAGCCATCTAGGGTTAAAATTTGGAAATTGAATACTTTACTTGTCATTGACTTCGTTTGCTACAAAAGCACTCAGTGACAATGAGTGGGGAGAGCGTAGTTACCCTTAACAAAAACAAAGTGTAAGTTAGATAATAGCCAGAGATTATTTTAGCTTCGGCGAAGCCAAAACCCCTTGAGACAGCAAATCCTTTTTAATTTCATTTTAACATGCATATTGAGATGCTTACAACTTTATTAATGAGCAAATGAAGCAAATCGCTTTCATTATAAAAGAAAATGTTAAGGTTCGTGCTTATTCATCCAACTTAAAGTAGGCAACTGATAAAATCTAGAGATGGTTCTTGCAGCGTTGTGCAGCTTGTGCTAAAGCATTTGCCCAAAGCGAACTCTTATATATTTATATCATACATGTCGACGAATCTCATCGACAGGACACATAAGTCATGGCCTTTAGTTCGGTTTTAGGTTATCATGTAGCCACGAATGCTATGAATTTCCCCATGTGAGCAATATTGTGGGAGCACAAACAACAGAAGACATAAAACTTATTAATAAAGTAATGAACCTAACAGTACAGAGCTCTGACCCATCAAACTAACCCTTACGCACATTGCTTACCTGTTAACTCATTTTAGCTAGTTTTGTGAAAAAAAATATATTTATATATATATATATATATATATATATATATATATATAATAGTAAAACAGCATGAACGGAGATGCTCAAAACAATGGATATAGTGTCGCCATGATTGCTGCATACTCCTAAAAAACCCTAAAATTTACTAATGAATTAATGAGACCAAATCGTTTTAATTATTAGATTAAAAACTCAATTCTGATATTCGTGCTTACTCTATCAATGCCAACAACCTTATATTTTCAAATAATATTTTTTTTATATTAAACTAAAGCAAAAATGGATATATATAATGAGTAACAACTAGAAAGACAGCAACGGCTTTCCTTTTATTGATTATATAACAAGTGTAAGGAAAAATAAACTTAGAAAACAATTTGTGATGAGAAAGACGGCAATGCACAATTGTGGCGACATTATGAACTTGGAAACACTACAAAGAAAAGAGGAGGGATTAAACAAGTATAACAAATTTACAAAATTTTGACTATAAATAATAGATGTCTACACCTATGGATTTCTATCATCAAAGTTTAAGTTTACTAAAAGGAAAAAAGGAAAAACAGGTTCAAAAGCAAAGCGAAAAGAAAGAAATGGCTAGGAACCTCAACTCCATCAGCTTCACTGTTCTCTTGCTTGCCCTCGTGATGGCTTCAACCGGTATTGATTTAACCAAGTTCATCTCTATTACAGTTTTCAGTTGCCTTTTAACTATCTTGTGCTGATCATGATATTGATGAATATGTCAACATATAGGAATCCTCAAGAGCGAGGCTCAAACCTGCGGTGTTGGTGGATGCCCTAACCTCGTTGACCGTGTTTTCTGGGGTGAGTGTGGTCGCCGTTCACAGGTACAAATGCTGAGTGTTGTACCTGTTGCGTAGCCAAATTTGGGAGTCCTCCAGTCTGTTGGGCGGTCGTTGAGGGTAGTGACACCCACTGCCATTGCTACAAGAAGAAATGAAGTTTCAAATAACCTCATATCATATAATTACGCACTGCTGTGACTTTTGTTTTCGTTATGTGGTGTGAGCACATGACATGTGTGTAAGATCTTTATGCTCAAGTTTCTTTTGCTTCCAAATAATACATCAAGGGCAAAGCTTATCCCCTGCTTGCCTCCAAGTGTAATCTCATATTGTTGTGTGTACTTTTGTTTCATTCGTATACTAAACACGTTTTGTGTTTGTGTTTCTCGTTATCGTTCACGCCTTCATTCAAATTACTAACAAACAAACAAAAAAAGTAATATCAAAGTCATAAGTAGTTTTGCAGGCTATAAAGCTGTTTTTTTACGACAAATGAATACTTTTATTTATCTAGAAGAAACATAGTTTTCGTTAGGCAACTAGGCTGATAAATACAACCCCAGAAAAAAAAATGATATAACGTAGATGTATTAAAAAGTCTTGAATCTCCTCCTTAATGACATCAGTTCGTACAAAGCTGTTTATAATTTTAATTTTTAAAAAGACGTCAGTAGAACATTGTCAAAAGACGAATGTCGTACCGAACGGATGATAAAAGATTGTAAATCTGGTATTTGGAGGAATATATAGCCGCCATTAGTTTGACAATTACATGCATTAATCACGTTAAAAAAAGAATTCGAGAAGCCATCTCTATTGAACACGAAGAAAACAATCAAAACAAGTTTGTTTCACATTACAGTATAAAAATCTGCAACAAAAGTCAATATTCATTAAATAAAAGGACCACAAGTAACTCTTTGCTGCTTGAGAAACCGAACCTCTTCCCCACATGAGTTTGACCAGTTTTTGTTTATAGTATTTTTTTGGTGAAACTGTAACACCTTCCTTCATACACCAAAAGCTCCAACATATTTTAACCATTTCGATCAGAAATAATTTCTTACGTCACAAATTATTTATGACCAGTAAATAAGAGCCTACGGCATTTATTGAGCTATTCACATACAGTACAAAGTTTATAGGTTCTATTTATACAGATATTCCAAATTTGCAACCTTGTTGTAATATGTTCAAATTTCAGTCTACAAAGGTGTAAGCACTAATAATTGTATACAAACCTCTTGCTGCATAAGATATTGTATACAACCTCTTGATATACACATTAAAAATTGGAAAAACAACGATGAAATTCTATAAACCAAGCCAAGTTGGTCCCAAAACACACACAGAGAACTGAGAGTTAAAAATTTCACAATAATTAAATCACAACCCATGAAGTAGGTGAGACTTATAAAGGCAGCTCCTAATTCTATCACCATTCATTTTTCTCCATCCCTCTCTCTTTCTCTCTCTCTCTCAAGTCAAGCTTTTCGTCTGAAAAGAACACCTTCCAAGAACCAGAAAGGCAAAAGAAGAAGAAAGCATCCAAAGTAGAAGAAGAAGAAGAAGAAGAAGCCATTAATGGAGATAGAAGTGGCAGCAGCAGAACTCAATTTCGACAGCACCACTTCGTCTCCATACATAACAGCTCCTTCAAGCCCAACTCGATTTGGTAACAACAATGTTTTCTTCTTCAGTGCACCTACAAGCCCTTCTCCTTCAACTTCCTCCAACACACCCTTTGATTGGGAAGACCAACCAAGAACTCCCAAGAAGAGATCAGCCAATGATTTCGATGATGAATTCGAGTTCAATTTCAGTGGTCAACTGGAGAAATCTTCCTTCTCTGCCGCAGATGAGCTCTTCGATGGAGGAAAGATTCGACCTCTAAGGCCCCCACACACTCCTCCTGCACTTTCTTCTCCCAGATCTAGTGTTCTTGAGAGAGAAGGAAGAGATCGATCTCCAGGATCTTCCTCACGTTATGATCGTAAAGGAAGCCGCTCTGTGTCTCCGTTGAGGGTTTCAGACATTATGGTTGATGAAGAAGAAGTACATGAGTCAACAAAAATGGTTGCTTCCAACACAAGCAACCAAAAATCCTCTGTTTTCTTGTCGGCGGTTCTGTTCCCTGGTCGAGCTTATAAGAAGTGGAAACTCAGAGATCTGTTGCTGTTCAGGAGCGCATCAGATGGAAGACCTGTCCCGACCAAAGAGGCCTTGCAAAGATACGATATCCTAACAAAGAAAGAGGCAGAGGAAGTGAAAAACTCGAGTATCCGATCAAGAGAGAGTCGTGATTCGTCGTCGGTGTCTAGGTCAAGTAGGAGGCACGGCGCGGTGGTTTCGGCTCATGAGATGCATTATACTGAGAACAGAGCAGTGTCGGAGGAGTTGAAGAGAAAGACATTCTTACCGTACAAGCAAGGCTGGTTAGGCTGCTTAGGGTTTAACCCCACGGTTCATGAAATTGCAAGAGTTGGGTCCTTGTCACGAGCTTCCTCTTGATCTCTCTCTATTGTAAATGTTTTTTTTTATGGTTTTAATTTTGAGATGTTGTGATGAGGTTCCATCGAATTGATGGAAAAATATGATATTATATTTGTTTAATTCGTAACTTTTGATACAAATGAATAAAAGAAAAACCCAAATGTATAATTTGGCTATTGCATTCATTCGATGAAGGGTGTTAATCGGATAATAATTGACAATTTAGATATTAGACAGTTACAAGAAAGCACATGTTTAACGAATTTGCCCCACCATAACTAGACTAGTGAGTGTTCTCATTGTTTTTCACTAGCTCCATATTTTATGTAGTAGTCCAATTTTGAAAACGAAGATACGGTGGTGCACTAAAAGAATTTCTAAAACAGTTGATATAACAAACAGAAGTTAATCCAATAATTACTAACTTTCTTAAGTAGTAAACCTATGATCTCGAAGAAAAGTAATTTGAAATAGGTAAAACGTTCAATACAAAGAAAAGTGGAATTCAATCTAAGATGGTTGCGTTCAAAAAATCACTATTTTGAAGGAATATATTAGGAATCTTACATCATAATTAAGGGCCAACACTAAACTTGAGTATAATGTGATATTTAGTTTATCGATAAGAGCATAAATTGCTCCTAAATTGTTGTGAATTAAAAAGTGTTGGAGAATGAAGCAACAATGAGGCTGAGCCGAAAGAGACTAGCAAAAGAAGAAATGTAATGCTCCTTAATCATGAGGTTTGTGCAATAATAATGGTAATGATGCTCTTAACAGAATAAAGTTTGTGGACCAACTATTATAATATTAATAATTGCTATATAGTTAACATTTGATTAAGGAGTTGATTACAACCTAATATGAGTTCACAACTCTTAATAGTACTCTTTTATAAATTTCTAAAATTGCATCTTAGCTGCAATGATGGCTTCCTGGGGCAACGCCTGGCGTTTCCTTTTTTATTTATTTCTGATTGATTCCATTTTTTCTCAACTTTTTCTTAATTAATTTCTTTTGATAAGTTATACCAAATTTAGCTTGTACTTTCGTGATTTAAAAGATATATGAAAATGGAAATTATTGTCATGTTATAATAACTCCTTATGGTATGGGTGATTGTAAATAGTTGACTTAATTCACAGTTGGTTTAAAAATTTATGATCCGAATCAGAAATTAATTTAACGGACAGATAAAACTAAATTAGGATCAGAGAGGTGGGTGACCATTTATTAAGATGTTTAATCCTACAACTTTGATTAGACAGGTTCTATGACTACTCTTAATTGTCAATATTAATGTACCAAACACTACAATACAAAATTATTGCCAAATAAAAAATTATTCTAAGAAGAAGAGAATGTGAACATCAATGAAAATGTGTACAACACAACGAAACGTATAACAATTTACAATCTATTAAAAAAACATAAATAGATATTTACAGATATGATTCTGATCAGCGCCTTCTCTTGAAAATTATTTTCTTCTAGCACATTTGAAAATCAGACATTCTTGGTTCAGTTGCAAAACGACGTCGCTTGCCAAAGTTGTTTGAAGATGTGGCTTGACGTCAATGAGATGGGCTCGATGAGTTTCACTAATGAAGCCCAACAAAAAGCCCACTCGCGTTTCTGTTAAAGGTTGTTGAAGTTGCTGTTGTTCTCTGTTTTTCTTCTGCTAACGTTTCTGCAACAAGATTAACAATTGTGTAACAAAGTTTCATAATGGAGACTGCACCATCGAGAGTGTCTTGTGGAGAAGTGACGTAACTCGTAAACTCGATTGTGCAAGAACAATCTGAATCAAGAACCTGAAATGAATGACTGAAAAACTAAGCAAGTTCAAACTCCAAACAGCTTCTCAAAATCAAAGCTTAAGAAGAACAGATTGAAGAAGCTTAAAGCTCCCTGCAACAAGTTATGTTCGTTCATCACAAATATAACAAAAAAGAAGATGATTTAATCATTAGAAAGCAAATAAGAGGATGAACCAGAACAATCTTTCCGATTACAATAGAACTCTTAGTTCCCTGATAAAGAATGAATCAAATTTTAAAACACTAAAAGATTAAAAAAAGACTTGCAAAAAACCTGTTCGTGGCACTAACCAAAACTTTCCTACAAGTAGTTTCGTAGTCTTAAGTCTGAACCATTCTCCTGAGAGAGGTTTATGTACATCACTTCCCTCCCTCCTAGTGTTAAACTCACTCACTTGCGGTAATCTTCAAGTAGAAAGTTCTCGAAACCCGTCCCTTTCAGCGTCGTTTGTACCTCCCCCCAATTCTGTACGTGCTGCGACAATGGACCGTGATGAATCTTCACTTGCCTACTCTTTAACTCCAGTTTTGGAACCTTCAGAAACTCTTGCACATCGTCTAGTTTCTGCCAAAAAAAAAGGGTACAAAATGAATACAGGCTTAAGAAAAAATGTATGCAGTGAAGAAAAAATGTCTCTTACGGTGCGGTTCTTGACAACATCTTCGTAATAGAGGAAGATATGTCGTGTGGTATTGAAGTACGAAAGTGCTTTTGAGGTCATCTCTTGAACCTGCTTCAGATCAGCCATCAAAAGCGTTGTGTTGATTAACGGCTTGTACCGCGCCAATATCTCAGCCTGAAACACATTTGTATTCTTTCACATGTTTAGTTTCAACAAAGCCAAACGTGCAAAGACGGAGACAAGGAGAAAGAGAGAGAGTAAAAAGGAAACCTCTTTAGGGGAATGGACGTGGGACTTGTGAGTACCGTTCAACATCTTATTGTCTCTATCGTAAGAGTTTGCTAGAACCGATATCATCCTGCGCAATAGGTTTCTTCTAAACAGGAAAATCGCTGAGACGCCTCTCGTTTTGAAGTAGTCTACAATCTCTTCATGGTGTTTCATTAGACCCTGCGTTACATTTCAACCACATTAACAATGTAACGAAACACACAGAGACTAGTCAACATTTTTAGAAACATTACCTGATTAAGCATCCACTTCAAACCAACAGCAGAAGTACACTCGTTCTTCGAGGCACTACTCAACCAATCTAGATTATAAACTTTGTCCAAGGTCTCGAAAATAGTCGACACGTTGGCTCTTCTGTCTTTAACGGAGAAGATCTCTCCGTTGGAGCTTATGTTAGTGTGATTGTTAAGCAAAGTCTCAAACCAGCCGCTACCAGATCTCTGCATTGAGAGAATCGCAAAATTCCTAACCGGATTGCAAGAACACTCCTCCCTAAAACCAATTCCAAAAACACCATAAGCAAATAGAGGCCAAGAAACCAAACAAAACACTGTCAATTTTCACCTGTTATAAGTCTTAGGTTTGGGGTAATGAACATATGGTATGTCCCATGGTTCGATGTTAGGCTCAGGACATTGTTTCTCAAACACTTCGACGTTTAAGAAACCAGCGCTCGGGACAACGCCGATTTGTTTCAGACAGATTGAGCAAATGTAAACAGCACAGACCATCACGAACATGAGAACGACCATTCTCAACACAAGTGGTGATTTTTTAGGAAGCTTGAAAATGAAACTATCCTGCAAATAAAGAAAAAAAAGACAGAACATTTATGATGACTTCCTGTTGAGTGAGTGAGCTGTTGTTTGCTTGTTTTAGAAACAAAAAAAAAAACCTTAAATCAAGGTGAAAAAACCACATGGGTAACACTAAATTTGTCTGTAGGAAGCTACAAACGCATTGAATTCAGAATTACGCAAGACCTAGATGCCGGAAAGTTTCGATTTTTACAGAAACCCATTTCGAATCAAACCAAATTCCTCAAAACTTAGCAACTGATTGATTAGATTACTCGGAACAAAAGAAACCCTAATTAGATTTGAAGAAGAGCTTATAGGCGTAAACAGAGGAAAACAAAAATGGTACCTTTGGGATGAGAGAGTGTTCGTCGCCCATAGCTGCTTCCGTTTAGAGAGAGAGAGAAGGAGAGAGAGAGATTTAGAAAGGAAGAGAAGAGAAAGGCATTGAATTATTCAGACACCACCGTCCAGCTAAAAAAAACACAATAATGAAAAATCGAAAACACAAAGCGGCTTTTCTCTGATCAGCCCATACGAAAAAGAGAAATTAAAAAATTTCCAGGAAAAATGAAAAGAAGAAAATGATTAGAGATGCCGGAGAAACGTTGTTTGTGGGAGTTTTTGTTGGATTTGGGGTTGCTTCGAATTTACGGATCTCTCTCTCTACTACTCTGATAATTAAAGATTATAAATGCGATATGGAGAATTTAGATGTTTGCACTTGCCTCAGGAGAAGAAGAAAAGAAGAAGCTTTGGGGAAACACACAAAAAAAGAATAAAAAAATATTGAAGCGCAAAGTTCGAGACGAACTCTTGAGCTGAAAAACGGCATCGTTTTGGTTGATTCCGACATGCACATTGCACACTCATTTTAAATTCTTTTTTTTTGTATATGATATGGTATTTTCAGTTAAGATTAAGAGGAATCAATCAGACTAGATTATATTTTTTACAAGTATAAGTATTATAATTACGTGTGACCCATTCCTTTTTTTTAGGTTTGACTTGTGCTTTTCTTTTTTAGTAATTGGATTCTCGGGATAAAGTTTGACTTAATCCTCATTGCTAGCTTTCTTGTTTATTTTCCTCTACGTTTAGGTTTATTGTATTTTATCAGTTTGTAATTAATTGCGAATGCAGATTTTCTGGAGTTGAACAGTGAATGCAGTTTGACAACCGACACACGAAGAATTGCATGCTGCTCTTAGATTGTATATTTTGGAAAACAAGTGAAAATTGAGTTATAGAGATCAAAGAAAGTAAAATATATAGTGTAAGTTTAGATGATTCATGTATTTTACAGATCGTACACGATAGGTATACAAGCTATTAATGAGATGATCTTTGGAAGATCATAATCTAAACAAATAAAGATTTGGATATATATACATGTATGCCTCATACTTGATTTGGGTCCTATGCTAAACTTAAAAACGGCTCATACTTCATTTTTTTTTCTATAACAAATTTCAAACTCGTAGGTTAATTTCGATAGATTTTTTAAAGTATTTACCGATAAATTTCCAAGGCTGATGATACATTGCTATCTTTTTCCGAATTTTTTTAACATATCTTGTCTCCAAAGTTTTAACTTAAGATGGATGATGGTTCATTGGAAAAGCGTTGGAGTAGATCGCTTTGGGTGACTCGTTGATTGTTTAGACCATTGAAATAGCCTACAGTCCTTGTTGTTGGAACAAATTTCAAACCCAAATAGGCTCCATTCATCACTTGTCAAAAATGGAGGTTTTGTAAATGAGAAATATGCTGCTCATGAGAAAACCTATAATTATCAAGTTTATACTAGTGGTCTTCTCTCCTTTCTTACATTATTTATAATCGTTTACCAACTTTCATAATGCAAATTCTCAAAATTCGATTTTTTTTGCGGTTGTAAATATGTATGTGCTAATGGCCATGAGTGGCCTTTTGCATAAGTGGGACTGTAGATTAGATGACTAAGCTCAATGATAAGTTAAAGAATGACAAAACATGTACATTAAGCAAACTTTATCTGGACGGGACGAAACCATGAAAGGAAAAGAAGAGCCGTGGATCACGAGAAAAGCGATCTTGAGTTGGATAAATTAAATAATTTGAGAAGATCATTACAATTTTGTATAATTAACGTAATTTTAGTTGACCGGGACTCCTATATTTTAAACTTAAACTATCGTCTTTGTAAGAATGCTGTATCTAAAAACTATTGTGGTTTGTGGTTAAGCATGTGGATAAAACTTTATATAAAGAGAGACTTTGCATTTGTAGCGTAGAGGAAGAACACAAATCCATTTATCGTATTTGACCGTTGCTTCCACGGGAAAGTCCATGACGTAGCAGTAAACGACGTCGTAAGAATGAAAGAAGCGCAATATAAACCGAGTTGACTAAAATGCGCAGGAGGAAACATAGACAAAACGATCTGACGTGGGCGATAACAACCACCACCGTAATCTCAAAGATCTCAACTTTTCGAGTGGTTCATATAAAAATCACCAAATCCTCTGACGAACTTGAGTTTAAATCGTCGCCGGAGATTTTAAATCGGGAAAATGATAGGCGGAGGAAAGGTTTACTGGGGGAGAAAGGCGGATAAAGAGATTGAGGACGGTGGAGGAGGGTCTCACGGCGTCGTTGTGATCTTCGCTTGGAGCTCGATTGACGAGAATCATCTCACGAATTTCGTTGACCTCTACTCTTCTCTTGGATGGAATTCGCTTGTTTGTCGAGCTGATTTTCTCACTGCGTAAGTTCAATTTCTTCAATTCTCTTGCCTCTCTCTGACTTTTAAAATTTTCCGACGAGTAGCAAATCGGAGAATTTCGAGAGAGGAAGATGAATTCCGATGTGGGTTTTTCTTGTAGGTAGCTGAACAATGGTTTTTTAAAAGCTTAGGCTTTGTAAAACAGCATTTGAACAATCTCTTACTTCTTAAGCTTCTCTTCAATTTAGATTGATTTGAGTCATTTGACCAATTGAAACAAAAAAAAACGGTGGAGATGATTGTTTCAAATATTGGGGGAATTGTTTTGCAAATTTGATTCAATCTTGTACAATATCTGAAAGATTCGAGAGTTAGCTTTTGTATATTCCAATTTCGATTCTGTTTATTGTTTGAGAATCTCTTTTAGTAGCTTCTTCTTTTCTCTATGTTTGCAGGTTTTACCCTGAAATGGCTCTCTCTTTAGCATTCCATCTTCTTTCTGAGCTCGTTGAGGTAAGATTCCAGCTAATTTTTTTTTTCTGGTTTGATCTTAAAGTTCATTTTAGATTGGTACTGTTTTTCACTTTTTTCTGCGTTTAATGTTAATTGATTCTTGACGTTTTTTCTTACTGATTGGTGTGTGTTGTTACTGTTTCAGGAGCTAAAGACCAGACCATGTCCTGTTATCTTTCTAGCTTTCTCTGGAGCTCCAAAAGCTTGTATGTACCAAGTATTACAGGTAAACTTTGAAAAAGAATAAACTTTCAGCTAATTTGTCTTCATCTTATGTTGTTAATGGTATCTAAATACTATACAAATTACAATGCAGGTGATCATGGGTGATTGTGAAGCTCAAATCCATCCGGTGAGAATCATCTCCTATACAGTTTTCTTTAACTCATTACATTTCAATACTTATATAGTGATGTTGTTTCTCTCTCAATTTCAATTTTCAACTCATCCATTGTTTTCCCCAATTTGTGAAGAATGATAGCCAGTTGGTAAGAAACTGTCTCTCTGGACACGTCTACGACTCTGGCCCATTGGATTTCACAAGCGACTTGAATGCGAAATTCGCACTACATCCCACTATACGTCGAATGTCTGGTCCTTCAAAGCTAGTATCTTGGATGGCCAAAGGGATCTCTTCCGGACTTGACGGTTTATATCTCACAAGATTTGAATCCCAACGCCGTGAGTACTGGCAAGCCCTCTACTCATCGGTTGTAAGTTTCTCACCGAGCTCTGATTTCAGCTTCTCAATCTTTGTTGCAACATATAACCTTCCCCTCTATTTATGTTTTCCAGGAAATCGGAGCTCCATATCTCATTTTGTGCTCGGAGAATGACGATCTTGCTCCTCAAAACGTAATTTCGAGCTTCACTCATCAATTGCAAGAACTGGGAGGAGAAGTTAAGGTTGTCAAATGGAAAAACTCTCCTCATGCAGGTTAGTCATCGCACACATCATGTTATCGTTATGGCAAGATTTATGATAATGGTTAGTCCATGTCCTGGACATAGCTTTTGATTACAAAATTTGAGCTTTTTGTGTATTTTTCTTTTGCTCCTCTGTGTCTTCAGGACACTACACACATAACCCTATACAATACCGAGCTGTGATCTCCAACTTTCTAGAGAAGGCCATATCAGTGCACTTGCAGAATATCCGACTCCTTGGAGAAAGAGCTCACACGCATGATGAGATCTCCGAGTTAATATGCGGCCTTCAGAAAGTAGCCGTGAAGTCTAACCAAAGCCTGAGAAGAGTAGCCACTGGTCCATGTGACCACTTCTTCTTACCAAGCTCAGCTCCGTACCAAAGCAGCAGCAGCACCAACGATACATCATCATCTTCGCAAGAAGAGCAGAGAGAAAGATCCTCATTCCGCCCGCTACAAGCAACGAGCATCAACGCTCACAGCGTCCTCGGGCAGTTCCTATTCGACTCTTGTGTTCCAAAGAACATCGAAGGCTGGGATATTAGATTCGGAGGTTCTTTAAACGGCCAGCCTTATGCTACTTCCTCCTCTCGTAAGAGCTCAAATCTTGGTTTCAAGAAACGCTTCCTCCGTTCAAGACTGTGAAACTTCGGGGGAGAAAACAGAGCAATGTACATGCGGAATAATGGTTGAATCATATGGGAAGTAGTAGTAGAGAGAGAGATGTTTAGAGGGTTTGTATAGGATGCGGAAGATGTAAATAGAGTGACGACGATTACTACTACGACCTAACATTATACATGTTGTGTGATTACAAGTATCACAAATAAGTCTGTAGATAGACATATGCTTTTACTTGTGTTAATAAAAACAACACTGTAAAATGTATCATAGTGTATGTTGTTTCTTGTTATAAAGCTCGAGTTTCTTTGTCTATCATAGACTTTGTTTCAAAACATGTTCAAATTACTAAAAGACTGGAAGATTTTAATAGAGTTTGGATACTAAAAACAAGAACAAAACCTCAAATTGCACCAAATGAAAAAAGTCAAATTAGGGGCTATATTGTTCTTTTTTAAGTTGGGTGACTAGTTGTCCTACATTTTTGGAACAAGGAGGTTAGATTTGCAATAATTAAGACTCAGGGGATTGTTTTGGAAATTCCCTTAAATGATTCATTTCTCTGCGTTCTTCTTATCGTCCCCAATCGACTAGGGTTTCGCAGGGTTTTGCCTTTTACCATTTCTGCTCCAAAACAAAATTCAGAGGAAATGTCTTCTCTAATGGCGATTCGATGCTCACGAGCCCAGAAGATTGTCACGACAGGTTCTCTGCTTCATGTACGTTCCTCATTTCCCCGCCCGTCCTCTCAATTCGCCTTCATCCACTCCTCCGGCAACAAAAACCTGAGCACATCCGCCGCGCCGAGTGATTATTACCAGAATCATCAGCCCGTTGCACCTCATCCGCCGCAACAACAGGCATATCCGCCGCAACAACGCCCATATCCGCCGCAACAACAGCCCCATTCTCCTCCGGGCTTCGATTCTCAGCGTTTCCAGAACCAGACCAACACTAATCAAAGATATCCGCAAAACCATAATCAATGGAATCCACAGAATCCTCAACGCGGCGGAGGCGGTAACAATTATCAGAATCCTCAACGCGGCGGAGCTGGTAACAATTATCAGAATCATGGTCAGTATCAGAGTGTTCAGCCGAATCAGTATTATCCGCAGCAGCAACCCAATAGCTCAAACCAAATCACCAATCAGATGAATAAGCAGAGCAACGAGATCGTCCCTCCCGTTGAAGAGGTAATGCGTTTGTGCAAGCTCAGGAAATACAAAGACGCAATTGAATTGCTCGATAAAGGAGCTATGCCCGACGGAGAATGCTTCACTCTGCTCTTCGATTCCTGCGCGAATCTGAAGTCGCTCGAGCACGCCAAGAAGGTACACGATCATTTCCTGAGGTCTAGGTTTAGACCTGATCCGAAGCTGAACAACCTGGTGATTAGAATGTTTGGGGAATGTAGGAGTGTCACTAATGCTAAGAGAGTCTTTGACCACATGGCTGACAAAAACATGGATTCTTGGCACTTGATGATGCGTGTGTACAGTGAGAACGGAATGGGAGACGACGCGTTGCATTTGTTCGAGGAGATGACGAAGCAAGGGCTGAAACCGAACGAGGATACGTTCCTCTCTGTTTTCTTTGCTTGTTCTAATGTTGTTGATAGCGTAAAGGAAGCGTTTTTGTACTTCGATTCGATGGAGAACGAGCACGGGATTAGCCCCAGGGAAGAGCATTACTTGGGTCTATTAGATGTTCTTGGGAAAAGTGGACTTCTCGTTGAGGCAGAGGAGTTCGTCCGTGGTCTTCCCTTTGAGCCTACAGCTGATTTCTGGGGAGCTATGAGGAACTATGCTCGGTTACACGGAGATATCGGTTTAGAGGATTACGCTGAAGAAATGATGGTTGATCTTGACCCTTCAAAGGCTGTAACCAACAAAATCCCTACTCCTCCACCGAAATCGTTCAGGGAGACGAATATGATTGCTAGTAAGAGTAGGATCCTTGAGTTCCGGAGTCTGACTCTGTACAAGGATGAAGCGAAAGAGATGGCTGCGAAGAGAGGACCGTCTTATGTTCCCGACACACGACAGGTTCTCCACGACATTGACGAAGAGGCTAAAGAACAGGCACTGCTCTGCCATAGCGAGAGGTTAGCGATTGCTTACGGTATAATAAGCACACCGCCTCGGATGTCCCTCAGGATCATCAAGAACCTCCGTGTGTGTGTAGACTGTCACAACTTTATCAAGATCCTGTCTAAAATCGTTGCTAGGGAGTTGGTTGTGAGAGACAACAAACGTTTCCATCACTTCAGAGATGGTAAATGCTCTTGCGGCGATTACTGGTAGAGAATGCTCAGGTTCTTGATCATGTATATCGCTCTCTAAGCTCTCCAAATTTCCATCTGCTTTGGACCCTTTTAAAACTATCAAGTTTGTGTTTCCACCACTCTAGCTTTTGAATAAATTATATTGCTTTTTATAACTTTGGTGATCAAGTTACAAGATTTCATGTTTTGAAATTAGATTGTATGAACAATGGCAGAGAGAGAGAGAGAGTTTTAGGCAATGTTGATAGTTTGAGTCATCATACTCATGAACTCTTCCATATTAACCAATCCATCACCATCTGCATCAACAGCTTTCACCATCCTCTTGCAATCCTCTAAGCTGCATCTCTCGCCAAGCTTTCGAAGAACGGACATCACTTCCTCTGCGCTTATCTTCCCGTCGCCGTTGAGATCAAAAGTCCAGAAAGCGTTGCGTATATCCGAACATCTAATCCCTCCGCTTCTCTTGTGTGCTTCTATGAACTCCCTGAAGTCGATAAACCCATCACCATCCAAATCCACAGCTTTAAAGATCTTGGGAACATCTTCGATGGCCTTCTCTTGTCCTAGAGCTCTCAGCACCACTTTATACTCGGTCTGAGAGATTTTCCCGTCTTTGTCCGAGTCGAACCTGTTGAAAACACGTCTCATCTCGTTGACTGTAGGCTGAGAGACCCCTCCTGATCCAGGTGAAGACAGGCCTGAGGATTGCCTGTCTCTAGAGAACATCCTTGAAGGCTTCCTCAACACCTTGTTCTTAGATAGCTTGTATTGCAGCTCAAGTAAGCTCACGTTCGACATCTCTGATTTGATTCTTGTGAAGGAGGGGTTTAAGAACTCACAGTTTATATAGGGAACAAAGATAGATTCTTTTTTTAGCTAAAAGATGACAAGAAGAGAGAGTCTTGGGGTTGAAGAAACATGTGACTTTATTCCTTGGCAACTTAGAAAGTTAAAATTCATGATGGGAGAGAGAGAGAGAGAGAGAGAGAGAGAGAGAGAGAGAGGATAAGATTAACAATGAACAAAAATAAATAACGTTTTGGAACCGAAAGTTAGAGAAAAAGATCATTCCTATCTCATATGTACTTTTGGAATCTGATACTGCAATTTGTACAAGTCTGTCCATCCAAATTCATCAGTTAGAGGCTGCTTGTTTCATCATCCAAACGCAGTTTTGAGATGTTATTCTTTTTTGTCAACTTTAAAAGTGTGTTTCAATAAAGCATTGGGTGCATAGGCCATAGTGAAACGCATCTAAAATAGCATTTTCAACCGCATTTGATATGCCCACCTTTTCTCTTTTTGACCGCAACTAATATGGCCCCATTTCAGTCTTTGTTTTCACATTAAAAGAATCACATTTTTCAATATACAAAAAATCAACTCAACTCAAGTTACAGAATTCACCAAAAGTAGAGATCATACAAATTCGTCTTGACAGCAATAAGTTTATTAGAGCTGCATATCAATCTCTTAGGTGAAAAATTATGGCCTAAACTGAAAGATAGTCCTTTTAGCTTTGCCATGATCAATCAAGTATCAGACTTTTCTGCAACCTCCTCTTCCAAACTAGAGTCGCTTTTCATTTCCATTAGCAGTTCTTCCGCGAGCTTACCGTCCTGGTTTTGACTCAAACCTTTCAACAGAGCATTGTAGGTGAGAAGAGTAGGATCAAACCCGAGGCTCAACATCTCATCCCGAACCACCTGCTTTGCACTATCCCCTTTCTTACTACTATACCCACTTATCAAAGTCTTGTAACTAATATGGTCAGGTTTAATCCCTCTTCTCTTCATCTCACACATCACCTCACGAGCCTCTTCAAATTTCCCTTCTCCACATAGCCCTCTCATCAAGCAATTGTACGTCACATCATCAGGATCGATTCTCATCTCATCCATCTCCTTGAGAATCGAAAACGCACGGTCCATGTTACCACTACTACAATGGCCATCCATCAATGCATTCATCATCACAATATCAGGCTTCATCATTCCATTTCCTACAACTCTCTCAAACAACTCATCTGCTTCCTTTATCTTCTTCCTTCTACACAGGACGTAAACAAGCGATGCATAAGTAAACTGCGTCGGCTCAATCCCATCGCTCACCATTTCTTCGTGCAAGGCAAATGCTTTCTTTTCATCTCCATGATGACAATACCCATTTATAACTATGTTGTAAGAAACAGCATCAAAGGCAATACCTTTCTCTCTAATCTCCTTTATCAACATCTCAGCAGCTTCAATCTTGTTCTCCATAAACAAACCATGAATCAAAGCATTGTAAGTGTAAAACGTTGGTTTAAAACCTTCTCTCATCATCTCATCCCTGTAAGCAAAAGCTGTCTCTAAATCTCCTATCTTGCTACAACCACGGATCAAGATATTGTAAGAAACAGAGTCAAGAACCAAACCCATCTCCTTCATCTCTCTCAACACCTCAGAGGCTCTTCCTTCACTACACATCCAAGAAAGAATCGGATTGTACGTCTGCAAATCTGGTTGAAAGCCTTTAGCTTTCATCTCGTTGATGACCATACGAGCTCCATCGACTCGTCCTTTCAACGAATACCCTTGAGCAAGAGTGTTGTAAGTCACAACGTTAGGCCTGATTCCAAAACTCTCCATGATTCCTAACATTTCCTTGGCTCTTTTCAACTTCCCTTCTTTGCACAAGACGTTGATCATGACGTTGTAAGTGTGTAGATTCGACTTTATCTCCATCCTAAACATATCAGCATAGAAGACCCAAGCACTCTCTGTTCGATTCAAATTCGATAGCAAACTCAGAATACAATTACAAGTTTCGGTTTTGGGATCAAAACCTTTCTCCTTCATCAAGTAAAAGCACTCTACAGCTTCGTCCACCAGCTTCGATTCACAGCAACATCTGACCAAGGAATCGAAAAGGGTCGTGCTTTTAGTCTCTAATCGATCACGAGCAAGCACTAGCTCATCGAAAACGTCTTTAACGCTATTACTACTGCGAACGACTTGTTTCAGCAACTGAATAGTGGGTTTTGGAGAAGAGAGCTTAGAGACAACAGCGATGGCTATGCACTGAGTTTGAAAGTCTAGGCGACGGAGATCGATTTGGTTGACGAAATTGAGAGCTAAATGTGGAGTCTTGACGAGGCTGAGTAGAGTTGTTGAGATAAGGGAAGGTGTGAGCTTGTTTGAAAGCTGTTCGACGATATGCCACTGAGAAGATCTTACTGAGTCGAGCAAAATAGCAGACGTTATCGGTGGTGGCTCTGACTCGGTGGTGGAGGTTAGGGATAAAGAAGAAAGACGTGCGGCGGTAGGAGAGTAGCCGGTGCCGGAAATGATTGAGATTCGGTGGCGGAAGAGACAGGGGAATGTGAAGCGTCTCATGGCCCAAGGTCGGAAAAAACAGAGCACAACAAAGGTAGATATGGCACAGGGCAAAGAAGGGTCTGAATTCTTTTCAGGTATGAGAATTGACGAATTGAAGACGAAGAAGATGAAGAAGAATTGATTTTCAGAGAGATGATGATCGGTTCGTCAGTTCTTCTTATTTGGTTTAGTCTTGGTAGAAATGGTTTAAATTGGAATTAGGAATATCGGTTTAGTTTGGTTGATTTGGATTTCTGGTTCAACCGTCAACGTAAATGTTAAAAACCGAAGTAAATTCAGTGGTTTTTTGGCTAACTAAATCTCTCAAAATTTTGACTAAACACTCGAGTAAATATAAAGACAATAGATTGAGGTTTTTGGTCAAAAGAAACTGATTTGATTACAAATTTTGATGGTTTCATTTTGTTTTTAGTTTAGGTACACAACAGTTTATTTGATTTTGGTTTGGATTTGAGATAGTACAAATGTGTGTAGGTTGAAGAATATAGGCAAAATTTCTGGCAAAGAATCAGAATTATAACTACATTAATAAAAAACAAGATATTACAAAACAACCAAGAATTACAAGTTACAAACACACAAGAGTATCACCAAGTATCAAAAGCCTGAAACCAGAGAGGAGCATCAAAGAACCATGATTAGGCTTTCTTCAACTTATTTAAAAAATCCAAAAAGGTTTTGAATTTTTGGAATCAATCTTCATTCTCTTCTCTCTCTCTAGGCACAGCACCAAACTCTTTCACAAGAATCTCAGCCACCAATGGAACCAAATCAGTAACACGAACACCTTTCTTATAAATCACACCCAAATGCGAGTCACTCCCTATCCTCCCTCCAACGTACACATCAGCTCCCTCAACAGGCTTCCCATTCTCTCCACGTGTCAAACACCCCATGAATCCAATGTCAGCAACTTGAACCTGACCACAAGTGTTGGGACATCCTGTCCAATGCATCCTCACAGGCTTTGTCACAGCCACTAGTCTCTCAACTTCCTCTGTAACTTTCAAAGCTCTCAGCTTTGTCTCGATTATCGCTTGCCCGCAGAACTGGTTCCCGGTACAAGCAACTAAACCTTTCATCAAGATCGATGGCTCTGGAGAGAACCGGTTCTTAAGAAACGGTTCTTGAAGCAAAGCCTCGGTTTTCGAGGTCTCTACGTTCGGTATGATGATGTTCTGTTCTACAGTGAGTCTAAGCTCTCCTGAGCCGTAAGTGTCAGCTAAACGAGCAAGCTCGTCCATGTCATCCGCTTGTAACCTACCAACGGGAACGTGAAGGCCAATGAAGCTAAGACCTTCTTGCTTCTGAGGATGGACACCGAAATAGTCTCTCCTCTCCCAATTCTTGTTCACAAGATCCTCTGAAGACCCTCTCTCTAGCTTCCCATTCGGCATTCTCTTCTCTACTTCACCTCTAAATCCTTCAACACCCTTTACAATCACAAAACAGAATCAACAATCAAGAACTTCAATACAACAAGTAAAAAGATTTGCAAGAAGAGTGTACTCTACTTACAAGTTCGTCGATGAGCCACATCATTCTCGTCTTCTGTCTGTTTCCTCGAGTTCCAAGATCTCTATAGGCCTCAAGAACAGCTTTGCAGAGCGGAAGGACATCATCAGCAGGAACCCAAGCATCAAGAGGAATCGCTTCTTCACATCTTTTGGGACTAAAGAATCCTCCCACAAGCAAATTAAACCCAAACCGACCGTCTTTAGTGGCAGGCATGTAAGCTAAATCATTGATATGTGGATGCTCGTAGAGATCATGCGTCCCAATCACACACACATTCCACTTCCTTGGCCTTCAACAAACAAACAAACAAAAACCCTCTTTAGCATACATTTCATTAACAGCAATCTTAACATCAAGAACCAAAAATGAGAACTTTAACTCAAATTTAGCATCAAGAACCAAAAATGAGAACTTTAACTCAAACTTAGCATCAAGAACCAAAAATGAGAACTTTTACTCAAACTTAGCATCAAGAACTAAGAATGTGGAGCTTACAAGTTAGTGAATTCAGGATTTCCTTGGGAATTGGCAGTGATAAACTGCGAAAGGAGGTTGGTGTAAGGCCTTGTATCAACAATCTCTTCAGGATCAATCCCAGCTAGAGGATTCCCAACAGGGTTCCTCACATTATCCATACCACTCTGGAGACTCGTTAGCCCAACAGAAGCTAAACCTTTCAAGATCTCAGGGACATCAGGCAACACAACGCCACGGATCTGCCAATTCTGCCTCGTCGTCACATCTGCACATCCGTCTTCACCGTATTTCCTAATCACACTCGCCAAGTAACGAGTCTGTGCACTTGTGGTCACACCATTTGGTAACTTCAACCTCATCATAAACTTACCATCTGCAACAACAACAATAAAGGAGAAACCTTTAAGTCCTAATCAAGATAAAGCTTTGATTTTTATTAAAAAAGGAAGACTTTTTTAGAGTTTCTATAAACGTACAGTGATGCTTCCGGCGATGGAAGAGGCCAAGCCATTTGAGTCTAACATCAATATCTTCTTTTGATGACTTTTCACTATCGATCTCTTCCATTGACTTCTTCGAGAGCTCTTCAATTCCATTCTCCATGAACAGCTTCATCGGCTCTCTCTCGATCTTAACCTTCTCCTGTGGGTTAATCCCTTTGCGAAATTTCTCCTTGAGGATGTAGAATCCATCTCTCAGCTCGACTCTCGGCTCGAGACGATCTGCGTCTAAGGACGGAGGTGAAGCGGTGGATTCCGCCGGAGCTGCGGTCTGAGCGGCGACGATGACGGATCTTCTGGGTTTCGTTGAAGGGAGGAGAGTGTGTGGAGCTGTGAAACGGAGGGAGAGAGAAGAGGAAGTCATGGCGGAGGGAGAAGGAGGTGGTAGGAGAAGGTAGGAGACGTGCGGCCATTTTTGTAGAGGGAAGAGATGAGCTCTTGAGCGATCCAAAGGGTCAAGTTTCTTCTGATCATCTGTTGTGATGAGGAAACAGACACTTCCTTTGATTTTCTGAATTAAATTTTAAATTTTCGAATTGAAGAAAAATCAATTTTTAATTTGAAAATTAGAGTATGATTCAGTTTCTTTCGCCCATTGATTTTCTTATTCTCACTTTTTTCTTCATAGACAGATTTTGACTTTGAACCAAATTTAGCGGTATTTGTTTCATATTCGAACGGTAATAAATAAATTAGTATTTATTATTACTTTTTTCTTACATCTTCTTGCGGAACATGACATATAAAATGTTTAAATTTTACTAGATAGCACAACATAATACTATTTTTGTATATAGAGGATATTTATCACAAAATTTGTATAAGAGCAACGTCTCTATTAAACAACTAAACCAAGTTGTGTAGCATCTCTAGTCGTGTGAAAATATGAATGGCCTAAGCAAGCCTAACTTTAAAATAAAATAGCTTTATACTTAATCAACTGCCATTGGGCTTTCTTCAGTGTTATTCTAGAGATATGAACAAATAGTGTTATTCTAGACTCTAGAGACATGAACAAATATCATCGCAACGTGTTTAAATTTTGTCAACATCACAACGTTATTTTTCCTTTTTCTACGATATACAGAGTTTACTTCGAGGTGACACAATTAGCTAACTCAATAATACAGGACCGATCAAACAAAAACAAGTATATATTGAATAACCTTCGCCAGAAAAGGACATGGCAATCGTCCAAGAGTACGGCAGTGAAATCCTAGTGAAGGTATATCTAAGGTTTTAGCAAAATATTTTTCTTAAGTAACAAGTAACAAATGACTTTTTACGTAATTTTCACATATTATTTTTATATCATTTTCGTTTGTTACATAATCACATATTATTTTTATATCATAAGCAACTAAACTAAAAACTGCAAAGACTAGCACTTTTATTGGAATAGAAAGAAGAAAAAGAAGGGTTTCGAACCTACATTTTTAGGGTGGTGACTTTTGATAAATACATAAAAAACAGCTAGTGGCTCTTCTAGCATTTATAAATCTTCACGACGTAACGTATGACTTCTCACGATGTCTAAGAAACAAAAAGATGAGAAAGACACCTCTCGGTTCGGTCCAAACCGGCAGCATCCAAATTATCCTCCACCGCTATTTCACGTGTGGCTTCCACACTCCCTATAGGCTATAGAGTAAAAATATCACATCTTCTAAATCATTGACCTACCGAATTATCTATCCATAAATCAAACTTTATCATTCACACAAATACCATCACTATTTTGGGCCTACACTACAACCTCGAAAGCACTCTTGCCAATATTAAAGCCATTAGAGGAAAAATATGTTTGGAATTGAAGTTGTTGAAATAATCATCTCCTCTAATGGCTTATTTGAGTCGGCCCATGAGGAAAATACTTCGGCAAGCGGTGCTAAGATATTCGCATAAACCAAAACAAAAATAACAACATATTGTCTTAGTTTTGGTTTACACCTACTTTGACTAGATGATCTCTTAATCCAATAAAAGCCACTTTTCATTTCACAAACCTCAACAACATTCAAATCACCAATTCCAAACCATCCACAATTAGGTAACAAACATTGATATGAGTTTTTATTAAGGACTACTCTCCAAAATTCAAGATTTAATAGCACTATCATGTACATCATCACTAGGGGACACACTCGCAAACATCATTTTGGTTTCCCTGAGACTTGCCTCACCGAAAACCCGACCACTTGAGCCCATTGTTTCAGCTTCTGCTTCATCGTCTTCCGATCATCACCTTTTTTTTCCAAATTAATCCACAATATCAAATCAAATCCCCAAAAACAGAAAAAGAACAAAAAAATCAAGAAACCAAATTCAACATACCTTTATCAACAATCGACGTGTTGCTAGAGGTGCTTACATCACTACTTTCCGACGCGAACGAAGACGTCCGAGACAAATGGTTGCTATACTGTCTCTGAACGGCGCAGTACAAATCAAGAGCCGGGATTGTGTCCGAGAGCCTCGGGCTCAAATCAGGAGAATCTGGCTCAAAACCAAACCCTAGCTCGATGCAACCTTTAAGCTCCTCGAGATCATCGTTCGTAACGCTCTTGGTACGACGAATATGATCCGCTGGCTGCTTTTTTTTCCTCCGCAGCCAAGCCGCGTGGCGATTCACATCATGCGACCACGAGTGTTGCTTTGTCAGAGTTCCTGGTGGCTGCGGCAAGTTGTGTTTCGACATTGTAATGGCTTTTGCTAGATTTGTTTTTCTTCTTCTTCTTATATTTATATACACATGTTAATAATGTTGTAAGAGAAAGTGTACGTTTTAGGACATATATATGAAATCGTAGCACTTTTTATAGGATAATGCCATTAAGATTCCTTTATTTTTTTGGATTGTTTTATAAGAAAGACATTTTTGTATAAAATAATATAATATATTCCACCAAAATCGAGTGTATATAGACACTAACTCTAAGATAGATTCGCCAGTACATTCCAGAATCTAACGGTACCAACTGTGTGTAGATACTGTTACCTTTAATGGGAAAACTCTATTTTTAGATGTCGATAAATGAGGAAATGGTATTAAATTTCAGTAGATTTTATCTGACCAACACCATGACTTGTCAGAAATTATGTAAATAAAATATATAGGGATTAGGAAAATATCAACTTTTTATTTTGGTTTTAGAAATTATCAGCTTTTATTCTGATTTTTATATCAAAATTTATATATAACCAAAAAAAGAACATTATTAGGATAAAGTCAAAACTTTATCCATTTATAACATGTTTAGGATAGTAAACTGTAATTGCGTTATAAAAACACGATATGTTAACAAAAATATACGAACTGCAGGTTTCAAATTTTTTTTCTTAACAAGTCTTGAAAATGTTGTAAATTTGTTTGAATTGTATTAAGAAGTATTTCGGCTCTAAAATAAGATAAGAAATAATATTGTTTCAAACATAGAGTCTACTATCCATCCTTTTATTTTAGAGTTGAACGATTTTGTTCCTATAGTGATCTTTCTAAAAAAATTAATTATATTAAGAAGTATGCAGCCTTTACTTCAAAACTTTCATAATAGTTGGAAGTAAGAACATCTCCAACTTCACATTATTTTCACTCTAAACTGTATTATAGAAGAAGATGATCTACACCCAATTCGATAAAGTAAAAACTTAATTAATTTAAAAACTAACTTTTTTCTTATTTTAATTTGAAAATCGAAATGGCAAGAAGAGAAAATTCGTAATTACTAGATAGGGGTATAAAATATATGTAGACCATAGATAAAGGTGACAAACATATCAGTGAACAAACAAATGCGCACACAAATATGTGTCTAAACAAATCAAATCACGTCATGTCTTGGTAGTTTTTACATGTGTCCTCCGTGACCTCTGCGAATTTTAGAAAAATCGAACAGTAAAAAAAACTAATTAAACTATCCATAATCAAATAGACCTAGATAGATGACATTAAAAACGTTATATTTAATTCCAAATGTCCGTTCTACAATAAGGACAATACACATTGGTGTCTAGCCAAGGCAATAAGCATATGGAATGAAACTTATGGGCACATGGTAGGTGGACCAATGTCTCACCCGTCTTAAACCGGTCAAGACAGATAGCACAGTCTTGTTGTTCCCTTACTCGCCACCTGAACCACTCGACCAGCCTTCCTCGCCTCTTCTTTAACCTGACCACCTCCGTCGGTAACTCACCATGATTTTTACCTCTCCCTTGCTCCAGTTTACTCACTTTGTCTTTACTATTTTGCCTGAACTTGAAATTTAGAGGAAAATTCAAGAAATGTCAAATTTGGTATATAATCTTTGGAAGCTGCCTAGTGGTTTCTGAGAAAGTTCCCACAACAAAAACATAAATACGCAACTTATATTATAACATTAAATAAATAGAATTTGCTAAAATGCGCTTCTTGGCAGAGAGAAAGTGGGGTTAACGTTTAAGAGATAAAATAATTGTCCGACAAAAGTCGATCTCACAATTGTATGCTCATGTGATACCACATGTTTGTGAAATAGAATACATCATTATGCGTCATTATCATAGGGATTAAAGAGAAATGCTCGAGCTTGTTCGGCGTATTTTAAGGTGAATTACGACTTGGTTTGCTATCATACGCTTTTTAAAACCAAACCGAACCTTCTTCGCGTGTTTCTCAGCCGCTCGTCTAACCTCTCCTTCGCCTCTTGAGCTGCTCCTACGAGCTTCTCATTGTTATCATCACCGTAAGATGTGTTCCGAACATTTCTTTCCTACAAATTTAAAAGTTTCAAATCTTTCCCAAGAAAATGTTTTACTACTTTTTATTTTGTTTTTAGACGTTTCATTACCGAGAAGGAAACATGAGCTTGGTGGCTCTCGTGATTGGTAGTGTAGAGAGAGAACGATGGTCGCCGAGTCCAGACTTGTCCCGTCGCCGCCTTCCCAGAAGCCATGTTGGATAATTCAACAGGTGGAGCACCGCCGTAGAAGCGCCGCCTCCTCGCGCACTCAACTCCGGGAAGCATACCAGCCATAGCTTTATTCTTGTTGTGTTTTAGTTTGCTCAGAGAGAGAGAGAGAGAGAAATGGCAGGCAGCTACAATAATTTATTTATATGCCTAATAATTGAGGAGTGAAATATAATATAAAGATAGGGTTAATTAGGTAGATAGCAAAAGTTTGGGTTTTGATTAGATAAGAGAGCCAAGAAAACACCAGGCCATGAATCAATATTTAATCAAGTCCATGGTATTTTTCTTTTAATATACTATTTAATGGAATATGAATGTGTAGAGAAAACACCAGGCCAATAATTAAAATCATAATATCTAGATTCAGAATCGGTGTCGACGGATGCAAAATTTCATTATCTGAATTTAAATTGACATTTCCCATTCAGAAATCCAAAATTTTGGACGGATTTTGATTAATAATATCACCTTAATAAGAGAGTACACATAAAGAGAATGAGAAAAAGAAAAAAAAACAGAAAAACATCCCACATTTTATTTGTAGTGCAAAGACAATGACTTGTGTACGATGTATGTTACAAAATGACCTTTTATCATTCGAATATTTACCTCGATTTTTCTTTACTCTTAATAAGAACAACAAAAGTAATAATCTATGTTTTGTGGTCAACGTAGATTATACCCATTTAAGTATGAGTGACCACGCAACGGCAACTTATAATAAGTGATGATATTGTATCTTTCAAAGTTTAGACCGCTTTTTAAACTAGCTTATCAACTTCATGCAGTACTAATCATTGCTTTATAGTTCATGTTTTACTATAAGTAACTTAAACTAACAGATAAATAGTCTATCATTATTGTAAAATCGTTGTCGAGTTTGCGCAGCTCACTATAATAATACGTGTATAAAACAACATTGAAAGTATCATTTATATAAAAACAAAATTGAAAGTATAGTTTTTATGTGGAACCTTTAAGACCACAGAAGAAATACCCAAGGCGAAGATTGACTCATGTGGACCTAGAATAAGACGGAACAAAGACGAGGAACTTTCGTGGAAATTTACTTTGTCTCCCCCTCTTAACATACAAACGGCACAACACAACTCATGCATTCATCCAGGTCCAGACGTTTCTTTTTCTAAGATCTAACGATGGATTTGATTGATAATAAGAAGATTTTAGCAGCAACTTTTTTCTTGTTAGTAAAATAGGTTTTATTATAACAGAAAACACTCAGTTACATAGAGTAAAATGAAAATTCTTCTTCTCCCAGCAATCGTTATAAAACATTTGTTGTTGTTGTGAGAGATGTGAAAGATTAAAGTATAGATAGATCTTTCTTAAACTATCTCTAATTTAGATGTCTTCTATTTTGGGTTACTGAGACAGAGACATATGCGGTGGAAATGGCAAGAAAAGTTCTATTGTTAGTTTGCATGTCCTAGGTGATCAAATCCTATAGAAATTAACGTGTCTTGTTTTTCATATTATACAATAATACACCACATGATCATTCTTTGGTGTTATCTTAAGTTAATGTTATAGATGATCTATTATGGTAATTAATCATGTATATAGCCAGCAAATCATTTTGCACCATCGTATGATAATTATGATTAATATATCAATTTCTGTTAAAATCTACAACTTAAGAGTTACTTTGAGTTATTGCATATGAACAACAACAATGTTTTGCAAACCAGACTCAATGCCTAAATGGATATGCTATTGAAACATGGTTCAATATAACTCGATCAGGTGGACCAAGTTTCATAAATTATTTGAATTTATCATATAGTATTAAAATAATGCTTACATAATTTTAGCCTATGAAATTAAATGAGCTAATGTGAACTGGCAAAATTCGACACCCTTAATTTAGAACCGTGAAGGAAAGCGGTTAAACCGGCCTGGTTTTCATTAAAACCACGTGATTTGTGCCAAGTGTTAGTTCGATGGACTTGGGACCCACTTTTCTCCATTTTGCCTTGTCGTCTCTCAGATCTGAGTCAGACGCAAATAATGGAATCAATCACTCTCTCTTCTTCATTTTCCCCAACTTTCTCTGTTCTTTGACGAAAACGAAACTCAACAACTCTTCTTCTCAAATCACTCTTCAATGGCGGTTTCTTCATCTTCTTCTTCATCTATTTGTTTCAACTCCACTCGATTGCCGTCAGCTCGACCGATTTCTTCTCCTCCGTCGCGTCTCTTCCCAGTCACTACCATCTGCCCTCGCTCTCTCCTTCCCTCCGATAGCCGATCTCTCCTATCTTCTACTGGTTCTCGCCTCCGATTCTCTGCTCTCTGCGTGCGTGACTCTAAAGGTACATATAATCTACTGATGATCATGATCTTCAGCTAGCTCTTGCTTTCCTCGATTCTTAACAGGTTTATGAATCATGAGTACTTGTGTGGTCCTTTGAAGTAGAAATCGAGGAACTTTGACTTTCAATCGAGTGCTCATCGGAATCTGTAATCGTTAAATCATGATCAGTATTGTGTTTGATTGACTTAGACTTTACTTTTTTTGGTAACCTTATAAGCTCTGAAGTTGTAATGTTCATAGAAACCTGTGATCATAAATGTAGGTCTAAGGTGCTTTGTTTATTCGGATCTAATTTGAGATCTGTGAACTTGGAGATATCTGCAAAGATGAGAAAGAGAAACTGAATAAGAACAGTGTGAAGATCTCGCAGGTTGAGATTTTAGAAAGCTACTCAAAAGCTTGTAGGAACTTTGGATAGTTATTGTTAAAGCTCCTTAGACCTCATAGCTTATAATGGGAACGAAACGCAACAAAGTAGACAACAAAGTAATTCTGTGAACTTGACTGGTTAACTGAGAAAGAAGGAAATGGAATAAGATTAGTGTGAAGATCTTGCAGGTTGAGATATTCAAATGCCACTTAAAAAGTCTGTAGGAAACTAGGTTAGGTATCATCGAAGCTCTTTGAGCTCATACTTTATAAATGGGCATGAAATGCAGCAACTTGAGCATTTACATTGATCTCTAACCATTTAGGTTGGTGGAGGACAACAAAGTAAGACTCTTTCACCGAGTAAACGAAACATGTATAATGTGTTGTTCCAAATGCTTTAGATACCTTTGGCTTCCACTGTTTTCTTTTGGTTCTATGGCTTGACACAAATATAGCAATTTCAGCTACACCTACACAGGACACTGCTTACAGTTTTTTTGTGATAGTTTTCCTTTGTTGTTTTGATTATTTAGTATGACAAGAAGACTATCAAGTCTTGAAATCCTCACGTCCTTGTGTTTCTGGTTTTGACTATGTGCAGCAGCTGAAGTTACAGAGAGATCGTGGGAAAACTCAGTCCTGAAAAGCGAAACGCCGGTGCTAGTAGAGTTCTACACGAGCTGGTGCGGTCCATGCCGAATGGTTACCAGGATAATAGACGAAATAGCCGGAGACTACGCCGGAAAACTAAACTGCTACGTCCTGAACGCAGACAGTGACTCGTTGGTGGCTGAAGAATACGAGATTAAAGCTGTGCCAGTAGTTCTGCTATTCAAGAACGGTGAGAAACGAGAGTCCATCATGGGTACAATGCCTAAAGAGTTCTACGTTGCCGCCATTGAAAGAGTCTTGAACTCATGAAGAAGGGTAACAACTTCGTTGATGATGAGAACTCTCACTAGACACTTTGATCAAATATATTGTTTGGGAGATAAATATTTGCTCCACTTCGATATATCTCATTGAGAAGAGTCTTCTGTCTAACGTTTGAACCTCTCTGTTTTTTTTTGTTTCTTTACTTTCTTCTTTTAGACTCTGTGAATATAACTGTTGGCTTTGTGGAAAAGATGGCTCAGGGATTATTGTGAATACACGTTATGGTTTATCTGTTTGTGAATTCTGTTAATGTAAATTCTGTACAAATTGTTCAGTTTGTCCGACTTTAGATATAGCCTTCAATCTTCATACATTTGACTCTGACTGGTCCGCAAAACCAAATATTAAAAATTTTAAACTTGTTTTTAGAATCTGAACAAAATTGGGTATTTCCGGTTTAGTCCAATCGGACTTTTGGTTGGTTGTTTCTTACGCCTGAAACCGGCGTCGTTTGGTGAAATCAGTGAGAAAAACGGCAAGCCGTTTAATATTAAAACGCTTATAAAAATTATCTCCATTAAACGTTCTGTGTGCTCCCTTTTCAATCTCTCATCAAAACCCTAAACTCACAGTGGTCTCTAAGGTACTTGATCGATCGTATATCTTTACATGCATCCTTCATACATCACAAACCCGAACCGGTGCGTTCTACTTCTTCAGTTCTTCTTATTCTTCTACTGTCTCTTGCTTCTAGTCATATTCAGAAACATTGAAAAACCCTAACCTAATAATCGTCGCATGTGAATGACTTTAGTTCTTCTCTCTTAGTGTATGACTTTGATCATCTGGTTATGAGAATTTTGAGTAGGTTGGTCGTGATGTTCATTAGTACTTACTTTCTAGTTTCAACGCACCCGGATCACTTGAATTTAAAATTATATCATTGTTTCTGTGACTTCCACTTTATATTTTTCTTAAACTTGCTGATGCTGTGATGCATGCATGCAAATAATTAAGTTGTGTGAAGAAAAAAAAAATGGTGAGTGGGGAGAAAAACACCAATAAATGTGACAAAGGGTCGTCGCAAGAAGATAAGATAAGCGAGTTACCAGATCATTTGATAAGTGAAATACTCATTCATCTTTCTACCAAAGATGCTGTCAAAACACGAGTTCTGTCCACAAAATGGAGACGATGTCTTCGGGAATGGATACCTGAATTAGACTTAGACTCGACAGCATTCTCGGATTTCAAAGCATTTGAGCGTTTCGCTGAGACGTTCTTTGATCCCCACAAGGAGTCATGGACACGCAAACTTAATTTACTACTTCATAATGCTGCTTATGATTGGAACCCTTATCTTACCCGATGGATTAATGTTGTGACAAAGCGTAGGATTCAACATCTCGAAGTTTATGCTTATCCCTGTATATATCAATATCATACCCTTAAGCATATTTACTTGCAAGACACTGGTACACTTACGACTCACTTGGTTCACCTTGTCGATCCCGAGTGTGTTTCTTTACCTTGCCTGAAGATTATGAGTTTAGAATATGTTACATATCACAATGAGGCTAGTTTGGAGAAGCTTCTCTCAGGCTCTCCACTTCTTGAAGATTTGAAGATCATCAGAGATCGTCATGATAGTGAAATGGTTTTAAATGTGCGTTCTCAGATGCTAAAGAGACTCCACATTGATCATTGTATTCAAGCTGTGATTGATGCTCCTCTACTACAATGTTTAAGGACTAAGGTTAACAAGACAAAGAACTTTAAGATCATCAACCAAGATTTCTCTGGTAAAGTAGATCTTCATGTCGTATTTGACTTATCCGTGAGAGGATTGATTCGTGACATCCTCACTGATATTTCGAGGGTCGAGGATCTAGTTATTCGCACGGATATTTGGACGACCGTCTTTCAATACTCGAAATCGGAACCGTTGATTCAGTTTCCTTACCTGACTCGTTTGAGTGCAAAATTTTACTGGTCCAATCTGCAAACGTTATCGACCTTTCTTGAGAGCTGCCCAAAACTAGAATCCCTCATCTTGGTGATTAAATAACTTTTTTAATACACTTTTGATATATACACGTTCTCGTTTGCGAAAGGGTTTTTGATCTCTACTCAACTTGTTTTCTTTCTTTGTTTTTTTTTTTTGCAGGATTTTTTGATGTGGGACAGAGAAACAATCTTGACGTTTTCAACAGTGCCTCAGTGTTTGGTATTATCGCTCAAGTTCGTGGAACTGAGTCTTTCCAGGTGTGTGTATGAATCGGAAATGGAAGCAGTAAGATACTTCTTGAAGAATTCAGCAATACTGGAGAAACTAAAGATTGTTACTTGTCGTCATACGAGAAAGGCAAAGCTTGACATGCTTAAAGAAGTAGTCCGTGTAACGCCAAGATGTTCTAGCGCATGTAACGTGTTTGTTCTTTAATTACTACCAGTTTATTCTCATTGCTCTTCAATTACTAAAAAGACTAGGTAATACATATTCGCTTTTCATTACAAGAAATTAGTATTATCAGAGGTTTCAAGTTTCAACACTTGATTAAACAAATGTTCTTACAATTTTAGACAACAAAAGTGTCACAATGGAGTCTCTATATGTATTAGATCATTTTGCATTGTCTTCAATTTTGATTGTTGAAACTCCAAACTATAGTTTGTGCAACTTTTCTCTTCAAAACAGATTTGTACCACAATTAGATTGTTTTCACATGGATGAAAAAAATGTAAAACAAAAATTCACTTTCACCAAACTCTCTAAAGTTTCTCTGGGCTATGCATAAAAGCCCAAAATCCCCCAATTCGTAAGCTCTCTCAGTTTCTTATTATTCCGCCGGAAAAAAATTGTGAAGGATCAACTCTCATCTTCTCCTTAAATCCGCAGAAGAATCGTGAAATCGTATTTTTCTTCGCGTGCGTTGCTGTATCGTATTTGATCTTCAGGATCCATCTCTCTCTCGCGAATCAGGTATTGTGAATTTGAATCTGTTTCTTCTTCTTCTTCTTCGCAAATCATCGAACTAAACTTTCTTAGCTCTCCGGAGCTAAAACCATACTCAGAAGAAAACCTAATCGAGTGAAATTTGGGGTTTTCTTCGTTTCCAGCTATGTCAGAAAGAGCTATAGTCTCTATCGATTCAATCGGCACCGATTACAACATGACTGCAACAGCAGCAACAACAACGACACAGAGACGATCTTCATCTTCTCCGTACAATCCAATGGCGATTCTCTGGGACATCGAGAACACCCCCGTCCCCAGCGACGTGCGTCCCGAAGACGTAGCCGGCAACATACGCATGGCGATACAGCTACACCCCGTCGTCACCGGCGCCTCCGTGGTGAACTTCTCCGCGTTCGGAGACTTCAACGCCTTCCCTCGCCGCGTCAGAGAAGGTCTTCAGAGAACAGGCGTGAAGCTCGTCGATGTGCCAAACGGTAGAAAAGACGCGGCCGATAAAGCTATTCTGCTCGACATGTTCCTGTTCGCGCTCGATCATCCTCCTCCTTCGACTATCGTTCTGATTACCGGCGACGTCGATTTCGCTCCGGCGCTTCACGTTCTCGGCCAGCGAGGTTACAATGTGGTTCTGATTATACCTTCCGGTGTGTATGTGAATCCGGCTCTGATTAACGCCGGTAAGTTTGTTTGGGATTGGCATAGTATTGTTCACGGTGAAGGCTTCGTCCCGTTGCCGAGACCTCCTCTGCCTCCTCCGCGTCCGTATCTAATGAATTGCGGTTTCAATAGTAGTAGTAATCTTGATGCGATGAATGAAGATGAAACCATTCTTTATCGAGGCGTATCGCAGCAATCACAGAGCTGTTATGGTAACACGAGAGAATCGTCTTCTTTGATGGTTTCGTCGCAGTTTCAGAACGAGTATAGTGGTGGTGTGATGTCATGTTGGCCGTCGAATGCAGGAGAGAGCTCGGCTTATCCTCCTCCGGGGCATCTGGAGTCGACAATGTGGGTGGCGCCGGGAGATTTCAACGGTTTGAAAGGACAGTTAGTGAAGCTTTTGGAGCTTTCAGGTGGATGTATGCCTCTGACGAGAGTTACTTCCGAGTACCAAAGGAATTTCAGTAAGCCGTTGTTTGTGACGGACTACGGTTCGTGTAAGCTTGTTGATCTTTTCAAGAAGATGAGTGATGTGATTGAAGTGGTTGGTAAAGGGAACAAGAGGTTTGTTTATCTGCGGAGCTCGAAGCCGAATCTTGCTTCTCCTTCTCCTCCTCCTCCTGTGGTTTTGCTGAGAAGAGAAGATAAAGGGAAAGCTGTTACCAACGGAGGAGGAAGAGTCTCCTCTGATGAATTGTCTGACACGGGGTCTGGGTCGGGGTCGGGGTCGGTTCGGAGCGAGAGGAGCTTGGAAGAGTTCAAGCTCGAGCTGCAAGAGATTATGGTGAGCTATGGTTGTCGTGTACAGATGGGTTATTTCGAGGCGATATACAAGCAAAGGTACAAGAGGCCATTGGATTACAAGAAGATGGGTGTGGATCAGTTGGAGCAGCTCTTTGATAAGTTCAGAGATGTTGTTGCTGTATATGATGATCCTGCTACAGGAACCACACTCATTGACGCACTTTAGGAGAAGCCTAACTCGGTGTTATATAAGATCGAATCGAGCCGTTTTTTAGGTGTTCTTTCTCGTTTGGGAGCAAGCAATGCAAAGCTTTTTAGTGTAAATGCTTCTCTACTCTTTCCTTAGGACTCGGTTTTATTTTACTTGATTATGCATTTCAAGATTTTTTAACTACTGTTTGAGAAGTTGGAAAGAGGCTTTGTAGGAAGTTTTAGATTTGTTATCTATAAAGAAAGCAATAATCAGTTACGTTTTAGTAAAAATGGGAATTATTATTCTCTGCTGCATGGATGTTTTATGTTTATGAATTTGTCATAACGTTCTTTGAACAGTGTGACACAAACAAGTAAGCAAGCAAATAACAGTTAACTTTTTTTTCATATGAGATAAGGATGGAACAGAGCTATAAGATCTCTAATTTTATTATCTTTTGGCGTCGCAATGACGATGAATGAAGCGGCCAATATGGAGGTTGGAGGTACTACTATCAGGTGGTTAATGCGACGGTCTTACAAATGGGGCAGAGATTCTTGAGCATGACCCATTGCTTGATGCAGTCCTTGTGGAACTCATGGCCACATTCCAACGTCCCAAGATTATCACCTTCTGCATACACTTCCTGTAAAAAAAAACAGCTTTCTCACATCAGTTCCTGAGTGATTAGCTAAAGAATAGTTAAGAAGATGTATGGTTGTGACTTAATTAGTGATACCTGACAGATACAGCAAGGCTCTATGTCCTGATGCAACTCAGCAGAAGAAGAAGAAGATGTATGTTTGTGCTGTTTCATTGTTTTCAAAATGACCTCTTCTTTTAGCCCTGTGCTCACATCTCCTATGCGTTCCCCAAGTGCCAACAGCTCCTACATCCATTCACTCATTCATTACCACACCGATATTGGCGAACGGGAAGGTTGCGATAAACAGTCGAAACGGAAGTTAAGTACTCACCTCGTACGACATGTTGTCAACATCAAGGCGCATTTCCCGATGCCTATCATGCATTTCAGTCATACCCTGGTAGATAAGAGGATCCAACACCATGTAATCCTATCAAATCGAAGAAAAGGAAGATCAAGATCAGCTACATATATCATGGCATGGAAAGGCATGGCTTCTTCTAAGAAATTAGCATACAGATGACTGAAAATCACAACTTCAGGTCAACAGATTTACCAAGAACTGGAAAGTGTTGTATCCATTAACTGATAGTAACAAATCACAATCGTTGAAAGTCACACTTTTTGTATCAAGAATCATACCTCAATCCGTAAATTTTCTCCTCTTCTCATGGCGGTCAACACCTGACGTATCTGCAACACAGAAGGAGAAACAAGTGCAAACTCACTATTCAAATTCGAACTCTAAACATTCATAACATGAGATGTTTTTGTGGGAAGGACTCTCCTACCAAAACAATAATCTGTTAAGAAGATATAAAAAGATGATATTCATCTAGAGCAAAGTGTTTATCATAAAAAGAGCACAGACCTCGGAGATGAGGTGATTCCTTCCATCACTGTCAGCTGCCAAGCTTCTCCCCAAGTGACGCAACTGGAGATGATCATTCTGTCTCTCTGATAACAGCCCTGATCTTCTGTGCCGTGAGCGATGGCTCCGACTACTAGAACTAGATGGCATTGCCACCTCATTTGAGGAAACAGAAGGAGGACCTGTTGGCAACAAGGGAAGAGAGCCACCATGACTAGCTGATTGAGATTCAATACTAGGAAATAAAGACCAAGGAGAAAGTTCTGGTGTTGTTCTCGATGCATTATGTAACGAGGCAGCAGTCATAGGAGGAATCCACGCGGGATTAGGCTGCTGCGCATGAACAGATGAACTCGTTGGCCCTGCTCGAGGAACAAAGGGAGAGTCTATAGACGAACCAGGGTTCCCACGACTGAAACTCCACATAGATTGATCATGCACAGTTGCAGGTGAAAACATTAGCTGCTCTGGATTGCTTCTTGGTGCTTCCCATTGTGGTCCAGATCGCTCTGCCGGCATGCCAACACCTGAGGAACTTCCGGCTCTCGAACTGAAAGAAGATCCCCAAGCAAAATGGTGTATATTCCTAGTCAAAGCAGGGAGGTGGACTACATTTGTCTGATTCTCACCACTAGGGAATAATGTTAATCTCACATCTTGAGGATCTACAAAAGAAGAGTTTAATGGTAAATTCTGTTGCAAAGAACCACTGGGACGCATAGAACTTCCATCGTGCGAAACGGTGAATGCTACAGACTCCTGAGGCTGCCTTGGATTCAATCGTCTGCCAGGTCTAGAGAAGGTGTCAGTGTTTCTAGCATTGGTTGCAACTGCTCTTCCACCACCAGAAGAGCCAAACATTTGCTCTGTTCGGCCAAAATGATTAGTAACATTTGGAGAACTTTGTGAAGGTGTAGCCAAACTTAAGCTGCTTGAAGCACCATACTGAGCAAAACCTGCATTCTCAGTCTGAACAAAGTAGTCAGGAGCTCCTTCAAGAGCCTTTCTTTTGCAAGACGAGCCCCAACCACCCAACGAAGAAGCTGGACCACTGCTACTCTCCCCAGCGGCGGGAATCGAGCTTCCTAATGAGCTCCCACCGCTATTATGACGGATAACTACCCCGGAAGTCTGCGCACCATAACAATCGGTGTCCATATCCATGCTCATATCTACACGCTGTGGCCTAGCATTAGAGCTTGACCCACGCATGTAAGACGGTCCATTACTGATGTGACTGTTACGATGAACCCTTTCATGTACCATCATACCATTCAAACCTAAATGCCTTCCCTCAGATCCGTAGCCAACAAACTGATGACCAACATCTTGCGGAAGCTGATGATTTGTCTTCATTCCAATGGAACTAACATGATCCGATGGTCCTGATACAGAGCTGGATTCCCCGAACCTCCACCAGTTATGATGTTGAGAACCATGAGAACTTGAACTTGCATAAGGTGAAGAGGTACTATTGTTTCGAAACTCGTTGTCTACTGGATTCATCATGTTATTCAAAGAGGTCTCTGCGCTGCTATAAACCGAATCACCATCTGTCTGATTCACTTCCGTAGATGAACCACCAGTGTTCCTTGGCCCTTGCATTGGATTCATACCTTTAACCAGCAACACAAGGACTTTCCAAGAAAGAGATCAAAAGCTACAACGACTTTGAGGAAACCTAGAGTCACGGAAACCGAAGCAGAGAAGCATAAGACATCCATGGATGAGAACTTGGAAAAAAAAGGGAACTTGGCTGAGATAAGTGAATCCCAATTACCATTACGATCATCACAGTCCTGCCTGCGCTTCAGGCTTTCCTCAGGCTCCGACTATAGCTTCTGCATTGTGTTCACCACAGAAAGGCAACATCAGAAACATTCACAAAAGATTTTATCATAAGAGCTTCATGCTGACTCTACTGAACTTATAAAACTAGCTAACTTTACAAGCATTTCTCCAAAGTGAACTAAGAACAACCACTTGTGCTTAACCTATAAACTTCATTAATGGATTGTTCAACACAGAAGAAACAAAGCATGATTCCATAGTAGGTGCAGATTACTTAAAGCTATGCTCATTTGACACAAGAACCAGAACAAAATTACATCTCCGGACTCATACATTTCTATTCAAACAAGCTATAAAGTAGCCATTGAGAGCTAAAATCATCACAGAAGAAAAGACAGACACTTTAACAAGTTAGCGATACTAATTGCTTACATCGAATCCAAAACAATCAGAAAAATCCAATTTTGCGATGAAAAACCTAAACTTTGCGGTCAATCTCGATCCGCCAAGCTATTGCAATGCATCAATCAAATCACAACGATCTAAACAAAGTCCGAGTACAGAGAAGAAAAAAAACGGTCATTTCATAAGATTGAGCAAAATGGGTACCTGAAGAGAAATCAAAGATGGGTCTTGAGAGTAATCTGTTCAATTTTGAGATTAAATTAAAATAAAATAAAAAAAGTTTCTTGGTGAAATCGAATTTTTGGGTGGTGGTGGTGGTGGTAGATGTGCGTCTCTCCTCTGCACGATTCTCTAAAGGTTTCTTCAGTCTCTTTCCGATTCTGTTTCCCGGAAAAATGCAATAAATTTCTTAGAAAGACGTAGAAACAAGAAATGAAATTGAAGAAAGAACATAAAAAGGAGAGAAAGAGAGAGAGAGAGAGAGAGAGAGAGAGAGAGATGGAATTAGGAAAATAGAACACATAAGCAGAGAAAAGGATGAGGGAAGGAGAAGATTAAGAGACGTACAGATTTCATGTGACATTTGTGTTTTCCCAAAAAAATATTCAATATTTTGTTGTTTAGTTTAATTTTGGTTATTGCAATTAAACTTCCAAAGATATGATTTTTCTTCTTTCTTTTTAAAATGAAAAAGTTTGGTGCTAAAATAGTGATGAATCATTGTGAGTTCTGACATTAATTTAGTGTAAGATTTTGTAGGACGTCACTTGTCTAAGTGGCATGTTGCTACCTTTGTTGAAATAAATGGTCACGCGGTAAGTGTGATTAGTGTTGAAATTCTGAGAATGTAGGTGATGGAGATTATGGTACTCTGTATGTAATAATTAGGATGCTTATACACTTTTACAATATCAGCTTTATTTTGTATAAACGGTAACATATTATTTCCTGATTATTTTGGGTTGGAGATAGCAATTTCCAACTTTGTGATACCACAAGACCAAGTACAATGTAATTATGTTCTGTTTGTGTTGTGATTTCCTACCAAATCTCTTGTTTACTGTCTAATTCTGTTAACCAGATCTCTTGTTCTGAAATTTTGTTTTGTAGATGGTTTCACGTTTTGAAAATGCTTTGTAGCTACATTAAGATGGAACCATTTATCCTCCTCTTCAACTCCATTAACATGTTTGAAATGGATAACCATCTAAACAAGCACATATGGCATTTAGAGGATGTGGCTTCTCTCTTGTCTACTCGATGAAGAAGACGATTATGGATTCTCTCTTTGTCTCTTGTCTCAATCGCTTTCTCTTGTTACTGTTTCTGATTGTAACAGAATATAACAACCATAAGATGAATGGGCTATACCTTTCTCTAGCCCAAACTTCTCTTCTTCTGCTTTGGCCCAACTAGATTTTGACCCGAGTTTTAGATCCGGAAAACCGATGAGATGCGCAACAATTAAACTCACAGTCTCCACTTTTGTCGCATGGTCAGCTGATCTGACTCAGCTCAAACAAAATCCGACAAACGCTAATTCTTTTCCGTCGTACAATATTTATTTATATTAACTATCCACTAATGCATTATCTAAATCCTGACGTCGAAATTAACCATATATATGATCCAACATGAGCTGACATCTTACTTACGTTTGTCATAAGCATCATCGCATGTTCTAAACAAGCTATCCACACAAAAAAAAAGAACTTAACCAATATGATCAACATTGATAAACCATCTACTAATGCATTGTATACAAATTCTGACATCGAATTTCAAGATAATATTGAATGTAACGTGTGTTTTACTGCGAGTTGTATGTATTATCGGTTGAATCACATTTTCAAAACGTGAAAAAAAGTACACACTATTCAAAAGTCCATTGTTTTTGTTTTGGTAAGGGGGTAAACGCAGGATATTCATGAGTGATATTATAACAGCAATAAACACACGCTTAAAATGAGAGAAAAAAACCTCGGAAAAGGTAAAAATGTAAATATGCGAGCTCTATCTCTCTCTCTCCTTTTCATACCTCTATCATCATCTATATACACGTACAAATGTGTGTGTGTTGATGATCAATCGTGCGAGCAAAGAAGCATAGTAATACATTTCCCAATAATGTAGAACCTTCCTTTCTTCTTTTTCATAAACTCCCGAGCTCTTTTTGGTGAAGAAGACTTGTTCTTCTTCTTCTCGTTCTCCCAATTCTTCACTGCCTCTTCCCTTGACTTCTCCCTCATTGTTTCTCTCTCTCTATATATATATAAGTGTTTTCTTGTTTCTCTTAGTATGGGATTCAAGGTGTTAATTGATGATTGGTGATGTTTAAAGAGTATTTATAAGAAAGCTAAGATTCATCATTATATGAGAGAGAGAGAGAGAGAAAGAGAGAGTGTGGTAAGGAGAAAGTGTTCCCCACCATTGATTCGGGACCATTCAACGAAACAACCCAAAAACAAAGGCCGCCTGTGAAGTGTGACCGAGTGAGTAGCTTCCCATTATGGTTGAAAATATCTGTTTTTTTGTTTTATTGTCTCCTTTCAAGTTCAAAGATTCATCATCGGTGTGTTTGTGATGGATTTATTCAGTTTGGTCGAAATATTATCATGATTCATACTATCATAATATTCTAACATTCAACTAATAACTCAAGAATGTAATTACTAGAAACCAACCACTCTCCACTGACTCAAGCCATTATGATATTTGGCATTTAAATCTCTGGTCGTCTAATAATTCAAATCCATACCGAGTTAAGGGTCAAGCCAGTCTCTCTTACAATCTCGACAGCTCATTTTCGGGTAAATCGCTAAGGACGTCAAAACAGAATGCTCATAATCATAAGCGCTTTTGTTTTTTTTTTTTTTTTTTTTGATAACTCTGGTATCCGGGCAGCCACATTCCCGACTATCCCCACAAGTGGGGTCCAGCGCCCCAACGGAAGGGATGTTAAATCCGTTGTGGCCGGGACTCGAACCCAGGTGGCGGGTACCTCAGCTAAGCGCTTTTGTTATCTTATTGAACCACATATATGCTTCTCATACCTAACTCCAACAAAGCACGAATAGATTGATAATGTAGTTAATATGTATAGTTACTTATTTTCCACGAACCATCATCCCTTGGTTAATGAGTATTTGTTTGCATGGTGCATTGCTAATTAAGAATATACATGAAACATGATCGTATTCTTTCAAATAATAGTGTGATTTTAAGCCACTGCTTCAAATCCTGTTTCTTACTATTTTGGCGGTACAAGTTTAGTTTCTTTTCTTTTTTCTTTCTCCTGTAGGCTGTAACAAACCACTTTTATTTATTTTTCTTTAGGGTTTTAACTTATTGCTGAAATGTCTTCACGACAATTGAAATATAAATTAATTATATGATCTATATAGTGACGAAAATGTATACGACTACCAACCACTTAGTCTAGACAAACATATATTCATGCTTTTTGATTTGGTTTTCTTTTGTTTTATGCGAAACATTTGGTGATTTCATCTTTTGTTTTATTTTTCAATTGAGATATTGGTGATTCTCCTTTGAAAACGTGTATCAATTGAATCCAGAACTATGATGGAAAATAATACGCAAAGATTAGAGGTTTGACAAAGATTTATCATTCATGTAAGACGACAACACAGAAAATAATTTTGAAGTAAGAGATTTATAAAATTGCATAGCATCACAACAAGCCTCTAAAAAAATAGATATATGGACGACCACGCAAATTTATCTACCTGTTAGTAATCTTAATTGTCACCAAATGTGAGAGAACTTTCACCAATGAAGATTTGTTTTTGTTTTCTTTAACACCGCATAGAAGATATTGTTTCAGTTTAATGAGACTTATGTTTTAAAAGGATGGTTTACGTTTCCTAAACCCAACACGCACAAAAAAAAAGTAATCAGAAACTCGTTTTAGATTACGAATTCAGAATCCTAAACTTTGTAAACTTAAAAACAAACTATTGAAGATTCAACTATTGTAAATAGCAAAAAAAAAGAGTGAGACAAAATGAGTGGTTTCACTTTGCAGAAAAGGTGGGAAACCACATGGGAGAATCTATTATATATAGGATTCAAACGTAAGGAAGTGAAAGGTCGAATCCATCACATCTTTTTTCATTATGATTGAAAAAAATAATCAAAACTTTAATTACGATCTTACGAAAGGGCAATGCGGAGGACGCCCCTCGCACGTGAAGTTCACGAAGACAAGACATCTCTTGCCTCCTGGCTGTTGCACTCACAAATATACACAACTTGTTTTTCCTTTTGCAAAATACAACCTTAATTTGTGAGAATATGATTTTGTGTTTTTGGACTTTTCTTTCTATGTATTTATTTGTTTATTGTGTCTTAGTTCCATTTGCATTCCATACAATAGTTATATATATGTGTAACTTAAGGACATGTCCCTACTCCCTTCATTGGCTTTATACTTTTTTGTTTTTTTCTTGCCAACTTCACTGCCTGTATGTAAATCCAGCAACCTCACATTTTTCTTATTTTTGTTTGAGTAGCATGAGACCAATCAAAAACAGTAAAATGCTAGATAGTATGTCTTAATCATCTTCTTTTCCCCCTAAAATTCCTATAACATAACACTTTACAGTTCCCTGTAGGATATATAATATCATACAGGACTAGCTAGACATACAAATATATAAGACATAAACAATTTTATACTGATAATTCAATACATTCATATTTCATAATTGCCCAAACCTGCTGAACAAAAAGAAAAGTAGGGTGGCCATTTTTAGGCTTGAGCAGGACAAGACCTCATGTTAACGTAGCTGCGAGCACCTTTGATATCCTGCCATGCTCGTAGTATTAGTCGTGGGTGGTATCTATGAAGTTATTGGAACTCCCTCAATTTGGTAACTCGATTTTAATGTACTTTTGTTTTGGATTTCGTGAAATAATATCATCCTAAGTAATTAGGAAAATTACTTATTATTTGCATTGTTGTTATAGTACTCGTTGTATCTTTTTAACAGAGCGTACCTAATTGGATATGAACAAAACAAACCGTAATCCAAATATAACTTTGTCTGGTGCATACTGATTATCTAGACCGAATCCTATTTTTTTTCCAGTTGAACCGATTGACCAAAATTTATTACATATAATTTAACTAAAAAACTTGCATTTGGTATTACTTAGATTAATTAATTAAATTTTGTAATCATAATTCCAAAACCAAACCTAAACAAACTCAAACTATGTTTCTTTTTTTCAAATAGAACTTAACCGAAATAGCATTTTGGTTCGATTTTACGGTTTAATTAACAAAAAGAAAAAGGAAACCCTAATCCGAATTGAACAAATCCAAATATAAAAGTCCGCCGACTTAAAGGGACCTAATCCTAAACGTTTTAAAACAAGTGACCGACTTAATTAAACCCTAGTTATTACCTCTATAAAACTTAGGTTTTCTTTTCTCTCTCGCGTTGCATTATTCTCGACTGATTTGATTTTCTTCCAAGTTCTCAGGTTCTAATAACCCTAGATTGAGCGAGTCTCGTTGCAAAGATGCAATCAAGTGAAGAATACGTGAAGTTCTTAGGGAAAGGTATCTACGGTTCCGTCGATCTCGTCAAGTGCAGAAAAAGCGACGGCTCCTTGTTTCACGCCGCCGTAAAAACCTCCGACGTCGATGAGCGCGACACTCTCCAAAAAGAGTTTCGGATTCTGTCCGAGCTTAAAGGATGTCCGAGGATTGTCCAGTGCTTTGGCGACGATCTGGAAGAGGGTGTTGACGAGGAGGGAAACAAAGTCTACAAGCTGCGTCTCGAGTACGCATCTCAAGGAAGCTTAAGAGCGTTCATGGACATGTTCCAAAACGGAATATTACCAGACTCGATGATTAGAGAGTTCACGAGTATGATTGTCGAAGGTTTGGTCTCGATTCACAGCCACGGTTATGTCCACTGTGATCTAAAGCCGGACAACATCCTTGTCTTCCCCTCGAAAGAATACGAAGATTTGTACAATCTGAAGATTTCTGATTTTGGGATCTGCGTAAAAGACGGAGAAGTTCCAGATCACTGGAACGCTGAATATCCTTTTGTTGGAACGGCTAACTACATGCCGCCGGAGTCTTTCCACGACGGCGCCGCCAAGAAAGCCCTAGATATGTGGTCGTTAGGGTGCTTAGTCTTGGAGATGTATTCGGGTGAGCATCCATGGAAAGGTTTTAAAACTGAAGTTCTCGTTTCTCTTCTCTCCGGTGGTCACGCTCCAAGGATTCCGGAGTTTGTGCCTTGTGACGCAAGGGAGTTCATTGAGACGTGTTTTGCAAGAAACCCTAAGGACAGAGGAACAGCGTCTGATTTACTCAAGCATCGGTTTTTGCGTGAAGAAGAGAAGAAGACTGAAAATTTTGATATTACAGCATATTGCAAATATCTGCGTGTGTTTTGTTGCATACTTCCTCTGTTTCAGAAGCTAAAACTCAAATAGTTTCTTCTTTATTTGTCCAAAACCTTGAACATCTTTTTAATACAGTAATGTTTTCAATCAATTTGTTTCTATAGTGATGTTTGTGTCAGTGTTTGTGTGTTATTGATTTAATGCTTTGACTTACTTCTTCTGAACACAATTGTCTTGAAACTCGATATATAAGCAAACCAAAGTAAAGTATCAAATCAAGTTTTCAAACAAAGCATGTCAAGAGAATAATCCTACAGAAAGAAGCCACACTTAAACGAAATATAGTTTTTGCAATCAAACAAGAAAGGACAAAGAAGAGCACTCAAGAGACAAGGTTGTCACTGAGGTTCAAGGAGGCAAGCTGCTCGGCTGCACCACCCGCAGCGACACTTCTGAGAACTTCCATAGCCTCGGCTACTTTAGCCATGAGAGCTTCAGGCGACTCCAAGAGATGAAGCACTTCAGTCTGATCCATCTCCAAAAGCATCCCAGTCACTTTAGCTGCAGACTCTGCCTCAAGCTGCTCCACAAGCGGATACAGACTCTCACCCAACATCTACACATCACCAAACACCACAATCAAGATTTAAGAAAAACAAACTCCAAAAGATGGTAAGAGTAAGAAAAAAGAAAAGCTTTCTCACCGTTCTCTGGTGTTCAGGAGAAGCATTAGCAAGGGAAGTAGCCAAAGCTCCAATAGGAACGTGCTGAGGAGCCCCAGAGTCACGCGATGGCATATTGCTAGGCATCTCATATGGAAGCATTCCAGGGACATCAGGGGGACCACCACTCCCACGGCCTTGCGGGTAGCGGTACATTCGACCCCTCGGGTGCATCTATTGATCAATCCACAAAGAAAGATCATCATAAAACCTTCTACCCTGATAACAAAACAGTGTTTTTACTGCGCGATTGATAAAGGAAACGAACCTGGTGCTGCTGCTGCATCATGGGAACTTGCTGCTGCTGAGATTGCTGGATGCCTCCAGGGCGTCTTCCTCCAGGACGTTGCTGGCCCTGCTGAACCATTGGCATGAAGAAGTTGTGCATTGGTGCCGCACCAGGTCTCATTCCAGGAACCATCTGCTGCTGGAAGCCAAACCCGGGCTGTCATGTACAAATCACACAGGTTACGAATCATCCAACAGTTTCAAGACGAACAGGAAAGCAGTTTTATGGAACCATTAGTCTTAGGAATGAGACAGATAAAATGACTGTGTAATGCTATGTCTTCACATCAAGATGATATAGGGAGTTTAAATCATCTGGAAGCTAGTAATTATATGCGAGTGAGAAAATGCTAGAAATCTACCTGTCCAGGGATCATAGCAGGAGGTGCCTGACCGTAAAACATTTGTTGTCCAATACCGGGACCACCAGGGGGATACATTGGCATACGAGGACCAACAGATGGTGGCATTGGTCTCATTTGAGAAAACTGAGCCTGTTGACATCACGATGGTGTAGATATCAGTTATTACATGAAACTTTCACGGCCATAGGGTTCACACGAATATATATAGTTCCAAAAGGAATCATCTTAATCTTTAGATCATAGAATACAGAACAGTTAAGAGCGCATGTATAACACGAAACAAAGTACTGTGAAGATAAACACATTGTACTACACTTACATGTCAGAGACAATGTTGTTTAAAGCATGTTTGCAAGATATGATCATAACAAGTGCATGATACATCAGATGACTCAGATATAGACAATCAAGATGCATCTCTTTATTAGTAAGGGAAATTGTATTTTCACACTCAGTATTGACCAGTTGCTAAAAATCGAGAAATAAATAAACAAAAAGAGCCGGAAAGCTAATACATCCTACTGTACAAGTTTTTAAGAGAACAAACCTGCAGTCTGGCCCTTCTGTCCTCCTTTCTCTGAGCAACAGCAACGTAGAGAGGCTTGTTCTCGATCATTTTACCGCTCATCTCAGACATCTGTAAAAATTCCCAATGTGAGTAAAAGCTAAAAATTCCCAATCTCAGACATCTGTAAAATTCTAACACTAGAATTAACTTACAGCTTTGGTCGCTTCTTCAGGAGTTGAGAATGCTACAAAACCTGAGCCCCTGCTTATGCCATTAGGATCTCGCATCACCTGTTATGTTTTAATAAAAAAATATTTATATATGCAGTCAACAAAATAAAGGAACACTTCAGATTAGCAGAGGAGGTAATATTGAACCTTGCAAGATGTAACAGTGCCATAAGGCGTGAAGAGCTCCTTGAGTTTCTCGTCAGAAACGCTGTCATCTAAGTTCTTCACATACAAGTTAGAGCTTTGAAACTTGTCTGCAGCTTCCCTCAAACTCTGCTCATACCGAACCTTCAGTTCCGTTTCCCTCTCAGACTTCTTCTGGGCTCTTCCAACATACCACTCCTTATCATCAAACGTTTTCCCATTCAGAGCTTCCACAGCCTTAGCAGCATCATCGGCATCCTCAAAGTTAACAAACCCGAATCCCTTCGACTTCCCCTCTCCATCTTTCATCACCACAGCACTTGTGATCTTCCCAAACTCACCAAAAGTGTTCTTCAACTCATCATCAGTAGTTGAGTCAGCAAGATTCTTCACATACACGTTGGTGAATTTCGTCACGTTACCAGTAGAGTCTCTTTCCTGCCTCCTGAGGAAAGGTCCGACGTACACTTGCTTGTCGTTGAGCAACATGCCGTTCAACTGACTCATAGCTTTCTGCGCAGACTCTTCAGTTTCGTATTGCACAAATCCATAGCCTTTTGATTGCCCTGAAGAGTCCACAGCTACTTTGCAAGAGATGATGTTCCCGAACACAGAAAACGTATCATGCAACGCCTTGTGGTCTATGGTCTTGTCCAGATTCTGCAATACACAACAAGGTTTAGAACCGAAAAAGGAGAGCAATCACTCGGACAATGAAAGAAACAAGAGACGCAGATGAATACCTTGATAAAGATGTTTCCTGCACCACTTCGGCGAACACTAGGATCGCGGTGAGAATACATAACCCTGACAGGTTTCCCATTGAGAGGTATGTAATTCAGTTCCTGGATCGCTCTTGCAGCTGCCACAAAAACACAACATAAAGTCTCATCATCAAATTTTCACAAAGATACGTTTTTTAGCAAATAGGATCAACAACACTCTACAAACTGTTCACACAGAAGACAACTCAAAACTTGAATTCGATCTTGACAACTATTATAAGTGTATTTTCCAAAAGTCGCCAACTTTTAACTAAGATTTTCATTGTATAAACTGTAGAAAGAAAAACATTTTGATCCACTATTTCATAACACTACTCAACTGAGCAAATGTAGAAAAACTTTTACTTCTTTCAAACAAGACAAATGCAGTTTCAAAAGTCCTCATTGCAAAGAAAATGGTTAAATCATCAAATCAAAAACCCTAATCAAACTTTACCAAAGATGAGTTTTTTCATTTATCAAAACTGAATCAACCATATATATCATAACCAACATTATTAAGCGCACATTCATTCATTTTCTGATTAAGAAGACACCTTTTCAACGACAAACTATACCCATTGAAACCTTTAAACTTGAACCCCAAAAGTCCCAAACTTTTATCCTAATCTTTTCATTATATAAGCCCTAAAAAGAGAACCTTTTTGATCCACTATCTCTTAACACTAGTTAACTTTGAAAGTATCACACAATTAAGCAAATCCATTTGCATTTTACTTCTTCAAACCAGGTAATTGCAGTTTAAAAACTCCTAATTGCAAAAGGAAATGGTATCAATTAATCAAATCAATAGAGCATTACCATCTTGGGGACTACTGAAGTTGACATATCCATAGCCGAGAGATCTCCGAGTAGCCAAATCCCTACAGACTCGAACCGAGACGACTTGACCCATCTGGCTAAACGCATCGAAAAGTTGCGAATCCGTAACATTCGCATCCAGATCTCCGACGTAAAGCGACGTCGTACCAAACTGAGCACCCGCTGCTCCAGCCCCAGCCGGAGGAACAGAGCCGTTCGGAGTTTGACCTTGAGGTTGTGCCTGAGCCATTTTCCTTTTTTTTTTGGTTTTTTGGAACTTTTTTTTCTTCTTTTTTTGGGGTTTTTGTTTGCTTTTCTCTCCCCTCTCGTTTATTCGAGAGCAAAATCAGATAGAAACCCTAAGCAGCAAAGCAATAGGAGAATAATTGAAGCGGAGAAGACGAGAAAACGAAGTAGAGAGATTGTTTGGTCTTTTTTATGGTTTTTGTGAAGTGGGGATAAGAGGAAGAGAGGGGAGAAGAAAAGGGTAAAAGCAGTTGCCGGCGGCGAAGCCTGCGGCGGCGCGTGCGATATCGAAGATAGTTTGGTGAGAGATTTGGGGGAAAATGGAAGACAACTGCGAAGAGGAAAGAGAGACACAACGATTCCGATTTTGTGCTTTTATAATTAAAATGTTTTTTCTTTTTCTTTTGGGGTCTGAAACCAAACCGAACCCTAGACTTATCAACCGTTCGATCGGTTTTGAAGTAAACCGTTAGGATTTTACGGTTGGTCATAAGTTTTAGTTTATCTTTTTCCTTTTTCTTTCTCATTAGTTAATGTAAAATTTTTTCAACCAACAACAAAACATTAATAGGGAACGGAATCAAGCAGCAGATGCTTTATCTAAGGCTTATCTAAGTTCTCCAAACTCTTGTATGTTTATGTCATCCCCTCCCAGTTGGTTGAGGAAATATTTGTATTCCCCCTTTACATTATGATCTAATATAATCAGATGTTACAAAAAAAAAAACAACAAAACATTAACAAAAGAAATCAGATAATAGTTTGAAATCTAAAGACTACAAGTATTACTTGATTGTATCCATATTGATTAATTTCATGAGTTATGTCACTTGTCATTTGTGAAATTGTTAGATTATCTAGAAATGTATAGTTTGGTTAAGTGGATGTCTCTATATATCAACAAAACAATACACGAGAATATGAAAATTAAAATTAATTTGGAGGATCTCGGAGATCAGTTAAGTGTGATGGTAGAGACGAAAGGAAAAACATATTTGGCATCCTCCTCATAGAGTCATATTTATCCATATTTAAAGCTATTTTGACTTTGATTGTAACCACAACTACAATTGAAAGATGTTTTTCTGCAATAAATATTATGAAGACTACCAAGTAGCAAGTGATCAGATTTTAAACAGTTTTTATCATAAGATTTTTTTTTTCGACGTTGATATCATAAATTCTATATGTTTTTAAAAAATAGCTAGATTTTCTAATTTTTTAATGCTTTTTATTATTAGTTGATATATGTTGATGAATTGTAAACTTCAAAAAATATTAAATTAGTTTATACGTATGTAAGACAAATATGAATTTAGTATGAGAGACTAATATGCCTTTTCTTTGTCAATCTCTCCTCACTTCAATATGCCTTTTCTTTGTCACACGTTCGCATTGCAAGAAAATTTGGTCTTTGCATATTCTTTTCTTAGTCATGTATTGATCTAAGTGCTACTACATGTAACATGGTGTTTATGTTCCCATCAATATCTTTCTCTCTTCCGTGCTATTTATCTGATCTCCCAATTAAGCCGCTAAAATGTTTTCCCTGATCATAGATGCAATCGTAATTACAGATCAAATGAAACTTAATGATCTCTTAAAACATTTACTTAGATCTGCCTACTTACTGAAGTGTTTTTTTTTTTGGAATACACTTTAGACTTTCTCTTAATTAACTAACTCAACAGTAGTAATCTAAAGCTAACAAAGTTAAGAATCCATCTCCAACATGAAGCATGTACTGTGTCCTATCCTATATTCTACCATTCAGCTCCTCCATGAACCTCTTCAAATCATTATAAGAAGACCCTCCTTCCTCCACAGCGGCTTTAGCCATCTCGCCTAGCTTCTTAGCCCGTTTTCTCCTTTCCTCTGCCTCTTCCCCAACTATCACTTCCTTCACTGTCTTCTCCACTTCCTCTCTACTAACCAACTTTCCCTTTTTCACCAATTCCGTGGCTCCTACGTTAACTCCTGTTTTCAACACCTTTGTCAATAACTTGTCGTTGTAAAACTGTTCCGCACCCATCGGCCAAGTCACCATAGGCAGCCCCGCAGCAATACCCTCCAAAGCCGAGTTCCATCCACAATGCGTCACAAATCCACCAACCGCTTTGTGGTCAAGTATCAGCACCTGTGGAGCCCATCCGCGTATGATCAGCCCTTGGTCTTTCGTCCTCTCCTCATACCCTTCAGGCAACCACTCTTCTTTTTCACCTGCTCAAACACCAAGTTAATATCATAAATGTTAGAGAGTTTAAATTGAAATCTAAACTAATATAAAAGGAGCATGAGTCAGTCCACTTGTTACCATGCTACGAGAGAGCATATCAACAATAAGAAAATATACACAAATGTTAACTTTGAACAATGACAACGACTGAAGATGAAATCATTACCTTGTTTTTCAGTTTTCCCAACCACCCATATGAAGTTTTGTCCAGAGCCTTCAAGACCAAAAGCTATCTCTAACAGCTGCTTGTTGGTGAAGCTAGCCCCGCTTCCAAAAGATAAGTAAACTACTGAACCAGGTGTCTTAGAGTCTAGCCATTTGAGGCAATCTTGCTCATCGATACTCCCCGTTTTCCCTCTTCCAGCTTTCTCAGCAAACTCTCTGTTGCATAGAGAAAGCGGACCGATATGCCAAGCTCTTTTAGCAACAACACTACGGTAAAAATCAGCATACGTCGATTCTAGCTCGTAAAAGCTATTCACCAAAACACCAAAGCTAGTTGACTCTGATTCCCTGACTTCTTTCATAAACTTTCCCATTGGAGTTTCTTCGTCGGCAACATTGGCTTGCTCTGCTGTGATAACTATGTCCCCCGGGAGACCAGTGATTACGAAAGGAGTAGAAGTCGTTGCGACTTTCTTGTGTGGCTTATGAGTTCTCATGTTATAAGAACAACACAAGGAAAAGAATGACGTTCCGTGGAACACAAGTCTTGGGACACCAAACTTCTTAGTTGATTCTGTCGCCCAAGGGAAGAACATATCGGCCACAAGACAGCTTGGTTTGGTTGTTTCAATGAAACTCTCCAACTGCTGTTTCATATACTTGGTAGAGAAAAGAAGCTTTAAGAACAAGTCACCTGAATCAGGCTTTTGGTACGTGTTGATGAAGTCAACATTCTCGCACCCTTCAGGCAATCCAAGCTCTACACAAGGGAAGTCGAAGATCTTGATTCCGATTTCGACATCAGGGTTATGATTGTTGAATGCTTCAATTGGTTTCTCCAAAATCTTGGAGTTGTTTGGAGTTGTGATGATGGTTGATTTGGCTCCTCTGCTTGAGAAAAGCTTGGCCATGTCTAGAATTGGAATCATGTGGCCATGAGCCATGAAAGGGAAGAAATAAACATGAAGCCGCTCAGAGACTTCTCTGTTCATCTTTGGTTGCAGAGATAAGATCTTGGTTTTACAAGATAAAACAGAAAAATCAAAAGACAAACGACTCTTTTTTTTCAGCTCTAAGAACTGAAATGACTTTTCTGATCGGACAAAACAGAGTTCTTGTCTGGATTGGATTTTTCCTCAAGTTTCTGCCATTCGAGATATATATAAACACACACATACGTAAACAAAATTAAGATGTGAGTTATAGGCGGCGAATCTCACGTCTATGCACACGTCATCTTTTACTTTTGTGTGAACTTTCTTTACTATTCGTTTAGGAATTAGTCATCTTTGGTTGGCTATAAAATGGGAATCTTGATATGTGAATGTGATATGTGTATCTCTTAGAAGCAAATTGTGACTTCTCACTTGAGTGATGGAGTAAGCTTTTTGACTATTTCCTTTTTCTTAGTCGTATTTTCGCCTCTGAATTCATAAACTAATGCACAAACTATTAGAACTTGATTATTGATCAAAAAAAACATTTTAGTAAATTATATGATAAAACAAAGCAAGAGTCCATCTCAAAACAGAGAAATAAATATTGTCTTCTTTATTCTACTTTCTAGAATTTAATTCTCTCTTCTTAATTATCTTTTCTTTTTGGTATTTGATATGTTTCTGGTTTAGGCAATAAATATATACTGTGTATATGGAAAAACACTGGTTTGATTTGGTTTTCGGTTGACTTGATTGAGTGCTCTATTTATTTGGTGTGATTTAAGTGGCCAATAAACATTTGAACATGAAACTCTCTTTCAACCATAAGTTTACTTGGTTCGTGTTTGCGATTAAATTTAGTTAAAACCATAAACAGATTACGTACTAAATAAAGAAGAAAAATAATGTCCTAAAAAAAACACTATAAGTACCGCATTAATGTATTTGTTACTTTAGAAATGATCATAGATCCAAAAATGAATACTTTCACTCTTGTTATATTAGTTATTGCTATGTATCTTATGATAAATGAGGCGCAAGCGGGTTGCAAATGGAATCATATAGTATTTCACAACGAGCTTGGCCCTGGTCAAGATCTTCACATTAGATGTGGAGGACCTGCCAGAGAGAAGGTTAATTTACGTGAACACGTAATGAAATACCAAGAAACACCATTTATCGTTGCATTCAAAGAGCCTGGTCCGCCGGAACCTAGGCCAATATGGACTTGTCTTCTTAGTCACGGACCTAATCTAACATATTATTACAACGTTCAAGCATATCGAGCAGCCAATCTTAAGAGATGTGGTCAACTACGTTCATGGACTGCTAAACCTGATGGAATTTGGTGGACAAAAAAATATTGGACACCACCGATCAAAGTACTTGATTGGTTGAAGAGATAGTAATGTATATTTAAATTTTGCTAAAACTTATTAATGTTTATGAATTTTTTGTTTTTGCTTGTTTTTTTCCTTTGCATTTTATTTAATAAGCCTTGACAATTAAGTCTAATTCTACTATACAGCAAAATATGTAGCAAATCATGTGTTCATTTGTATTTTTTTTTTATATTATGTTTATGAAATAAAATAAAACCAATATAGTTTTGGATTAAAAACCAACTGTAATAAAAATTATCATATTAAAGTCGAGATTTGCTTGTGAAAAGTCATAGGGGTGGTGGTGTTACGAGGATTTCACAAGCGCTAGAGTATCTTGGCACTGCAAGGATTTCTTTGAGAGTGTCATCCTTTGTCTCTATTGATATTTCTTAATCAAGAAGCCTTGAACGCTTTTACATTCACCCATCTTTATCATTCCTCAAGATCACGCAAGTTTACAAGAGATACATAAACGCTTTTACAAACGATATGAGTAAATAAGAGGGTTAAATCTATTATTCATCACCAATATGAGAGATTCTAGTTTTAGGCAGATCTGAAGAAGATTTGACATATGTACATATAATAAACAATTAGTATCATCAAAATCCTTTCTCTCATAATTTATTCTCAGTTTGATTTTTTATATCTTTTATGATATATGATTTTCATCTTGTTTTTTCTTTTCTTATTTACCTGAATTACGTTACACAAACACAAAACAAGTTTAACAACTACGAAGCTCACTAGCCATTCTTCAAAACTGTGTGTTACACATTTTCCTGAAACTCTGCTAACACAAACAGCAAATCTATTGCACTTAAGATGGCTGTAGCCATCAAATAATACATATGAAAAGACCCTGACTGGTTTGATTTTGGTTTTCGGTTAAATATCATTTGTAAACTCTGCTTATTTGGTTTGATTTGAGTGGCCAACTAAACTTTTGAACACTAAACTCTCGTTAAACCATAAAGTTACTTGCTTCATGATTATGTTCAAATTTAGTTAAGACATAAATAGATTATATATACTAAATTAAGAAAAGCAATTCCACAATTAAACACTATAAGTACCACACTAATATCTTCATCACTTCTGGAAACTATCCTAGATTCAAAAATGAATAGTTTCACACTTTTTATGTTAGTTACTGCTATGTATTTCAAGCTAGATGTAGCGGGTTGCAAATGGAATCACATAGTGTTTCATAACCAGCTCAAACCTGATCTAATTTTTGACATTCAATGTGTCGGACCTAAATATGAGAGAAACCCTATACGAATTCACGAAATGAAATTCAATGAAACTCCATATATCATTGCGTTCAAAGAGGCTCGTTGGCCAGAAGGTAGAACAGTATGGAACTGTTTTCTTAGTCGAGGACCTCTTATGGGTTACACTAATGAAGTTGAAGTATATCGTGGAGCCAACCTTGTGCGATGTGGTCAGCTACGTTCATGGATTGCTAGAACTGATGGAATTTGGTTTACAAAAAATTATTGGAAACCGCCGGGGAAAGTTCTTGATTGGAAGAAGAATTAGTAATCTATTTTAAAAAATTTCCTAAAACTTATTAAAATGTTCATGAAGTTTTTGTTTTGTTTTTTTTTCCTTGCGTTTTATGAAATAATTTCATGGAGGGATCTTCTCGATAAGAAAAGAGAAATGTTGGGACTAACTCGAAACTTTTTTTGCTGATTAAACCTGGTTACTTTAGTTCCTCTTGTTTCCGGCTCTGTTATTTTGTAATCATGCAAACCGGTTTAATCTCTCTAAACCGTTGGCTGATCCACAAACCATTTACCAGGTCATTCGATCATTAGGGTAAAAATCAATCAAAAGAAAATTTTCCTTTTTCTCTTTCTCTTTATCATACGATTTATCCCCTTCACCTTCATCAAATCTCAGATCTTCGAGTTGAATCTTCTTCTTGCCAACCACCTTTTAGAGTTCTCGGTGAGTTCTAGACCGGTCTCTATCTTCCATCTACAATTGTCTCAATATCGAAATTTTCCATTTTTTGGTGAGCTCGTGTCTTAGTTTTGTGTAACGGCTCTGGTCTCTTTCTCCCTATAAATACGAGAGTAGCGTGAGAATTAAGAGGGCCTTTTTCTATTGCGATCGATTATTGAGTTTTTCTCTTGATTCTTGACTTTGGGTTTGGTGAATTTCCTCTCAAAATCTCTTATCAGTTTCTCGTGGATTATATTCTCTCTTAGCGTAAAGGGTTTACTCAAAGGAAGACAGTTATGTCTGTAAGAGAAATCATGTCTGTGATTAGAAATCTTGCACTGGAATCAGATGCCAAAAGGCTACAAAAGATCGAGCAGGAGATCAGAGATTTCGTAAACCAGAAGTCAAAAACGCCCATAAAATCGAACCCTAGATCTTGCGGTCACTGGTACGTTCGTTATAGAGTCTGCATCGTCTGCAAATCGAAAGTAGACAAACGTGAAGGCCGAGCATTCGACTATCTTGTCCAAGGTCTACAGCTAAGCCACGAAGCCGTGACGTTGACGAAACGCTTTACAACACAATACTATTCTCTCAAAGAAAAGAAGCTTCACCTTGTCCTTGACTTGGACAACACGCTTCTCCATGTCATGAACGTTTCACGTCTCTCCAAAGCAGAGAAGTATCTTATCAAAGAAGCTAGTTCAACTTCACCATTAAGGGATGATCTATGGAAGATAGAGGTCGGAAAATATTCTACAGAATACTTGACAAAGCTAAGGCCTTTTGTTCGTGACTTCTTGGAAGAAGCCAACGAGATGTTCACAGTGTCTGTCTACACGATGGGTTCTAGAGATTACGCTAAAGCTCTTTTGGAGCTGATTGATCCGGAGGAAGTTTACTTTGAAGGTAGAGTGATAACAGGAGACGATAGTCCGTATGTGAAGACGCTTGATTTGGTTTTGGCTGAGGAACGTGGAGTGGTGATTGTGGATGATACGCGTAGTGTTTGGACACATCACAAGAGTAACCTTGTGGAGATTAGTAAGTACTACTATTTCAGAGACAATGCCCAACAAGAGTCTTCGTCAAAGCCTTACTCGGAGGAGAAGAGTGACGAGAGTGAAGGAGACGGTGGATTGGCTAATGTTCTGAAACTGCTCAAGGAAGTTCACTGTGGGTTCTTCAGAGTCAAGAAAGATCAGTTACTGTCGCAGGACGTGAGGTTGCTGCTAAAAGATATAGACGTGAAACTTCTCTAATAAGAACCATTTCTGTAGAAACTTCAGTTTAAAGTAATGGAAGTTTGTGATCTCGTTATCTGTAAGAAATACAAAAATATGTTATCTAAAGCAGTCTTTTTAATAATGAAAACCTTCGTGTTTGTGTTACTAGAAAACTATAGTAAGATCAAGAAACGGGGTATGAATTATCAAGGCTCATTTTTTTTTTTTTAATTTAGTTTTCTCTATGCGAAGTGCTCTGTTTTTCCGAAAATACACTCTTCAGTCTTCACATAAATCTAGTGTATGAATTAACTTCCTTCTTATCAAGATAACCTTCTTTGACGAGTATGTTCATAAATCATACACTTCAAACTCATGTGACCCAAAGTCACCCAACTGGAAAGCCTCATTAATTAGGGTTTATAAAAAAATTCTTAAATTTGTTCTTAGAATTTTTTTTATAGGGAACATGATAGATACTGTAATTTGATGAATTCCCCTTGAGAGGATTGATCTATTAACATGACCTTATAAAACCAAAGTGGTTACACAAAATCAGGAATACAAGTAAGATAATAACAGATTATCTACAACAATAAGAACCGAATATCCCTATATTCTATCACCCTCCCTCAGTTGAAGCATCCGATGATCGGATGGTTAAACTGTCTCGAAACTCCTTGAAAAGTGTTGTTGGCAAACCTTTGGTGAATATGTCTGCGTACTGGAGAGAGGAGGGAACATGAACGACCTTCACTTCACCAATTGCAACCTTCTCACGTACAAAGTGAATGTCCAGCTCAACATGTTTGGTCCTTTGATGTTTCACGGGATTGTTAGCCAGGTAAACAGAGCTGATGTAGTCGCAGTAGACCACATAAGCTTTGATGATCTTAAAGTGAAGCTCTAGCATAAGATTTCGAAGCCAACATAGCTCTGCAACCGTGTTTGCCACACCCTTGTATTCTGCTTCGGAACTGGATCTCGATACCGTCGGTTGACGTTTGGCGGACCAAGACACTAGATTTGGGCCAAGGAAAACACAATAACCAGATGTTGATCTTCGAGTATCTGGACAGCCTCCCCAATCTGCATCAGAATAGGCTGTTAGAGTATCAATGGAGCCTCTGTAAAGTTGCAGACCGTGATTTATTGTGCCCTTAACGTAACGAATGATTCGCTTCAGCGCATGGAAGTGTGGTACTCTCGGACTGTGCATGTATAAGCAAATCTGATGAACAGCATAAGAAATATCCGGGCGAGTAAAAGTCAGATACTGCAGAGCACCTGCAAGACTTCTGTATTCTGTTGGATTTTTCAATAGTTCACCGACATTTGCTGAAAGTTTGGATTTGACATCAACCGGTGTGGCAATTGGTTTACAATCCTCCATATGTGCATGATCAATAATTTCCTTTGCATATGAAGCTTGGCTTAAGAACATGCCTCTCTCATTGTACTCAACCTTAATTCCCAGAAAGTGGTGAGCTTTACCCATGTCTGTCATCGGAAACTCGGATTTCAGAGAATCAATGACGTGTTGTAACAAAGCCTTGGTTGGAGCAGTGAGGAGTATGTCGTCGACATATAGAAGAAGGTAGGCGAGATCTTTTCCTTTCCTGAAAATAAACAGAGAAGTATCGGCTTTGCTAGTGATAAAGCCCAAATTATTGATAAACTTTTTGAATCTCGAATTCCAGGCCCGTGGAGCTTGTTTTAAGCCATAGATGGTCTTACGTAGCTTACACACATGATTAGGATACGCCGGATCAACAAAACCTGGAGGTTGATGCATATACACTGTTTCTTCTAGATCGCCGTGAAGAAACGCGTTTTGGACATCTAACTGGTGTATTGGCCAGTCACACACAACACCGACGTTGAGAACCGTCCGAATCGTTGCCGGCTTCACAACTGGACTGAATGTCTCAGTGAAATCAACTCCCTCCTCCTGTGATTTCCCATTAGCAACCAACCTGGCCTTATGTCTTTTTAGAGCTCCATCTGCATCATGTTTATGAGTATATAGCCACATGGATCGCACAATATTGACCTTAGGAGGCCAAGGCACTAAATCCCAAGTCCTAGTCTTAAGCATAGCATCATTCTCAACAGTCATCGCTGGATTCCAATTTGGATCAGAAAGAGCTAGTTTGTAACTTTTTGGAATTGGAGATTTGGTGATGGTGAGAAGTGAGATGATCTGTTTAGGCTTTCGAATTCCAGCTTTTGCCCGAGTCGTCATAGTGTGACTTGGAGCAGCTATTGGAGCAGATGGGATAGATGGTGGAGCCAGAGGTAAGGTTTGAGTGTTTTGAGGTTGAACGGGATTTGGAAGAGGACTTTGGAGGATTTATTTGAAAAGAGGTGAAGGATCTTCTATATTTCCCAGAAATTGATATGGAGTGTCACAAGTCTGATGTGAAATAGCTGCAGGAAATTTTTCCTCGTCAAAGTACACATGTCTTGAAATAATTATTTTGTTGGTTTTTAAATCAAGACAACGATACCTTCGATGATGTGTTGGGTAACCAAGAAACAAACATGGAGTTGATCTTGGTGAAAGTTTATGAAGATGAGAATGGTTTAAGTTTGGAAAGCATAAGCAGTCAAAGACTCTTAAGTGATCGTAGGATGGGCGTTTGTTGAAAAGGAGAGTGAAGGGAATTTGATTTTGAACAGCGGAAGAAGGAAGGATGTTTAGGAGGTGGACAGCGACATTTAGAGCTTCTACCCAATAACTCGGTGGGAGTTGAGCTTGAAACAGGAGGGAACGAATGGCATTATTGATGGTACGGATCATCCTTTCGGATTTGCCGTTTTGTTGAGAGGTATGGGGACAAGAGTATCTGAAACTAATGCCATTCGTATCAAAATATTCTTGAAACTGACTATTTTTAAATTCTCCTCCATTGTCGCACTGAAAAGATTTTATTTGACTGTCAAACTGATTTTTGATATAAGAGCTAAAATGAAGAAATTTTGAAAAGACATCAATCTTTTTCCGAAGTGGATAAACCCAAAGAAATTGAGTGAAATGATCGAGGAATAGCACATAATATTTGATGCCGCTTATGCTGGGAAGAGGAGATGTCCAAATATCTGAATGAATAATTTCAAAGGGTTTTGTGATGTCAGAGATTGATGAATGAAATGGTAATTTTATTTGCTTTCCCAAATGACAAGGAGCACAAGAATTTGGAAACTTTTCCTTATTACAAGAGATTGACTTTGAAGAAAACAGAGAATGAAGAGTAGATTCATTTGTGTGAGCTAGTCTCTTGTGCCATAGAGATGGAGAGGAAGCCAAAAGAGTAGTGGAGGATGCCATTGATGGCTTATTGAGTGAAGCAGGAAGAGGATAAAGATCACCGGAGCTATCACATCGGAGCAGTATTTTCTGGGTTTGAAGATCCTTCACAGAAAAGCCAAAAGGATCAAAGTCAACACTACACCAATTGTCTTTGGTAAACTGACGAACAGAGATTAAATTTTTGACAATTTGGGGAGTAACAAGTACATTTTGAAGAGAAAGAGGACGAGTTGTGGTGCGAAGAGCTGAAGAGCCAATAGAGGTTACAGGAATTTTGGAACCATTTCCAACGATGACCGTGTGACTGATATTATGATTAAGAGAAGGATCGAGAGTACCTGCGGTGGCCGAGAGGTGAGCTGTAGCTCCAGTATCCATGTACCAGTCAGCTCCATTTGGATCCGGAAGTGTCTTCGTTGTGTACACTTGAGGTAATGTCGTTGGTTGAATTTCGACCAAATGAGCTTGCTGGGAATTGTTGGTCACCGGTCGTGTTGCGGGATTCACATGAGGTCCACGGTAAGTGGGCATTTGTGAATTAGGAGTCCAGTTTGCAAATTGGTTGGGCCAAGGACCAAAAGGGCCAGGCCATACATTTGGTGAAGCCCAATAGGGAAACGGAGGGTTTCCGAAAGGAAAGTTGTTCCTGCCGCCGCCTCTGTAGCGATTGTGCTCTGATACCATGTAATTTGATGAATTCCCCTTGAGAGGATTGATCTATTAACATGGCCTTATAAAGCCAAAGTGGTTATACAAAATCAAGAATACAAGTAAGATAATAACAGATTATCTACAACAATAAGAACCGAATATCTCTATATTCTATTAGATACGTTTTAAGAATTTTTTTCCTATCAATCTTCATAATTTCTTTTAGCTAAACCATATAAATCAAAATTCCAAAACAAGAGAAGATGATCATATATCAAATTTAAACATAAGTCGAAACTACATTAATTCAGAACAGAGACCAGAAAACTACATTAATTAGAACAGAGACCAACCAGATAACTAATAGTAATGTTTATAGCAAGTTTAAAACATCAAAATTTGACATAATTTAAGTAATCTATATGAATTCCTCATGTATTTTAATAAATAAACATCCAAAATCTACTAATTTCAAAACCCAATTCAAAATTTCGAATTGGTAAATAATAAAACAAAAGTATAGTTATGTGGGACCTTAGCAATTACTATGTTTGCTGACAACGACATCCGTTTCGGCCTCCTCGGGTCTTTCGAAACTACCGGTTCAGGAAACATAACCGGAAATAACCAATAAAATTAGAAAACAACAAAAAAAATTCTTTGTGGGTTTATAAAGCGTCGTTTCTCAGAGAGATTGACCAACACATTTCGTCTTCTTCCTTTCTCTTTTTGTTTGATCGGAAAAATAAAAATGAAGAACAACAACAACAACAGCACAAAGACTAATTTGATCCTCTTCCACCACCACCACACTCCTCTAACCTCAAAATCAGCTTCAGCCGTCGCCGCCGCGAACCACCACCGTCTCTTATTCGTCTTCTTCCTCACTTTCTTCACTTTCATCTTCTCTTTCTCTCTCTTCTCATCCTCCCTCCACTCCACCGCCGCAACCTCCTCCAGCTCTCTCTCCTCATCTTCCCCCTCCTCCTCCCTCCCGCCACCGATCCTCGCCGCGCTCCTCCACTTCACTTCCTCAACACCACCAAACACCTCAATGTCCTTCTCCGAGCTCTCCGCCATCTCCTCCGCCATCAACTCCAAATCCCCAAACTGTAACCTCCTCGTCTTTGGCCTGAGCCACGAGTCTCTCCTCTGGAGATCCGTCAATTTCAATGGCCGCACTGTCTTCGTCGACGAAAATCCTTACGCCGTTTCCAAATTCGAGCAGAGTAATCCCGGAGTCGAAGCTTACGACGTCGTTTTCTCGACCAAAGTCTCTCAGGCGGGTAAGCTTCTGGGTTATTATAAAACCCGACCCGAATGTCGACCCGTTCAGAATCTGTTGTTCTCAGATTGCAAATTGGGGATCAACGATTTGCCCAATTTTGTATACGAGGTCGATTGGGATGTGATTTTGATTGACGGGCCTTTCGGGTACGCGGCTGATTCGCCGGGAAGAATGGCTCCGATTTTTACGGCGGCGGTTTTGGCGAAGAGTAAAGACTCCGGGAAGAAGAAGAAGAGGAAGAAGACGACGGATGTTTTTGTACATGAGTTTGGGAGAAAGATTGAGAGAGTTTACAGTGAGGAGTTTCTATGTGAGGAGAATCTAGTTGAAGTCGTCGGAGATTTAGGGCACTTCTCCGTGGCGGCGGCGGGAGATAGTGAAAATGTAGGAAATGGGTTTTGTCGGAATTCGACGAAATTGTCGGAGCCTTTTACGCCGGAAAATGGTGGCGATGGAGAAGAGGTCGGTGCTGATGATGACTGAAAGTGAGTTACTTTTGGACTTTGGTGGCTCTTTTGTAATTAATTTAGTTTTTGAGGGTCTTTTTGTTGTTGTTTGTTTTCTGTTTAGTCTTTTCAGTTGTTTTTTTTTTTTTAATTTTGGAGACGGTTACACTTTGGGAATACAAAAAAAAATGTATCCAAATTCCAAAAGCAAGTAGCACTGTTGATAAAATTATTGATTAACGATTTGACTGATGACATTTTACCGTTCCAATAAGAATTACTCGGGTTTAAATACACCATGTATATTTCAAAATTCAGTGTTCTCGAGAAGCTGTAATCAATCGGTGTAAAATGGTAAATTGAAACAGAGAAAAGTAACTTTACCATATAGTATGTCTTACCACTTTCTCGTATTTTATTTTTACCACTCCGCAATCACTTGCTGTATTGGTGATAAAAAAAAGTAACTTTATTTTATTTACGAACTCTTAAATGTTAGCTTGCTTCTTCTTTTTTCTTTCTAAAAACGATCTGGTTATTTTTACATTTGTTTAACGTGGAAAACATGATTCTTTTTTACATTTGTGGTATTATAAAATGCTGTAAAAATGTGTCGGTGGTGACAGAAGTCCCTGAGAAAGCGGGACTTATCTCACAATGTGGCTTCTCCTTTCCAGCGTTATATCGTATAGTTAAGTACTTTCGATTTTTTTTCTTTTTTGTTAACTTTAGTTTCTACTCCTTTACAACTAAATAAATTTTCGATTTTCACAAAGAAAACAAAATTGTACGAGTACACAGAGTTGAGTTCCCTTGACCAATAAAAACAAAGAGTTGAGTTCCAATTATGTCTTTTTGATAACGAGAAAAATTGAATACCATTAGTTGGCAGTGGATCCATAAAATTTTATTATTGGGGACACAATTTCAGCACCCGCCAATAAAAAACATAACCTTCAGCTAAACAGTATATTGAATCTTCCATATAGTATTATTGTCAAATATTTTAAATAAGCAGAAAAATCGGAGTCTATGTGGTGCTCTAGTACCATATCAGGAGTCAAATCAAATGTATTGACATGGAACAGCTCTTATTGTCAAGGAATTGTTTCGTTTTTCATGTTTGAGAAATCGTTTCCTCAGAGAAAGATGGGTTGGTTAAAAGTTAAGAAGGTACGTCCAGTGTGTAGAGTTGTAGACATAGCAACCTTTGTTGTAAGTTGTAACGATGCAAACGATCAGATATCACTCAGAGATGATACCCTCGACATGACAAGTGTTAGGTTCTTTGCGAGACCTCTAACGCGTGAGAGTGTCCCAAATATACGCAGTCAAATCAATGGTTTGTGATAAATAAATAAATACGATGATGATCAGAGTCTCATAGAGACATTCAGTAATAAAAAAAAGGCGGACTGAATATATGAAGATCCGTTTAAATTGGAATTTAAAAGAGGTACAGTTAATTAGCTTAAAATAGTAATGTTACAATGAGGAATACATCTAACTTCTTCTACATGTAAGTTGGCTTTCTTTCTGTCGACAAAAATGGAAAAAGAAAAAAGATTAGCCTCTCACTCTTTTAAAAGGAAAAGTTTTCGAAACAACATCAATTCATTTTTACCATCTAGGATGAAAAAACTCTTTCAACTCTGGTTGACCACTCTAACTCTCTTCATCTTTCTTGCGCTAGGTTTGTATATCCATTTTCTACCATACACAGTATATTCATTTTACAAAGTAAATTTGAAAAATATTTTGAAAATCTTCAAACTAATAGTAATTTTTATTTTATCTTCAGTTCTTCACTATTGAAACTGAGATTTTATGTTTTGAATATAGTGATGACAGTTACAGAAGTGGAAGGGAATGCGCAGCAAAGAAAACAGAGACGATGTGTCAAATTTCCGGTTTTAACAAAAACTGGGTTTTGTATTCCCAAAGATTGTCAGGCTGAGTGCGCGAACAGGGTCCCAGGATTAAAGGGTATCTGCGAGAGGTCTGATGGCCAAAAACAAAATTGTGGGGCTAAATGCAAGGCATGCAACTGTTGTGGTTTATGGCCTCCTATCCACTAATGTCGTTATTATCAAACTATTTACAATATCTATATTCATATCATATTTATAATCAGAGTATTATAAGAAAAATAAAATATCTGTCTGGAGTTTGTTGCCTAATAGTTTGTGGGTTTTGGTCTCCTAATTTACGAGTATTAATGTAGAGGAATGGATAGGTAGATGTCGTCTCTCTATTTGTAATCGTCCAACAATTAAAATTGCTTTAAGTAATATATGTGACGAAGGACCCATTGATATCAATCTTACATTGCAAAGAAATTAAAGACCTTTCTTGGCTCAAGGACTTGTTTGATTCTACGGCTGTATTTGTGAGAAGGAACGTCTTCGTTCGAGAACACAAACTTTGGGTACTTCCAAAAACAAAACAAAAAATGTTCTCCCCTTGATGTTTTCAATTTTTGGTGTTTTTTTCAGTTTTGGTCCATAAAAGCTTTAACTCTCTCGGTACGCAATTCTGGTGTTTCCCTTTACAATTTGGTCCTCCCAAATTTATTTGCATTTAAAATTATGAACAAGGTGATGCCAAAACGGTTTTTTTTAGCTAGTGATGGAGACGCGCTTCTGAAGTAACGTGTAAGGTACGAGCTAAATTATTGGGACTATGGAAGCGCGTGCGGATAAGAACCGGAGAACCTTCTGCAAGAATATTTTGAGGGATCCGATGTCTCCGACGTGGCTCGAGGCTCGAGGAAGACAGGTCTCAAATTCTTAAAGGTCAGGCTAATTAAGGGCCTACGTACGTTTCTTGCTTCCTTTCTCACGTGCTGCACGTGACAACTAGTAAGCTTATGTCACGATTTACGAACGAAAGCGATTAAGAGAATCTGAAGAAAGAGAGTGAGAGACTGAAGAGTGAGTGAGAGATATATAGGTGTGTCGGTGATGGTGAGAGTCCACTGTATGGTACGTGCTTGCAAATGACATGAAATGTGTTATGGGCTGTATATGGCCCGGTAGGGTTTCTTCGAGTTGTAATGATTTAATTTTGTCTTGGGTCTACTACAACACGTTTTCAAATGATTTAGCGGTGATATTAATAAGAGACGAGCATATAACAATCGTATACTCCAATATTTCATTTTCAACAGCATTTTTATTAGTACTAAAATTGCAGAAATTAGTTACTTCTTCACAAAAATAGATACGATACGACCATTACTAGTGAACAATGAACCACTAACACAAATTCCACTAGCAAAGTCTCGAAATCAAGAAAATAAACACATGAAAAAAGTAAAAATACTGCTTTACTAGTAAGTAATTGTAAATCTTAGAGAAAAGAAAATAGGGTCAGAGCAAACTTGGGAAAGAGGGTCGATGGTACAGGCAACGACATAGGACTAAGCTGCCACGTAGAGGTCCACGCCTTTAAATTAAATAAATGAAGATCCGGTTAAATTGGAATTAAAGAAGGTATTTAGCTTAACATAGACATGTTTCAATGTGAAATGCATATAACATTTTCTATATATAAGGAGACTCTCTTCTTTATCTTTATTTTTCAAAACACCATCTATCATTTCTACCATCTAAGATGAAAACATCCTTTAAACTCTTGTTTACCATCCTAACTATCTTCAACCTTCTTGTGCTAGGTTTGTCTATCCATTTCTACCTTATAGTCATTCTACAAATCACTAATTTTAAATATTATAATATTTCTTTAGAAAGTGGTTAATATTCTTGTATCAAAATTAGTTTTTACTATAAAATTCCATAATATCTGAGTTTTAGCTTTTTTTATTTTTTTAAAATTTTGCACCCCGTATCTAAAAAAAATGAGTTGTTAGACCTAGGAAACCAATCTACAAAGGTATATTTAATAACTATTTACCATTTTTGGTCAATTCCTTCATTTGAATAAATCTGGTTTTGATATATCAAAAGTTATTGTGAGATAGATTACTTCAACTTATTTACATTATTTTTTTTTCTGTCCATCATCATCAACTCTTTTTCGTTTTTGCATAATAAGATAAGAAAAACTCCTCAAAACATCTTTTTCTCCTTAGATAAATTTTTTTTTGTTTTTTTTGTTTTTCCATTTTGACTACTAAAACTGCCATTATATGTTTAAAATAGAGTGAATTTGTTGTATGGCAAAATTTTGACCCTTATTTAGTTTTTTAACAAGATGACACATTGTTTAAGTAACTAGCAAAAGGGTACCCAAGTATAGCTGCTGAAACCGTATACACGCGCGTAGGAGAGAGTGGGGAAACTGTGCATTGACTTGCATGGATAGACATTTAATGCTTTTTCTTCACATTAATTGATTTCCTTTATTAAATTAATAAAATAACACATACAAATAAATAAATTATGAAAAAATTGCAGTGATTTAAATATTTCGATAGATATAAAATTAAAGATTTAAATTTACAAATGTACAGATAACTACACAAATTATATTATAACTATGTAACTAATATGTTAACATGTAATAAAAATACATAACAAGTTATTTAATAATGTACACCTATATTTGTATGTACGTATAAAGTTTCATAGACATGTATAATAATATATAACCATGCAATCAATATGTTAACTTGTAATGAAAAATATACCGTGTTATTTAGTCAATATTTACATGTACATTCACACATAACATGCTACTAATATACATATATATTGATACGCTGATAAAAAAAAATGTATATACAATTTTATATTTATAATTGAGCCCCACTAATTGAGTAACTCACTTGTAATGCTTCCTCCATCACCATCACACCATGGCCTCCACCTTATAACCAGATCGGGATTTGGATTATTGTCACCCATTCATCACGAGTCTGACTTGGCTCTCTCGTCGAAAGTTGTGAACTTGGGTATCAATCTGTTTTCCGGTCAGGCTCCTCCGCCGTCGAGACCGCTTTATCACGGTGTTTGATTCGATCTCTCTCTTTTCCTCTTGTCATCCAGATCTGGTTACTGGAAACAGAAGCAAAAA